CAACAGCAGGAGCAACAGCAGGAGCAACAGCAGGAGCAACATGTTTAATGCATAAAAAGTGAGTCCCTGCCAGTCGAGGCTTAGGGTGGTAGGAAATGCCATGGTCACACTGGAACGGACAGGTCTGGTACATCGGAGTAGTCATGATACGGAGTATTTGTTGCTGCACGGCATCCTGCGGGCAGGGATACATTGTGCCATGCCTCGAATGTTGGGGATAATATACTATAGTAGCAGCTATGTACGTTAGCAGAAAGTCCACGCTCTGGGGTAGCATGGAACCATGAGCAAGCTGCCCGTCTTTCTCTTCTGCTTCTGTAGCGGCGGCCGCCAAGATACTGTCCGGAGTACTGTACTGCGTATGTAGATACTTTAAGTACCTAGTACTGTGTAGATATCGAAATGCTCCCATGAATGTGCGGGCCGCGGCAGCCATGTCATCCTTGCAGTAATTACACCAGTACATCTAGCAAGCTTGACACAACGGTGCACCGTCCAAGAGTCAATCTGATCAGCAGACTCGCCTACAGCGTTTACACAGTAGCATCGCACCGCTCGGCTTCGATCTCCGAATTCCATGATAAGATACCAACTGGAGGAGCAATTGATCCTCTTCGTGTGGGTCAAGCACACCTGCTTCAGAGCTCCCAGGGGAATAGTGCGCCATCCTTATGCTAGGTCGGCGCCCGGTCGGTCCTGACGGAGTCCAAGCACCGGAAGCATAGCATAGCATGCGAGTATAGGAGCATTCAGAAAAATCCATGGGATTGAATGCGGGATTTTGTGTCCGGAACCGCCCAGAGCACTCTATGAGGTAGATTGGTCTGTAGTAATAGAGCATATGTACTGTACTGACACCGAGGATCTCATTGTCCCCCTTCCATGTGGGGGCTGCTGATACTCGTCGTTAGCAACACGCCCAGGAGAGTACTATCAGTTCCAAGGCCCATATCAATGTCATTCTGGTACGGTAAGCTGTAATCATGTCTGTGTCACAAGCTCGCTTGCATTCAGACGCATAGTTCAGTCTGACCTTCGTCTACCCCGACGTCCGCCTCGTACATCTCGCCAGTGCCCATCGCTTCTGCCTGATAGTCCACCGCATAGGATCCTCCAGCAACAGCAGTGGCATCTTCCTCAATATATACGACTTCATCACCCGCCGTGCCTGTAGCGTAGGCCTCCCCCTCCCCGTACATTGCGTCAGTGTATGAGACAACTTCGGCGGTGCCACCGTAGTCAGTGTAGTCAGTGTACGCAGTGTACGCAGTCATATTGTCTTCCTCAACGTTACAGACCTCCACGTTTTGGCTCTGATCGACGTAAAATGTCTCTTCCACATAGACAGGCTGCTGCTGCTGCGCCGAGGCCATCTGTGCCTGCGCAAGCATCATGTTCTGGGTGTCGGCGTTTTGCTGCAAGAGTAGTAGCTGATCAGTGGCGCTTTGTTGGGTCATTTGCATCTGCATTGCGGCGAACATGGGATCTTGTTCGGCTGGGGTCTGTTGTATTATGGTTTGGTTCTGCTCGATAACAACGGGCTGAGGATTGCTTGCCAGTATCATTGGCTGAATTGAAGCATACATCCCTTGATCAGCGTATGTGACTTGCTGGTTCTGGTACTGGTAAATCGTTTGCCCCAGCTGACATGTGGCATATTGGGCCGCGCTAGGCTGGTTCACGGTTGTTCCTGGATTGCCTGATGGCCTTTCAGCAACGGGACGCTGTGGGCGGGTGATCGCTGATTGAGGGAGAGGTCTTCTAGGCGGACGTGCTGTTCCTGCTCCTGAAGTGCTCGCAGGCTGACCTGTGGCTTGTGCGTAGGAGGGTGGGCTGATGGATGCATCGATAGTCAGCGGCCCTTGTGCCTGGACGGAGATCATCGGGTTGGATTGTTGTTGAGGTGCCGCGGTACTTGGCTGGATTGCTGCACCGGGTTGCACACCAGTCAAGCCCGGCAGGCCTGCGGCCGTGGTAGGTGGAGCAGGAGCGGTCTGGGGAGGTTGTTGTTGGACTGGGACGGCGCTGTGTATCGATGTCTCCTCTTGGGTAGCTTGGGCTCCTTGAGTTGAGGCCGTCGAGTGAGATGTTTGATGTGGTTGGAACGATTGTGTGGCAACAGGCGGAGCATTAATCGCTCCATCATTCTCTTCCGTGACTGCACTGTTCGTGGACTGGCTTACTTGGCCAGGCGCAGGAGCAACTGTCGGCATTCCTGCGGATGTCGTTGATGGCATTGAAACGCTAGGATTGATTGATGCTTGGACATTGATGCTTGTCTGGTTTGAAAAAGAAGGATTGAGAGAAACTGATAGCGGCCGCACGGGTTTTCGAGCCGGGATCTTACTAGGCACTGGAGCAGCTGCTGGCATGGGATTTGGTAGTGGCTGAGCGGCTGGGGGTTGTGCTATGTCGGCCTGCTGCTGTTGTTGATATTCGTAGGCGTGGACCTGCCCAAGGACTTGTGCCTGTGGATGACCATCGTAAGGAACAAACGGCCTCACCTTCGGCTGGTATTTGCCCTTCTTGTCTGCTGCGTCAACCATCTCATTCATGACACCTTTGACAGCCCGACCTGTCTTGACGCCTAGGGCACCGGTATGGACCAACATTTTCTTGGACGCCTTGGCCAGTTTCGTGCGGCTAACGAGAGTGTGGCCAACGACTTTGGCCGACCTCGTCGCAACGGCTGCGCCTGAAATCGTGACTTCTTTCATGGCCGAAGTGGTCTGTGTGAGATCCGAGTTGAACTTCTGTGTGAGGGTTCGAGTATTGTTCTTCTCAGAGAGTTGGTGAACTGCATACGCTTCTTCAAGGCCAGGTACAGCTTTTCTCGCTGCTTCGGTGTTAACGCTCATGGTGATTAGTGGCTGAGACTGTGGTTTGTGCTCAGGAACGGTCTGGTTGCGAAAAAGGTCTGGTTTAGCTTGGACCGCTATCGGACCCGGCGCCGTTACGTATCTGCTGAGCTGTGGCATCTGCGCCGGCTGAGGATGCGCTTTTGGGGCTTCCTGAGGCCAGTCTAAAGAGCACCTCTGCGTCTCTGGGTGGACGAAAATTGTCTTGCCGTCCGGTGTTTGCGACTTGACCCATCCCGGAGGGAGAACTCTCACAACGGGCCGAGCATAAGAGACCTGGCTCGTCGCCGAGTTATAATACAGTGGTTTGCCGGAGCCGGATGGATCTTGCATGACCATCCAGCCTTGTGGTAGCTGAGGAAGTGGTGAGACTGCCATCGCCGAACCCCCTGATTTCGCATAACTTGCCATTCCGTTGAAAAGGAGCGGGCTTGATCTGCGGCCGCAGAAAGAGGAGCACAGCAAGAAGAAGAAAGACGCAGGAATTTAAGAGCGACCTACCTTGAGGGACTGGCGCACAACCAGCTTCAGCCCCCATTCTCGTCTCGAATCCAGAAGCTGGCATACAGTACCCAAGACTTCTTCACGAGGCCAAGGGACACCATCATGAAAAGGGATGAGCATGATTGGAGGAAGAGCCTTGTACGTCTGCTACAGCTGCGGCAGACTGCGTTAGGCTGAGCTGTGACGCGATCTGGGCCCAAATTTGGCGAGGTGCTCAAGTCGAATAGGGCTGGGATGGGAGAAGTAGCCGGAGACGGTCTCACAGCCTCACGACGATACGAGAGTCGCATATTGCCGGGGAGCCTGTCGGCCACGCAGGCGATACCTCAGGTCCAGGTTGAGTGAGTGAGTAGGTAAGTCGACGATGTGACTTGAAAGTCGGTCACGGCAATAGAGCGTCAACCACCGGCGCTAGATTTTTCCGTTCCGGGGACGATCAGCCTGCGCCAAAAATCCATCACTCTCGACTCACCTACCGCTCAACTTGCATTCCGATACTGACGTCGCACGACCCTAGCAGCCACCACCATATTCGTGCAGTCGCAATGCCCGTCGTCAAAGGTGGTGTGTGGACCAACATCGAAGACGAAATTCTCAAGGCCTCAGTATCCAAATATGGGTTGAATCAGTGGGCTCGTGTTTCATCGTTACTTGCGCGAAAAACACCCAAGCAATGCAAGGCAAGATGGACAGAATGGCTGGACCCAGGCATTCGCAAGATCGAGTGGTCCAAGGAAGAAGACGAGAAGTTGTTACACCTGGCCAAGTTGATGCCCACGCAATGGCGAACAATTGCGCCCATCGTTGGAAGGACGGCTACCCAGTGCCTGGAGCGCTATCAGAAGCTGCTCGACGAAGCCGAAGCCCGTGAGAACGACGAGCTGGGACTTGGGGGTCCGGAGGGCGGAGAGACTGCTGCGCCGACAGGAGATCAGGTCCGAAGATTGCGCCCAGGCGAACTTGACCCAGATCCGGAATCGAAGCCTGCACGCCCTGATACCATCGATCTCGACGAAGATGAAAAAGAAATGCTTAGCGAGGCTCGAGCGCGTTTGGCGAATACGCAGGGGAAGAAGGCGAAACGGAAAGCCCGTGAACGACAACTCGAGGAATCAAGGAGACTGGCAGTGCTGCAGAAGAGACGGGAACTTAAGAATGCAGGCATCAATATCAAGATCACCACGCGCAAGAAGGGCGAGATGGACTACAATGCAGACATCCCCTTTGAAAAGCAAGCCGCCGCCGGTTTCCACGACACACTAGAAGAACAGGCGAGGAATGATCGGGAGCGGGAAATGTTCGATCCCCGCAAGCAACAGCTGGCAAGAAAGCGACAAGGAGACGCCGAAGACAACGTCGATTCGAAACGCCAGAAGCAAGACAAGAGCAAAGACTCGGCCGCCATGGCCGCTGCCGCAAGAGCTGGACAAATGCAGCGGTTGCGTGAGGCGGAGCAGCAGAGCAAGCGCCATGCATTGAATCTACCTGCACCCCAAGTCAGCGAAGGCGAGCTGGAGGAGATTGTGAAGATGGGCATGGCTGGCGACAGAGCAGCTAAAGCTGCTGGCCAGGAGGATGGAGACGACCGTGGGCTGGTTTCACAGTATTCGAACATGGTCGGCGCTACACCTATTCGAACCCCTCGGGCGCCTGCACAGGAAGATCATATCGCGAATGAGATCAGGAACATCCGCGCTCTAACCGAGACCCAATCTTCGTTACTGGGCGGCCAAAACACTCCGCTACATGAGGGTAGCAGCTCAACCGGCTTTGACGGAATTGCTCCTCGCAGAAATGAAATGGTCACTCCTAACCCAATGGCTACACCCTTCCGTCAGACCGGAGCTGGAAGTAATCTCCCTGGCGCCACTCCATTGCGCACGCCGCGTGACAGCTTAATCATCAATGAACAAGGCGAACGCCAACTGGTACCACAGACTCCGCGGGATATGCGCCTCGCTGAAAATGTGGCCCGGCACTCACTGAGAGCCAAGCTTGCCTCATTACCTAAGCCGAAAGAGTCAGAATGGGAACTTGAAGTCCTACCATCTGAGCAAGAAGAGGCCGCAGCTGAACCGGCTCTCACACAGGAAGACCAAGAAGAAATCGATCGTCGGGAGCGTGAAGCACGAGAAGCGGCAGAAAAAGCGGATTTCAGACGACAAACCCAGGTGTATCAACGGGCACTACCCCGACCTGTCAGTATCGACTACAACTCTCTGGCCTCGGACGCCACGTCTATCACAGATCCTATTCGAGCAATGATCGCTCAAGAAGCAGCTCTGCTGATGGCTCACGACGCTCGTAATTTTCCACTACCCGGCTCCAAAATGCTAGGGAAACCTCCCAGACTGAGCGCCTTCCCTGACGACCTCCTGGCCCAAGCCCGGCAACAACTAAAAGACGCATGCAACGAAACCGAGCGACAATCCTACGTCGAATCCATCATTTCTCTCACATCATCCGAAACCGAGCCTAATGCCCTTCCTCTCAAATTTCGCCCCGGCACAACCCCTGATGAATACCTCTCTGCTTTTCGCACCGCTCAACAAACCCTCCTCTCGTCGGCGGCGGCGGGTCAAAAGCTCGAAGACAAGCTCAAGTTGCACCTGGGCGGCTATCAAGCTCGACAAAAGACACTCAAGCAGAAGATTGCGACCGTCTATGCGCAGATCGAGGAGCAGAGGGCACAGCTGGATGGCTTCAGGACGCTGCAGATCAGCGAAGAAGGTGCTTTGGCGAGAAGGCTCGAGAAGCTGAGGGATGAGGTCAACTTTGTGATGAGACGCGAGAGGGAGGCACAGGAGGATTACCGTACCGTTCGGGACGAGGCGAGGGCATTGGAAGAGAGCACCAATGCGGTCAATGGTGTCAACGGGCATGCATAAGGTAGAAGGTATGGAAGGCTAGCCTCTTAAGCTCCTGCCCCATGTGCGAGGCTTTCCCAGAAAGGGGCTCACTTCCCCCGCAGGGAGTACATGTCCCTCAATAAAGTATCCAACTTGCTCCCCTTCTCCTGGTCCCGAGCCTCGGCCTCTGATTTCGTCTCTCGTTCCCCGATTTCCTATTCCGTGATCCGAACGCAGTGCTTTACTGACCTCCCCAGTCGCGGCGAGCATTAAAAGCGGGGGAAGCCGAAATATGCTTCTCTGCGGCTCCGCATCGCAAGCACCAACACCAATCATGAGATGCTCGCCTCCTGTACGAGTGGTGTGAAGCTCATGAGACCAACTATGCAAGCGCGACTTGCGCATGAACAACACAAATGAACAAGCCATGCTTTTTCTTTCCTGACGACCGAAGCCCGAGGAGGGTGATAGAGCGGGCCCTTCCCCTGCCTCCTTCTTCATTTGCGTATATAGCTAATAGTAGCTACCTGACTACAGCTGTGGGCAAGTTTTAAGTGCTCGAATACTTCGGACAAGAGTAGCAGAACCGGCAACCTCAAGAGTCAACGTCAAAGCTCAACTCCACGAGATTCAGATCTAGCTTCTTTCAACATGAAGGCCCTCGTATACCAGGGGGATGGCAAGTGTGGGCTTGAAGACCGCTCCGTGCCAAAGATCAAGGACCCGTCGGATGCGATCGTGAAAGGTATGTTTCGCTTCTCCTCTTCTGTGGGTGTGAGTTTCGGCCTGGGCTTAAACTTGAGGTTATTGTGTCGTAGTAGCTAATGGTGCACTGCCACAGTGGTGTTTACGACGATATGCGGGACCGACACGCACATCCTGCACGGGGATGTCCCGACGTGCAAACCGGGCACGATCCTCGGACACGAAGGTTGGATTCTTGTGCCCCTTGCCCTGATTTCTTCCCACATAACGCACGGAAATCCATGAGGCGCAATGTGAAAATGATTGACCACGATGACAGGAGTCGGCGTTGTCGAAGAGCCCGGCTCGGGCGTAGCCCGCTTCAAAAAGGGCGATCACGTCCTCATCAACTGCATCTCCAGCTGCGCAACGTGCAGCTACTGTCGCCGGGGCATGCATAGCCACTGCGTCAACGGGGGCTGGATCCTCGGCCACACCATCGACGGCACGCAGGCCGAGTATGTCCGCATCCCGTTCGCGGACAGTGGGCTGCACCACGTGCCCAAGGGCGTCGACGAAAAAGCTTTGGTGATGCTGTCCGACATCTTCCCGACGGGGCTGGAATGCGGCGTGCAAAACGGCAAGGTCCAGCCCGGGTCGACGGTCGCGATCGTGGGCTCCGGCCCCGTCGGTCTGGCCGCGTTGATGACCTCGAAGCTCTACTCGCCCAGTCTGGTGATCATGATCGATCGGGACCCTAGCCGGTTGAAGGTCGCGAAGAGGCTCGGGGCGGACCGCACGGTCAACAGCGCCGAGACGGACCCAATGGAAGTTGTGATGAAACTCACCGACAATGTCGGCTGCGATACGGTCATGGAGGCCGTGGGCGTGCCCGAGACGTTGGAGATGGCGCAGGATCTCGTCGCGCCCGGCGGCACGGTCGCCAACGTCGGCGTGCATGGCAAGAGCTGCGTGTTGAAGATCGAGAAGCTGTGGAGCCAGAACATCTCGCTGACGACCAGGTTGGTCGACACGGTCACCACGCCTATGTTGTTGAAGCTCTTTGCCGCGGGCGGCATTCAGCCGGGACAGCTGATCACGCACGAGTTTTCGTTCGCAGACATGGAACAGGCGTACACGACGTTCAAGGCCGCGGCGCAGCACGACGCGCTGAAGATGTTGATCAAGGTGTGAAGTTTGCCTTGTGTATATTATCTGTGGCGCTACGTTGGATGTCCACGCGGGTCGTATGCCAGATGGGGGACCATCTATGCTGATAGGGACAAATCTCAAGCATTGAATCCCAGCCCTTTGACCTCAGCGTCGCCGATGAGCGCGCTTTTCACCTCTTCTTCGCCTACTCTCAGTCTGACCTTGCCTGCTCTTTCACCCTTTGCTCTCGTTTCCATAGCAATGACGCCGGCCTCCACCAGCTCCATGGCTGCGCCGCCTAGAGCCAAGATACGGGGCATGACGGCCGTGGAGCCGCTCCGTCCCGAGTTGTCATTTGCGAGGACTAGAAAATCGTGTATGGCGCTGTTTTCAGCAACATCGGCAATGCGTCTGGCTTCAATCATGATGTCGCCGAGGGTGCATTCGGCAATGCCCGTGCGGCGGCTGCGTGCAAGCATTGCCGCAAGGAAGAGTTTGCATGCCAAGGACAGGGAGCGGAGATGTTGTGCGATAGGGGAAGACGTTGCTTCGTTGATGGCCTGCTTGATGGTGGCAATGGTCACGCTTGCCACTTGCTTGGGGCCTTTTGGCTTCTTGTCACTCTCGTTGTCGTTGGCATTGTCGTTGCTCTTGTCCTTGGACGTGTGTTTTGAGGCCTTCCTGCCTCTGCGGCTCGGGGTACTCGCCAACACGTCCTCGTTCTCCGTATTAGTCGTGTTCTGCTTCTCTTGAGCCTGCTCCGCGATCTCGACCGCTCGACGACAGATGTCAAGTGCGCGTCTCGCGTCGCCGGACACGGCTGCAACTTTTCGGCTGGCGAACTGGACGGCGTCCTTGTCGACAATGTTGCCCGGCACGCCTTCCAGCCGCGAGGTTATAATCTCCATCAGCTGCGTATGCGTGTAGCCTGGAAATGTGATCCTTGTGAGGCCCAGGCGGGAGCTGATCTTGTTGGACAGCGTCCGCTCCGGCAGATCCATCGTGTTTGCAACTGCAAGGACAATGAGCTTGGAATGCCTCATTGCAGGCCAGTTGAAGAAGTTGTACATGACGCTTTGGTTCTTGGTGACCAGTTGATCAAGTTCATCCATCAACACCACGCACGGGATCCGTCGTGGGGATGGGTGCGAGAATTCCTGCTCCAGGAGGCTGAGGGCGTGGTGCGGACTGACACGGTCGCCCTTCAGCGCCTCCCACAGCAGAGAGTATGATTGGTGTGGTTCGGTGACTTTCATGCCGTTGATCTCGACGAAGTTGAAGCCGTCGAGCTCTTCATTCAGCACCGCCTGATGGAGTGATGCGACCACCTCGCGGACTGTGGCTGTCTTCCCCGTCCCAGGCGTCCCTGAGATGTAGATACAGGCTCCGGAACCGTCGACAATGGCAGAGTAGAGGTGCGAATAGACAGAGCTGAACTCGTTGGACCGACAGGGTAGAGACGTGGGAACAGCCGAGACATGTAGTGTTGCGCGTGCGTGCGAGTACGGGGTCGACATGTACTGGGAGGGGGAAAGAGTCCGAGTCCCCAGCGGCGTTATGTCGATTGGCTTTTTGATCATGATCCGCTTATGCGTCGGTGTAGTATATTTGGATGCCTTTGCGGAAGACTTGGGAGTGGAAACCGTGGTAGTGGCCTTCCTCTTCTTCGACGGTGTTCGAGGTTGATCGTCTGTGATATCCCCCTTTTGATCGTATTCGAGGTCCTCCTTTTTAGGTGGCTTTCTGTTCTTCAGTTTCGTCTGCTCCTTGATCCAGTCCACCAAGTCTAGGATACTCTCAGGCCCCGTGAAGATCTCCTCCCATACAAAATCCTCGGTGAATTGAAGCGTCCTTTGCTTGACCCCACGCCGGCACAAGATGGTCTTCGCATAGCGATTCGCCGCAGCCTTCGATTTTGGCGGTTGACCGCCAGGATATGTTTGAAAGAAGGCGTCCTTGGACAGTACGGCCGCTCTCCCATTTATCGCGGTTAGAGGATTTAGGTTGAAATCCGCCGTAATATAGGATTCGTTGGGTAAGACATCAGGGAGCTTGGATCGTTTGCCGGACATCAGCTCCTCAGGCGTACAGAACCACTGGATGTGCACACACATCTCTTCCTCTCCATCTTCGTTCATGTCGGAGAAATCGCAGGCGAGTCCGACCCAGTCTTTCCCCTGCTCCGGCGATTTCAACAACACCGAATCCCCTACTCGAACTGAAAATGAACCCATGCGGGCACCAATGGGCTTCTTCTTCCCTTCGAGAGCGCTAGCTTTCCTTTTCTTAGACGGTGTTCTTTGGTCTACTATGATCTTCTCATCCTCATCGTATATCCACTGCCAGGGATGATCTTCATATCCGAGTTCATCGTCTGAATCTTCGCGTCTGAGACCACCTTTTGTCAGATACGCCTTCTGCTTGACCGGCGTCGTCTTCGCTATCGTCAATGGCATTTTGTTCGGTCGCGTGTGCCTATCCTGTATGCCTCCTCATCAGAAGTGTACGAAGTGGAATTTCGTTAACACAACACGTAAACGCGAGGACGCGTATTAGCTAAGCAGCAATATAGCCATTCTGGGTTAGCATGATCTTGGCATCAGCCTTGCCGCGATTGGCCGACGTTCATGTTTTTCTCACTTCCACTCTATCTTCGCACCTTGCCGTCGATGATGGTCACAATGATATTGGTGAAGGGGTCAAGCAGGTAGGAGCGGATCTGGCATACTAAAAATGAATCTATGTGTGGCATAATTTTTACTGCAGACGAACAGACTTGAGCCCCGCATAAAGTCGACACTTCATTGATCCTGTCCTGCTTGCACACATTTCTGGACTGCACGAGCATGGGGAATTTGCAACCACAGTGGCTTGATGAGCAATACTTGGAGCCTTTTCATCATTTCAGACTCTCTTGTGATAATCCTGATTTGAAGACTACGGACCAGGCTTGTCAATAGGTTTGGGACGAACCGTCAAACTCCTTTCAGTTTGCTTGGCCGTCACCAACCGACTCTGATGCTCTCAGGTCGACGTTACCCATGAGTGTCGGTACCGCAAGAGCTTTGACCTTTGTCACTGGCATTTGCGACAGCTTGCCTGGGTGTCAGCCTCTGTCACCGTCTGCGCGCAATCTTTCTTAAACTTTATATTCTCCTCCGATTTCCGAGAAAGACTTTTCATCTTCGTTACTTCATCTTCCGCGCCACCTATCTTTGCCTAAGTCTTGGCCTGTTGCTGGCAACGACATCATCGCCAAGGTCTTGGTGCGGACAATCACATCTCTCTTCTCTGAGACGATATCACATCCATCACGATGTCCGAGTGAGTCTTGTGTCGCTTCGTCGTTATTGCACGTACTAACGTTTCGACCCAGCCACGAGGCCGATGACCTCGATCTTGAACGTGCGTCTCCATCTCATTGTCATCTTTGTCGATCTTTGGTCGCTCCCAAGCAACGTCGCGGCTAAACTTTTCACAGGCTGGGAGGTGGCGAGTTTGGAAGGCGGGTCAATCTTTTCTTATGCAGCGTCCGAAGTCCTCTATCAAGGAACAGCTCAGCACGCAGCACATTTCTACCCGCCAGCTGGTGGTCGCGGTGGTCCAGGTCCACGAGGAGACTTCCCTGTTGGGCATCAGAACGGCGTCGTACCAGCACCAAATCGCGGAATTCAGCAACCCACTCGATTTGGCCAACCCAGAAACGCCGCGGTCCGACCCCGACAACAAATCCCACAACGTTTTGCAAACAGATCAGCGGCAGAGCTTCGAGCGGCGAACGGTCTAGCACCGAATGGCGAGTACAAGCTCCTCTCTCCGACCTGGAAAACCCTGGTGACCATGGCGTTGAGAATTGATAGAGCGGCTCAACCCCAACCGAAGCAGGTGTTGAGACTGATCATGCGTGAGACCGAGACATTCATCAGAGAACCTGTCATTCACGACCAGGCCATTTTCATCTGGGGCAAGGTTGAGCAGGTGACAGAGGCTAAGGACCAATTGGCTAAATGGGAACAAGATGTGCGTGACTCAGCTACAGCGGCAAGAACCGCGGCCTGGCACAAAGAAAAAGCACACGACGGCCGAGCCGAGCACCGTGAGGAGCGGGAGAACAGAGAGAAATATCTCAAGAACCTCAGGCAGGAAGCGGAAATCAAGTACCCGGTCGAAGTCGTCTTGCTCTGGCCGAGAGAGCTGGACATTGGCGAATTTGAGAGCACGAACACTGAAGCCATCGATCAGTTCAGAAGCCAGTTCAGTTGCCGAATCAGCTTCCCGGGTTCCAACATTGAGCACACCAGTGTCGAGCACATCACAATTGCGGCAGAGTCCCCCGTCGACGCTGCTTCTCTCAAGGAGAGAATGATCAATTTGATCAAGGAGACGATTTCCCGCAGAGACCAGCTATCCACCGCCAACATGGTCCATATTCCCGACTTTGACATCTACCGAGACAGAGTGGGCCTCCTAGATCTCGATCCCAAAAGTGGAAGCTACCTACCTACTCTGCACGGCAAACCTGCAGCGGACAAAGGACAGTTAAGCAAGGACCGCCGGCAGGTCCAGGTCAACAATCACAAAAAGATTAAGAAAACCATTGACACAGCCATCAAGAGGCTCCGAGTGTCTCAACAGCATACCCGAATGAGGTTCGTCTTTGGCGAACTGGGATTCGTGTTTTTTCAAAAACCAGCCGCCGGCGCCGAGACGTACAGCTTTGAGGATTTCTACACCATGGTGACCAAAGAGCGCATCAAGTTGACGCTGAACGGCCTCCCCATCCGCCAAGGCGAGGTAACTGACCTGCCAGACGTCCTCGAGCAAATGGATGCCTTCTCCGACCCTACTGAATATTACGCCGCATTCTTCGACTTCCCCGGTACGACCAGCAGTTCGACTCTTCGGCTCGAGACCGTCTTCACCCCGATGGGCGCGGACGAAACCGAGAACCGCGAGAAGCGCTGGGTGGAAATCAGCGACGCAGTCTCCAAACTACAAGCCAGCCATCTGAACTTTGACCGACCAGATTACCAAGTCACGATTGATGCCTTCCCTCTTGGGATCGATCAGCTCCGAAAGGCTCAGATCCAAGCCTTTCAGGCAAACATAACCATGGAACGACCCCCAGACGGCATCAAGTCCACGCCACGTCGCCGTGTCAAGCATCCCCAGGAGCGAGGCTTACAGTTTGTCTCGGAGCTCACCTTGCTGAAATACCGTTTCAAGAACACCGACGGGGTCTTCGAGTTGCGTCGTAAAGACACCTACGACTTACGCCCTGGTAAGGAGAATAACAGTCCTTTCGAGACGCGTTGGCACGCTCTTTACTACTATCCTGAGTGGGACAACCTGATGGGCGAGTTTGCCAACATCCGACCCGGCGAGGACGTCAAGTGGGCTAAGTCGGTCGCAACCTTCTTCCCCGAGAGCGGTGATCAGTGGACAGCCCTGCCTATGGGGTTCAAAAACTTTATGAACGAGGTCGAGGAGATCCAGAACCTGTTGTCCGAGGCGATTAGCCGTCTCGCCAATAGAAAGGGACCGGGAAGGGCGACTGAGCATGGGCATACAAATGGCGCTTGAGGTCGAGGAAATGTAAGTGGTGTCTTGCCCGGCAAGAAAGACATACGGGAGATAGATTGAGGGACGGCTCCGAACCAGACCCAAATTGAGCGAGAGCCACCAGGTAGCTCATCAGGGGGGTCTAGGCGTGGACAAAGCGATGCCCATCACGAGCATCATAAGCATGACATGACGACGATCGTGCAGAGCAGTGCAGCGCCAGCGCTTTTCCGAGTATCTCTTCGAGCCTCTTTGACGTACAAAGCCATACCATAGCCAGAGCACCTAGGGACCTAGTGTGTGCTTACCGCGTTGGATACAGCCGCCAACGAGACAATGCCATTACAGTCATTGCGAGCGCGCCGTAGGTACGCGCGTGCATACCATACGAGAGCATAGCGAAACTCCAGTTCCTCCTGGTGCCATATCATGGTTCTCCTCCCGTCAAGAAGAGGTCCACACGCCCCGGTGATGGTCGCCACAAACAGACCCAGAATCCAAGCACTTTATGCTGGAATTTCGACCTTTCAGCTCCAATATATCCTTGTTCTGAACCCGGGGGCACTACGGTCCATAACGCCCTCCTCGCAGCCATGCTATGTGATGCTGTGCCGTGCGATGCAATCGTTCCTATCCTCACCCAACCGCCGCCGCCGCCACAGCGTTCGCACTCCCCCCACCGCCACCAGCGCCAAACTGCCTAGGCTGCTCATCGACCATCTTCCGCCTGAGCACGTCCTCGATAATCCTGAGATTTTCGCTCTTCCCCGTCACCACCTTTTCAATGTCCGCCAGGTTTTTCGCGAGTTCCTCGATCTTGCGCTGGTAGAACGTGATGCCGTCCTTTGGTGTCTTTTCGACGAAAAATCCCGTGCCGACGTCGACTAGGAGGCTTGCTTGGGAGCTCGAACTCGCGCCCGACGTCGGAGCCAGCGTGCCGGGGATGTAGAGCGACGTGGTGAGAGGGATGAGGAGGGGCGTTCCTAGGTGGTGGTGGAGAAGGTTAGTATAGTAGCTTGGTTGCATGTGCATGATTTAATGGTTGCATGGTTTCATGGTTCGTGAGGTCACTTTTGCGCCATGTCTTCTGGTTGTGCTCCGCGATGATGGCCAGAGACACACAGAGTGAGAGAGGGGCGCAATGTATTTCCCCCCTACAAATTGACTTGCTGTCGGCCACAGAGGGGAGGAGAGAGACATAACGTATTTCTTCCCTACACCCAACTTCAACTCGCACAACGTACCTCCGCTCTTCCCCTCCACCCCGTCTCGTATGCTCTTGATGCAGTCTCTAAAGCGGGCCTGCGCGGCGCGCAGCCGCTGGTACGACGTGCTCAGGTGTTCGAGTTCCTGGGACAGGCGGGCCTGGAGGGCCGATAGTTGCTGCACGGAGAGGGTCGAGATGTCGACTCCGCCGCCGCCTCCGCCTTGAGCGGACTGAGACATCGTTGCCGCGTGGGTCCTGTGGGTACAGTACTGGAGTTTGTTGGGTGCGTGATTGAGCCGGCTTGTGGCTTGGGATTGGGATTGGGATCAAGATTCGGGATGGGAATGTAAACTCGAATAGAGTGCTTTTCGTGAGGGAAAATGTCACACTGGAGGGGATTGGGCTTGGGAGGATCGAGGACGCAGAGACAAGACGATGTGCAATGCGAAGAAGAGTTGGTGTACTAGCACGAGTACTCCGTACTCCGTACTTCCTTCGTTTTCTTCTGAGTGGTGAGGGGAAGTGGAAATATTCAGCCTTGTCTGGGGTGTGAGGCTGAGCTTGCGGTACGTACCGTTTGAGGGGACCATTCTACAGTAGCGAACAAAACTTCTATTTCACGAGGTGAGTGCCTTGTGCTTACGTTGTCAATAGAAGCACGATCACATGTGTCGATCGTTTATGCTCGTAGCGAGACTCAATCTCCCCTTAGGGAGCAGATCTCTGTTTGAATGTAGCTCGTGGTATTACAAGCTGGGAGAGGGGTATCTAAAACCGGCATATGGTACAACGCACGCCTTCAGCTTACAGATCGACTCACAATCGCTTCGGCTCACAACTGCTCCGGCTCACAGTCGCTCTGGCTCATAATTGCTTCAACAGACTATGCACAAACTGTGGCGTACTTACAATGTCGACCTCCTGCTTCACTTTCAACCGACGGCACTGGACCTCGACTTTCCCCTGGTCGAATGCTTTCCCAACCACGACAATAACAGGATATCCGATCATATCGGCGTCCTTCAGCTTCCAGCCCATGCCTTGTTCCCGGTCATCGAGTATGGCGTCAACGCCACCCAGGTCGGTCGCGGATAACTGATCATACAGGCGCTCTGCTGCCCGGAGTCTTTGGGCCTGCGACGGTTGGACAACGATGACGGCTTCAAAAGGCGCAATAGCCCTCGGCCAATTGAGTCCGACTTCGTCGGAAAGACAAGATGCCGTAGCTGCAATCAGTCGAGACACGCCGATTCCATGGCAGCCCATCTCCACAGGCGTGGCTTGTCTGCCGGCTTCCTGCTTGGTCGCAAGGCCAAGTTTCGAGCTATACCGTGTTCCTAGGTGAAAAGTATGGCCGATTTCAATGGCTTTGTCGATGCTCAAGGTGCCGGTCTTGCATTGCGGGCATGGGTCCCCGGATTCCCGCTTCAACAAGCTACTTGCACCCATTTGCTCATCATGTGGCGCTCGGACGGCGCAATGGTTGACTTGGGCATGCAGGAAATCGGAGACAGATGAGCGAGGGACCAGCCCGGCCGGGACAGGCGAGTCGAGGAGGTAATAAACCGACCGCTGCTTCGGTCCGTTGTGGCTCACGTCGTCACATAGTGATTTCCTGAACTGATTCAAAGGATCCTCGACACCTGTGTCAATGTCCAATATACCGCTCAAGGCCGCTTTCACGGCGTAGGGGTTTACGGCGCGTGTTGCGGTCTCGCCCGATGAAGCCCGCTCGGAGGCGTTGGAAGTAATGACGCGGACCAGACTCAGCCGATCTGTGCTGAGAAAGTCTTCCTGGAGGAGCCCACCCGGGACTTCGTCTTGGGTGGAGCAGTTCTTCAGGAAGTCTTCAACGTTGTTGAACGAGTCAGCCCTGTATGGTGGCTGGGAGACAAATTCCTCATTGCGTGCATAGTCACAGTCTGAACACGTGATGACAGTGTCCTCACCAGCGAAGTTGGGAAAGTGATATTCATGGCTGAGGTTGCCACCCATATCGCCCGACGTGGCTCTCGCTTCGATGTACTTGATCTTGAGCTCGTCGAGAAAACTGCGGTACACATTTCGAATCTCGTCGTATGTTATGTGCGCTGCCTCGGGACTGTGGTCGAACGTGTACAGGTCTTTCATCAGAAATTCGCGCCCCCGCAGCAGTCCGCCACGAGGTCGTTTCTCATCGCGGTACTTCCTGCTGATCTGGTAGAGTCGAATGGGCAGCTGTTGCGGTGTATGGACGAGTTCGGCGAGCAAGTTGGTAATCTCTTCTTCGTGTGTCGGAGCTAGTAGCCATCCTACATCCTTCCTGTCTTTGAAGGTGAACATTTCGCCGCCCGCCTTCAACCGCCCAGATTTCTCCCACAACGCTTGTGACGAGATGGACGACAAGGAAACTTTGGAAGCCTTGACCGATCTCATGTGTTTGTCGATCAACCGCTCCAGTTTTTCCTGTACTCGAAGGCCGAGCGGCAACAGCTGGAAGATACCAGCATACGCTTGCCGCAAATAGCCCGCGCGGATGAGCAGCTGAGTCGCGTCGGTAGCTGCATCTTGCTTTTGGACATTGACTGTTGGTATCCAGAAGTCACATATCCGCTGTCTCGAGTCGTTGTGGGTATGGCGAGCTCCTAGCAGGCGCAATGACGGTGGCCGCCAGACTGCTCTTCGGCTTGGCCAAGATCCGACTCGAAGCTTCATTCAGAAATGAGAAATATAGTCCGGGACCTGACAGGCTACTCCTGGGACATCCGACAAATACGAGCCGACGAGGACAACGAACAAACAGAGTAACATAGGGGAGCCCTGGCGGCTGAAGAGCCTAAAGAGCCCCGGGCCTTGGGGCCCCTGTTTCTAGCCAATCAGACGCGGCGAATCCCGGCCACGACCATGCGACGTGCCCAAGACGAAGCTCGACGCGGCCTCCACCCTGCTCTGCTTTCCTCACAATCCAGCAAATATCACAATCGCAGTCCTTGTCGCCTTCTCCATGTGGCCTCCTCATCTGGCCATGATGCTACATACTCATGTGGATCGCCACGGAAGCGAAGGAGCCATCCCATGGTATCCGCCAGCAACGAACCCGTCGCTGTGATAAGCTGCGTCGCGTCTCCGACATTGGCCACATACCGAACTCCCATATCCATAGATCGGTGCATTGCCATTCTTGCCGACATTTCGCGAGCTGGGATTATCGGATTCACACGCGCGTTAAGGCTGATGCAGGACATATTAACTCGAAATGGACGCCCTGCGAGCTTCAGAGATGCACCGATCTAAAACTGGTAATGAGATCGGTTTGCTTCGTCCCCTGCTGCTGCCCTGACCAGGAGAACACGCCGCAATATCTTTTTCTGGAAGCGTTGCACGAGCTGACATTGGGCATTATGAGCCATGGCCATCCTTCGTGCTGCCGTCAGACTGGGTTGCTCCCAAATATACCCGTCTGTATGAGTGCTTTTTTGACCAGGTCACTCTGCCTGCATGCGACAGCCACCCTGATTCGATGAGAATATGTGTACAGCCACCTCCACAACCACATCTACCAATACTTTCGCGCCTTCTACGGCTACGCTCAGCAAGGCAGCGGTAACTCCCCAACTACAAAGGCGCGGCTAGCATGTGGGCGGTTCAGAAGGAAGAGTCCACATACATGTAACCCCATGATCTGACAGTTCAAGATTCACGGACACCAACCTCTTCGAGGCGGGGTACTTCAACGACCAGATCCCCCTCGCCAGGCAATTTGCCGGAGTCGAGGATCCAGACTCGGGTGCAACACGATGCGATGCGACGCGACGTGTCCTACAAGCATGTTGTTTCAACGTAATACACCCAACCCACCCCCTAGTCATAAACGTCCATTTGATACATGTAGCACGTAACAAGTAACGCGGGCTCACGACACTGGCACTGCCGATCTCAACACAGCAGACCCTGCCTGCCCTTGCTGCCCCTGTTGCCTGAGATCCACGTCCCTCAATCCAACAAGATAGACCTGCCAGAACCCGACACCCCCACACGTCTGCAAGCCATATCCCGCGCAAGAGACATTGCAGTACCGCATGTCGACCTCGGAATCCAGCGCCGGAAAGTCGTCCCCGCAATAACAAGTCGTCCCACCAGTCGTGGCCATGATAGCCTTCTCCAACCGGCGGCATACGGAGAGACAGTATCCTGTCGACTGAAATATGTAGTCGCCTTGAGACTCGAGGGGGTGGCCGTCGCTGTAGCAGCCTAGTGGGGTGATTGGGGCGTGTGTCGGTTGGGCTTCCGGGGCTGCACCTAGGGAGATTGGTCCTGATGCAGTTGTGTATGCCAATGCTGACGACTCGGCGAGGGCCGGTGATGCGAGGAGCACGAAAGGTGAAATCAAGAGGAGGCGCAAGATCAATGCCATGGTGTGTGATATCGACGGGGTCATATCGGGCGATGATTCTTGCAAAAAAGGGTATTCGAGCGAGGTGGGAAGTCTAGCTTATTTACAGTGCTTCAATTACCGTCGTGCTGCCACCAAATAGCGGTGCGCGCGGGTATCACAGCATACAGTAGCCGTGTCGTACTCGTACGGTGATAAAGACTGGCACCACTGAGAAACGAGGCTCTCGCTGTCGCCTGGTGGTGAAGTCGAGCGGAGATAAACATTCTTGGCGCTCGATCAAATCCGCCCGAGAAGCGGCCGGCGGTCGCGAGATTTTTGGGAGGATTTCTGCGGCTCCACTACATGCAATTCGACGCTGGGAAGTGCACGGTCTTGACTACTGACAAACACCGAGGACAGCGGGCTCGATGTCGAGGCCAAAGACGGCCGCCAGTGGCGCTAACACTGTCAAGGCGAACACGTCTCGCCGCAAGCCTTCGAAGTCCACCGGCGAGTCGAAAGATGAAGTTGTTCAGGATCTGCGCAAGACAATCCAGCGACGGTACCTCCGCGAATCTGATGTTGCCAAGATCCAAGACAAGAAGGGAGGAGGAAATAAAAAGCCTCGGAAGGAGCAAAAAGCCAGTAAGGACACCGAACAGTCAGGGACGGGGCGGGGAAAGAAACGGGATCGCAATGGCAAGGTCCTCGGTCAGAACAAGAAGTCTGCTGAGCAAGACGGCGCTGCCCCAGCAGTAAACCCAGACGACGAACATGTTCTGGCGCAAGAGATGAAGAGTCTAGGTGGCACTGCGGAAGACTTGGACCTGCTGGCGGGCGCGGACTCGGAGTCAGAACTGGAGGGTGATGTCCCCAACAATGCCTTGGAAAGCCTGGACAAGGGAATGAAGAATATTCTGAAAGAGATTGCTCTTGCTCAAGGAGAGATTGAGGACGACGATGAGGCTGAGGACGACGGCCTGGACGGTGACAGTGAGGTTCCCGAACCAGTCGGCATGTCCATACCGATGCCAGATCAGAAAACGGAACAGACGAAGAAGGGCAGGAAGAACCAGATCCAATTCTTGTGCGAACCAAAGCCAGAGTGGTTTGACGTGTCGGACCCGGACATTGACACCGACACGCAGCCCAAATATACCATCTCCAAGGACTCCATTGATCAGCTCCATGAATACGCTAAATCTCTCCTTGACGAGGAAAACCGAAAGTTCCAAGAATCTCAGCAGTCGTCGGCCGCACAGTCGTTCTACAACACCGTCATCACGTCGGGAACATTGTCCGACAAGATCTCGGCTCTGACCTTGGCGGTACAAGAATCGCCCATTCACAATGTCAAAGCGCTTGAGACGCTGATCGGTCTGGCTGGCAAGAGAAGTCGCTCTCAAGCAGTCGATGTGCTTCGAGCCTTGAAGGACCTGTTCGCCCAAGGCTCCCTGCTCCCTTCGTCCAGGAAGCTTTATGCGTTTCAAGCACAGCCAACGCTTGTATATTTCTTTCGGAACACTAGGAATTGGAGACAAGGGCAACAATTACCCGGTGGTCTCGAGGAGAAACGCCTCGTTATCTGGGCCTTTGAGAGCTGGCTGAAAGAGCAATACTTTGAGGTCCTGAAGATTCTCGAGGTATGGTGCAACGACGAGATTGAGTTTTCCAAGGCCAGAGCGCTCAGCTACGTATACGAGCTCCTCAACGAACGGCCAGAACAAGAGTCAAACCTGCTTCGTCTACTGGTCAACAAGCTGGGAGACCCTGTCAAGAAGATCGCTTCGCAGGCATCTTATCTGTTAATGCAGTTGTTGATCGCCCATCCGGCCATGAAAATGGTGGTCGTCTCGGCGATCGAGTCCGACTTCATCTTCCGGCCCGGTCAGAGCTTACATGGCAAATACTACGCAGTGGTCACTGTCAATCAAACAGCGTTGAGTGCGAAAGAAGAGGACGTGGCAGTCAAACTGCTCGACATCTACTTTGGCCTCTTTACAGGGCTGTTGAAAACTGACAAGGAAACTGCTCCGAATGAGGAGGCTGTCCAAGAGCCTCAGTCGCGAGGTGAACAGCGCAGGAAGAAGAACAAGAACTCCCAATCGGCGCCAGGCCAGGCTCAAGCCGAAGAACTGCGCGACAAGCTCATCTCCGCAATCCTCACTGGTGTCAATCGAGCATATCCATACACCAGCACCAGTTCCGCGACCAGCAACAGCGCTTTCTCCGATCACCTCGACACGCTGTTCAGAGTCACTCACTCGGCCAACTTCAACACGTCCATTCAATCACTCCTGCTCATCCAGCAGATCTCTCAGGCCAGTCAACACAAAGCTTCCAGTGATCGCTTCTACCGCGTCCTTTACGAATCCCTTCTGGACCCACGACTCATTGTCGCATCGAAACAGCAACTCTACCTGAACCTGCTCCACCGAGCCCTCAAAGCAGATCTCCACATCAACAGAGTGAGAGCCTTCATCAAGAGACTCACACAGGTGCTAACCCTGCACGAACCGAGCTTCATTTGCGGCGCATTCTTCCTCATCCAAGACCTGGTGAAGACCTTTCCCAGCCTCAAAAGCCTCATCGACGAGCCAGAGGACCACGAAGACGACGACGTAGAAGTCTTCCGCGACGTGCCCTCTGGAGACGAGGATGAAGACCGCCCCGGCACCGCCGTCCTAGCGGCAGATGCGGCACCGAAAAGCACATCTACCTACGACGCGCACAAACGCGACCCGCTGCACGCGAACGCCGCCACCGCCTCCCTCTGGGAGATTCTTCCTTTCCTAGCGCACTTCCACCCGTCCGTCAGTGTCAGCGCCGAAAGCCTCCTCGCCCACCGGCCCCTCTCAGGCAAACCCGACCTCAACGTCCACAGCCTGTCGCACTTCCTTGACCGCTTCGTCTACCGCAACCCTAAACTCTCGCACTCCGGTCTCCGCGGCAGCAGTATCATGCAACCCATGGCCACGGACAACAAAGACGCGGTCCTCCTCTCCGGCAGTACAGTCCGCTCTCTTCCTGTGAATAGCGAACAATTCCGCATGAAGAAATCCGACGATATAGCCGCCGAGGATGTCTTCTTCCATCAATACTTCACGGCGGTGAAGAAGACGACCACCGGCGCCAAGGACGGGAAACAGAAAAAGAACAAGTTGCGCGATATCGACGACGACGAAGGAGGAGGCGTCGAGGATGACGAAGACGAGATCTGGAAGGCCATGATGGCCAGTGCGCCCGACCTCGAGGGCGACGAGTTTGAAGATGACGACGCGGACCTTGACTTGGCGGATTTGGGGTCTGACGACGACGACGACAACGACGTGGCCACAGGATCAGATGCAGATCTTGACCTCGAGATCGCCGGAGACGCTGATGAAGTGGACATCGATCCGGCTTTCTTCGAAGACGACGAAGACGATCTCATGGACGTTGATGCTGACGCTTCAATGCCATCAGCCCGCGGCCATACTGGTCCGGGAGACGCCGACGGCATGCCAAGCGACGTGTCTGATTTTGCGGGATTCGAGTCCGACGATGGCGAGAAACCCAAGAAGAAGGTCAAGGGCGGGAAGAAAGACAGCAGGGCCGAGAAGAAGAAGGTGGTGAAGAATTTGCCCACGTTCGCGACGGCCGAGGCGTACGCCAAGATGTTGGAGGATGACGACGACGAGGATCGATGAGGTTGGATGAGGTCCGGTGAGGTTAGATAAGGTCCGTGAAGGGTCTGCGATGCGATGCGATGCGTGAATCAAGTGTGCGACGCATAATACTGCATCACTCCTTGTTGCGCAGTCTACGGAGTATATTGGATGAAGATCGTTACGCCTGAGGCTGAGACGTACAGTATGGAGACACCACAGGTCCTTTCAACGACGGGAAGAAAAAAATCTGTCATTTATGCACGTTCTTTTTATTATGCTGCAGAATCGTACCGCGTATGCTGTACTCTTTTCTCTTCATTTCCACCGCGTTACAATTAACCTCCGCCCCCATCGCGGCTGGTTATTCCGTTACCCCATGGTACAGATCCCTTCGGCACCACTATGAAGGATTTCCTTGGGCAGTTGCCCTAGTTCCACCACTACTAGACGGTTTTGCGCAACGTGTGCAGAACACCACCCGTTCCGTGACATTCCAAGCTCATAGGCCGAGATATCCTCCAACATATTCAACCTCGATGGTTTTACAGCGAGTTGTCTGCGCATGTAAAGACGCCTTTGACGTTACCTGCTTCGTAGTCGAGAATGATACTGTCGACGGAAGCCTAAGATCGCCAAGCATGTCAGTAATGGTCTCGGTCGTCGCACATCATTAAAACCAAACCATGCTCGGGGTGGAAAGAAACAAGGGTGAACCCGCGTATACTCACATAAGTGCCGACGCCTAGGAAATAGATTCCCACGATAATGATGAAAATGTTCATGAGGAATCCGATCCACCCTCGAAGGCCTCTCTTCTTGTAGAATCCCGGGCCAAGGTCAGCCCGTCGCATTCGCAGGTACGCCACGCCCCAGAAGATCCAACCAAAGAAGGAATCGAATAAACTGCTCATCAAGGACAGCAGATCCGCGAAGAAGGGAATGACTTCGGCGATGATGAAGGCAAAGATCCAGGTCACGGCAAGGATGCCGGCCCAAGCCGCCCATCCGAGCACGGTGTTCTGGGTCTTGTGCTTTGTGCCCTCGAAGACGCGGAAGAAGATGAACCGGGCGCTGACCGAGGCGTACAGGACGCCGAGGAAGATGAGTGTTGGGATCATGAACGAGAAGGAGACTTTCTTGTAGATGTCATTGCCGAGGCTGCCGAAGGCGGGTGCCGTGTTGTATTGGGTGCCGGTGTAGCCATAGACTATCAATGCAGTCGGTCAGCGTCAGGTTCTCCTACCGAAAATGATCTGCGCGTAGACTCACCGACCCCGCCAACCAAGCTGAACAATATGATTTCACAGATGGTAACGAGCCAGAGCGCCTTGCGGAAATCATAGGGGTTCTTCATCTCTGCAATGAAACTAGGCAGCGTGATTTGACCGATGAAAGTGTAGCTGATATTCAAGAAGGCGTTCATCCCTGCGACGAAGGTCGTGCCGACCACGGGCACCACGAGGACTTTTGGCTCGCCACCCAATTTGACGCCGTTTGCGTTGATGTGGTTCGGGTCGGGGTTGTAGCCTGCCGTACCATGCTTGCCTTCTGCGCCGGCAAAGGCAGCTGCGAGAATGACGCTGACGAACGTGAAAAATGCAGAGACCGCGGCCAACTTTGAGAGCGCGTTGAAGGTCCGCGGCATGGAACAGACCCACGAGACGACGGCACCGACGGCGGCGAAGCCAACGGTGCAAACGCTATGACCTAGCATAGGTCAGTGGGTCGCTTACCCGTCAAGTATTAGGTCAGACACATACCGCTCATGGTATTGAGATAGCGGGAGATTGTAAGGACGTGCAGCCCTTGGATAAAGGTGTTGTTCAAGAGGAACATGACGGCGGTAAAATACCAGGCCCATTTCTTGTTCCAAAAGAGCATCTGCAAGTCTCGGGTGAGCATACATAGGTATTGAGAGGAGCAACGCGACTTACCTGCCCAATATCACAAACGTCCAATACCTCAGGATGGCGCAAACAGCTGCATTTTTGTTAGCACCAGGAACGTGATCTGGACAACGAGAAGTCGCAAAATCCACGAGACGGAGGGTCGAGGTTTCTTCGAAGACTCACAATTCCCAGACAACCAGAGATGTGTAGAGAACAAAAGCGGCTTGTACCACGGTGAGAATGAGACCAGGCACTAGGCCGAGAATCGAGTACGAATAAGGGAACGACATGATCGCCAAGCAAATGTACTCGGAGAAGAGTAGCGCAGCAGTCTGGTTGGCTGGTCAGCAGCTATAACATGACGGCGGCCGATGAGAACCAACCTTTTGCCAGGAACAGGTTCTGTACTTGATGGCGTTGTCGGCCTCCATGGCGACCAGTTTCCCATACTCGTCATCCGAGCCTGATGTGTCCGGCAGTGACATAGAACCTGGCTTTGGTGGAGGCCCGATCCTGCTCATCTTGCGGCCATGCACCGTAGTTGAGCCTCGTCGTTCTAGGTCGACACTCCCATTAGGATTGAAGCTGCCGCCATCGCCGAAGCCGGGCTCGTTCTTTTCGCGCACGTCGGACATGTTGATCTTGATATGTCCAAGGTGTTGATAGGTCGTTGAATGATGCTAACGAGAATAGTTCAACGCCACTTGACTGCGCGGATGACCCGTATGAAACAGGTGAGATGAAGGGAATTCGGGATTATAGGAGCCGTCGACTGCATATGAATTTCGCTGGGTCGATGGCTGAGGTGAAGGAGAATAGAGCTCGCGCTTTACACGAGAAGTAAGCTACGATACAGAAATCTCTGGGAGGATATATGGGTGATAAAAGGTAAATTTCTGATGCAACGGGCGAATGAAACTCAAGCGTGAGCAGGTTAGGGATCGCCAGGCCAAATCGCAGAACGTGGACAGAATCATGGACTCATGGTGTATAGATTTGGTTGCAAGAATGGAGCAGGGTGACGCCATAGACGGTTGGGTTGTGGGGTGCAGTAAGCGGAACGATTGATAGCTGACGCGAGTGGCGACAGGCAGGGCGCTGGCTGTGGCGTGCGCGGCGTCCGTTAAGGTTGTTCGGCTGCATGGCAAGGCCTTTTCAGCTCGCAGATGAGCGGGACGCGGCCCGTCGACGACAAGGGGATCCAATAGCAAAAGATGCATGCGACACAGCAAGCGAAGCGTAACTCCCGTCGCCTCCGCAACGACGAGAGCATGTGGGACGAGAATGAACGAGTGGTGGAGGAATCTGAGATCGAACGCAAGCCTGCGAAAGTTCCGTTGAGGTTCTAACACAGTAAAGTTGGCATGTAGCGGGCGCATGTTGGGGCCTGCCAGCTGGTGCGTCAGCCAAGATCAACCGCCTCTTCGGGCGCGTCTTGACTCAAAGCTTCACGCTCTGATCATTGTGTGGTGCGCAGCCGAGTTTTCGGGCTGGGCTTCAGGTCAAGCTCCGCGACAAGATCCTCCAAGAGTTGCTTCGGGTGCGCCTCGTCGCTTAGATGCTTGCTTGAGTTCATGCGCGACGGCCATCAGCGGCATTGATACAGGTCGTCAATAACAAATCCACGAGAGTCTCTCTCATTCTACCCTGGTTTTCACCGTTGCCTCTACGAGCCACCTAGGCTGCTCCTCATGCGATTGACATGGACTTTTTGACCGTGGAGTAATTAATGCAGCCAAAAGCGTCAATCATGCCGGAGTCAGGGGCTACTTACTGTGTTCTTCGGGCCGCCGCGGACCACCAGCTCTTATTATCACAGACGCGCTCATTGCAGGTCGCCAGCAAAGCCCAGTCCGAGAATTGAAGCGCTGTCTTTCAGGGACGCCCGTGCCTATCTCTGTTCCTGCTCCAGGCCTCTCCAGCGAGGCAACGATGCGCCAAGCCTGCTGCAGGCTGCGATTTGCCCTGCCGTCTGCAGCGTGCCTTGGTGTCACCACACCAAACAGTCGGGGCGCTCGCCGTCGGGCCTAATCAGGCTGGAGATATAGGTAGGGACAGTAACATATCCAGTGTGTCGCAAGCCCATGCATCCGTTGATCAAGGTCATTGTACTTAGCACAGAGTACATAGCGCTTTTCGAATTAAGGGCACACAGGAGATGTCGTCTCAATCTGGCGCACATGCTGTACCTAGGAAGCCAGTGCCATCAGCCTCTGTTATTCCCGAAGATGCTGGGTCGAGCACGGCGCCCAGCCTCATCTCGAATGGTACGGAGATACAGGATCGAGGAGTATCTACGGATCTCAATCAAAGTGCAACGTTGCCCGACGAACCACAAGATGTCTCCCCATTGGCGCCGAAAACTCCTTCTACGCAGCGATCCGTGGCGCCCAAGGGCCGTATAGAGAAGCAGCCTCGATCTTAGGAGTCTAAGAAGTCCACATTTTCGATACAGATGTTCAACATCGGTGGTCCATGGAGGTTGGAGCTATGGTCCACGATCCTTGCATTTACGGCGTTCGCTGCAATCGTTGTCGTGCTAGCATATTATGATGCCAAACTACAGATGGCCTGGCCGTACACCAGTCTTACCCTGAATGGTCTTGTCGCCCTGCTGGCCTCAACTGCAAGGGCGTCGTTGCTTGTCGGTGTAGCCGCGGCCATCAGCCAGGGCAAATGGAACTGGTTCGTTGGCAGTGAACAGAAGGGTCAAAGAGTGCTTCGTGAAAGAGAACTGGGTGATTTCGAGAGATTTGACGATGCATCAAGAGGTGCGTGGGGTGCACTCCAGCTGTTGGTACTCAAGCCTTTGCATCTGGCTTCACTTGGAGCCGCTACCACTGTCATGCTGCTGGGTTTCGATACCTTTTCTCAGCAAATTATTGCCATCCGTTGTCGTGACGATGTCGCGCCATATCAGAGTGGGCTTCCGGTCGTTCCGAGAAGCGAATACTACGACCCGAGCCAGTTCATCACGATGATCAGCGACCACACGACTGTCGGGGATCTCAAGGTGAAGTCTGCTGTCTACAACGGCATCATGAACCAGAACCAGACGCAACTGCCGTTAACCTGCTCGACCGGCAATTGTACTTGGCCACTTATTCCAACCGTGGCAGTGTGTGGCGCCTGCATTGACCTGACCTCCAATATCACCAAACAGTGCAGCAGTGACCATTGCAATTATACCCTGCCAATTGGCGCGTCGCTCGATGGTCGAATGACCGACATTCCCCTGTCTGAAGGGCCAGCCCGGCGCAACTTCTTCAGCCTATGGAGCCCCTTTACGCTCCCACCACTGGGCAGGACCTGAACAAACACTATTCCAGATGTCCCTTTCTACATCGCGCTATTCCAGTCCGTCGGGGCTGCGTACCCAGCTCAAGACCTGCGCACAGTCACGGCCGCTGGATGTGGGCTTTGGCTATGCCTGCGAACCTGAAATGTCTCCTTCCTCAACGGCGTCACCTCTTCGCAACTCATGCACACCCATACCAGTGTACGTGCTGACTCTGCCTTCGACTACAACTTGACTGCTGTCCCATACCAGCAGTTCAACCTCGATCCCAAGAGCTTGGGCTATGGGTCTTACAAGGCCTCTGTTCAGGCCATTGCAGATCCAGCGTATCTGTACACTTACGGCAACGTGACAGGTATCCAATGGGCATCTGTCCCGAGCTCATGGCAGTATGAACCCAGCAGTACACGATTCAAGCATTCTGGCAGGCGTCCGCGTCAATAGAGACCTATACTTCATTCATTGAGGACTTTGCGGTCAGTCTTTCTAATGGCATCCGCCTTACGTCGCCTGCATCAGCCAACAGTTCGTCGGACTACAATTAGAACAGCACAGCCATCGCTTCCCGAGCATACGTACACGTGCGGTGTGGGCGGATAGCATATCCTACAGCAATGACAGTCGCAGGCCCGGTGTTTGTGCTCCTGACGGTCCTTCTAGCGAGGCGTAGGAAAGTAAAAGTGTGGAAACCAGTGCTCTTGTGACCCTATTCACCTCGGTGACGGACGAAAATGATCGTATCCGACATGTTGCTGCCGCTCGAAAAGTGCAAGACGACTCGTGTCCGCGGGGAGGGGTTACAAAATCAGAATTATGGACGAAATGGTGAGTGACGATCCAAATTCTCGGCCAGGCTGCTGGACATTGACGCATGGCTGAGGTGCTGCTGTATGAACAAGGGTCTAATATTCGTGCCGGCGCCGCCGACACCGACTCGTGAGGACTCGACCTATTGCTATGTAGCCCATTGCAGCGTATGCCAGCCACAGCCATGGTCAAGATCATGCAGTGTTCGTCATATTGCTCCGCTACTTAGAGATGTGCACTTTCCTAAATAAGTGAATAGGAAGGGCTGAAACTACGTTTTCGTAAACGGCCACAATTGGTAGCGCCGCGTCATGTCATACAAATCTGTGGCAGGAACATGGCAGTCCGCAGTCGAAGTCCGCAGCCCGCAGTCCGCGACAGCAGTTCAGTGACGGTCGGCTCCCTTGTGAATTGAAATTTGAGATTCGTTCTCTTGTGTTCCGCGGGATCTGAGCATGCAGTGAGTGGTACTCGTCGCTGGTCCAAATCGCAACTGCAACTGCAACTGGAAATTCACATCTGGCTTCTCGATTCTTCGTTCCCTTCAGTTCGCTACGGCCCCTTCACGAGATCCACAACGCGCCTTTGAGGTCTTTCGATTGCTGCAATAAGGGCTGCCTCTTACGATTTCCTCGCCTCAATTACCTTTGCTTCACGTTCTTTTTGTGCTAGACACCAAAGGACTCGATCTCGGGCTTCGACCTCTGCACCCGCTGCGCGCCGTCACCTCCATTGTCCTCCTTTGAACAACTGCTGCGCAAGAGCCACAGACGAGCTGGTCAACGGTTGGGAGAGGCTGGGATGAGACGGAGGGATGAACAGGCATCACGCCTTTGTCAACGGCTACGCCGCCAACAAGAAACGAGATGATGACCTTTACCACCCTTACAATGATCGGGGGGACCTCGAGAACAAGTACATCTTCGGAATGCCCGACCTGCTCGAAGATGAAAAAGCAGATCCTTCATTCAGCCGAAAGTTCGAGCCACGAAGAAGAGCGTTGCATAGCAGGTCCCGGCTGATACGACTGGCATTGTTTGCACTTGCAGTTCTCTCGCTAGCCTGTTACTTCCTGATCCCCTCCTCATCGACCCTCTCCCTTCTCTCAAGCAGTTCCCCTCCTGCCTCATATTACGACGACATCGAAACATTAAGATACTACGACCTAGAGGACGTGCAAGGGACGTCAGTAGGATGGGAAAGGGAAGAACGGGTCCTGTTATGCACTCCTCTCCGAGACGCCGCACCCCACCTGCCCATGTTCTTTGAACATCTGAGGAACTTCACCTATCCCCACCACCTCATCGACCTGGCTTTCCTCGTCTCCGACTCCAAGGACAACACCGTGGAACTACTCACGCACTTGCTCGAAGAAGTGCAAAATGACCCAGACCCTTCCCAGCCGTACGGGGAGATCTCCGTCATACACAAGGACTTTGGACAAGCTGTCAGCCAAGACGTGGAAAGTAGACACGGCTTTGCTGCGCAAGCCAGCCGGAGGAAGCTCATGGCACGGGCGCGGAATTGGCTCCTCAGTGCCGCGCTGAGACCGTACCACAGTTGGGTCTATTGGCGAGATGCTGATGTGGAAACCTGCCCGTACACCATCATTGAGGATCTGATGAGGCATGACAAGGACATCATCGTGCCCAGTAAGTCTTCTTTCGGACATTCTCCTCGGCAATACTAACTCATGGTCATAGATATCTGGCGTCCTCTTCCGGACTGGCTAGGCGGTGAACAGCCCTACGACCTCAATTCCTGGCAAGAGTCCGAAACGGCCATCGCTCTGGCAGAGACCCTAGATGAAGACGCTGTCATCGTCGAAGGCTACGCAGAGTATGCCACGTGGCGGCCACATCTAGCCTACCTCCGTGACCCCTATGGAGACCCGGACGTCGAGATGGAGCTGGATGGTGTCGGCGGTGTCTCCATCCTTGCCAAAGCTCGAGTGTTCCGCGCTGGAGTCCACTTCCCAGCTTTCTCATTTGAACGGCATGCGGAGACCGAAGGCTTCGGAAAGATGGCTAAGCGCATGAAGTTCTCAGTCGTCGGTCTACCGCATTACACGGTGTGGCATCTGTACGAACCGTCCGTGGATGATATCAGACACATGGAGGAAATGGAGCGAGAAAAACGTGAACGAGAGAAGCAGGAGAAAGAAAAGGCCGCGCAAGCAAAGAAGCTCGAAGACGAATTCAAACATGTCGGCTCGCAGTGGGAGAAGGATAAGGAAGCCATGATGGGTGACGGACCGAAGGAGAACGACGGCAGCCAGAACCCGACCAAGGACGTCAACAATGCCGAAATGGAACTCCCCGCCGCCAAAGAAGCGGATGGTGCTAAGAATGGTTGATCAATGACGAGAAACACGACATCAATTTCATCGGGCCGGATATTTGCAACTGATCAGTGAGAATACAAGGGTTCGGAGCAACAAGCAAATGGGTTTAGGAAAAAGAAAAGACTGCGGGATACGGGATAGAAAGCGGGTTAGAAGCGAGCGATCATATCACCTTCCGCAAGCATATGCATCAACGAGCGTGAGTTCAGGAGTTCATTGGTCCTGCTGGACAAAAGGTGCCGGTGCCATCAGTCGGTTTATCGGCCATGTCAGAGAGGAGCCTCTCTTCACCTGTACACCACAAAATATGGAATATTGGTGGTCGGCGCTCAAATGTGACTTTGAAAGAACATGAATCTTGAACATTTTCAGTGGCGTTGATGCGGATCTTGAAAAGCACTTCTGCACGTCGATCACACTGTAGCAAAGCAATATACGGACTACTCCGTACTCCTCTGATATTTCGCAGGGCGGTTCTCGACCGCTGGAACTGCTCACGTGACTGAATCCCACGTGCTTATGACGTCAGGCTTGCATGCACGCGTCTCCACGTGGACGCGTCGACTAAAAAGATCTGCCGGTGTCATTGAGCGTGCCATTTGGTGCTGTGAACCCTCTATGGTCTTGCTTGACGACACGAATCACGAAGCTCAGCCTCGGTCTCGCCCTCGTGGCCCGAGTGCCAGGACAAGTCAGACCACAACAATGGCTTCTTCCCTGTCTTCACACTTCGCACCAGTACCATTTTCCCTGACGGAGCCCCCGCAGAGTTTCCGCCTGCTCGAGCTGTCGCCTGAACTGGTCGACATCATAGAGACCCAGAGGAATGTCGCGAGCAAGAGGCGGAGACTGTGGTTCAAGGCCTCGACACGCGCTTCCTATTCTGCTCCCACCTCTAGCCTGCGGGGGTCTTCGCAATCGATAGAGACGCGGGCAGGGGACGCGGACAGGGCGGGCTTCTTGCATTTATGCTCCGAAGAGAAGGTCTGGGCTGTCAAGCAGGTGAGCACGAGTAATAGCGTGCATATCACGCAGTGGGTCTCGGCGGAGGACATGCAGAGGCAGAGGCAGCAGCGAGCGGACCAAGATGGGCATGAGGATGACGATATGTTCATGACGGAGGCAGAAGGACAGGCTAGTGGAGACGGAGACGGGAAAGGCACCGATTCCAGCGACGCAGACGCAGACAGATTGGCGGACCCCGCAAGCAATGGCGGCATCACGGCGATTGCCCAAGTCAAAAATATCCTCGAAATCATCGAGGTAAAACCCTCGGAAGGCGATGTCGACAGAATGCTCCGCCAGATGGTGCCCTCGTATGGCGATGCAGAAGACGGGGATGATCAGCATGTTGTTACTGCTGGTGCCCGTGGCGAAGGATTATCGTCGGACAATCGATCCGGACTATCACTGCAATATATCTTCGAGAACACCCCCGCGCCGACAAAGACCATCTTCGAAGCGATGAATCGGCTGTTCATTTTCGGGATATCAGCGTCGCCGGCGGAACCTGCGGAGGAGGGCGCAGGGCATGGGCAACAACAAGAACAAGAACAAGATCGCGGTGTCGCGTTGTTCATCCCGACCACAGGCCTCCTCCTCAAGTGCTGGAGAGTCTTCATGCAACAATGCGCCATCTCGGAAGTTCATCTGGATGGACGGGCCGGCGCGGGTGTGGAGTATAGAGATCTACACGGACTCGTGGACGAGATTGTGGAGTTGTGTCGTCCACAACCCAACCCGGAAGCAGAGCTACAGACGAACGTCATCGTCGCGATACTCCGACACCTCTCTCTCGACGTGGGAGACTATGCTCGGTACGCGTCAACACCGAGTTTCCACCTTCCCCCAGATGCAGATCTCGACGCACTGCGCGAGGAATTGCCCAGCGGCCAAGATGATGGTGATGCTACCAACGACGCGACCACCACCACTACCACGAGGTTGACGCTCGATCCCATCAAGACACGCGACCTCGTAGGCCGTTGGCTGCTACACTCTCTGAGTGTGCGCGGCGACACACAATCCATCGGCCTCGCGCAGTTCCTCATGCAGTGGGGCGATCTGCTTCCCGAGTCGTGGACGCGAGAGCGTGAGTGTGATGTCCACGCCTTGCTCTCGGGCTCCGGCTTCCCCGAACCTGAATGGGAGATCGGCAAGGATGCCACACATGGGGAAGAGATCCTCAGACGGGTGGGCAGAAGCCGTGACGACGCAGACGCTTCGAGTGCCACTCAGGCCGACCGTGTGCGTGTGCAATCGCACACCGAGGCCCGCAAGAGGGGGAAGTGGCATGAGAAATTCGGGGCGCAGAGAAACGCTGCGTTGAAGAAGTGAGGCGGATGCCCCAGTGGATAACTGGTTACTTAAACACAGAGTAGCTAGGTATGTATTTGGGTAGCTGGGGACGAGCTTGATACATACCTATGTAGGTACTGAGTACATACCCCTATACGGAGTACTTTGTCCTTGTATCCGTAGGTATGCATGGTATACCCGCGGCGGAATATGTCTGACTTAGTACTCCTCACACCCGAAGGACCTCGTACTGCTTGTTGCGTGCAATGTTGTTACTGTTCGTTGGTCAGTCGACAGCCGGAGACTCTATGCGGACGATTGGCTCACACACACTCTCCCTCCCCCTCTCTTTCTCCGTGTCTATGCGTGTGTTATGTAGGCGCGTCAGAGAATTACTTTGCTGCTGTCACGGTCACATGTACGTAAGATGTCCATGTGGCGTGAAGCGAATGTTCTGATGTCAAAACCAGGTATGGTATGGTATCCCGGATCGCCATAGAGTACTTCGTCTTTGACGACCTGCCGCCTGGAGCAAGGTCAAGTTGCCCAATGAGCCGGGCTCATCAATGCGATTTTTGCACTCCAGGTCGTGCACGAACCGAGTTCAAGTTCACGCTCAAGTACAAGCACAAACACAGTACGCTCAATTTCATCCAGCTCTTGATCTTTATGCTCACGCTCTTCTTGCACGCGCTCAACGCTCAATCTACGCATGGTATGTATGTATGTATGTATGTGAGTTCTTGAGTCTCACGCAACCAGCTCTCTCAGCTTCCCCTTCTCCTCTTCCGACAGCTGCTCAAACAAGCCGACGAACCGCTCCTTGCCAGCCTCCCCCTTGAACCAATTGAGGAGGTACTCGGCCGTCTCTTCATCGCGGGCTCGACTGCCCGTGGGAGACGCCCTTCCGGCTGCCCCATCGTCCCCAAATTCCTTGGCCAACGACATGAGGTCGGTGCGTACGGCAGCGCTAGCCAGATCAAGGGCGCCCGCGGATCCCACGTCCTCCCACTCGTCCGCGTCCTCGGCGTCGTCGTCCTCCTCGTCGAGCGCCGCGTCCGCGGCAGCCTGCGCGGCCGCCAGGTCGGGGAACCGCGACGTCGCGGCGCTGGCGAGCTCGTCGACCATGATTTTGAGAATTTTGAGATCTGCAGGAACACTGGACCAGCGATCGGGGTTGAGTTTGGCCTGGCTGCGCGTCTTGATGCGCCCGCTTGTGGCCGCCGCGTCGACGATCAAGTCGCCCTTGACGTGCACGGCGCGCACGCGCTCGTCGTGCAGCGCAAAGATCTTGCTCAGCGCGACGACGTTCTGTCGGACCTCGTCGAAGCCGGCGAAGTGGATGGAGTTTTCGAGCCAGCGGGTCAACACCACAGATAGTCCATTCTGGCCGTTGATGTTGACCTCGGCGAGAAAATCCACGACTTCCTTGGGGGCCGCGAGCGCCAGGCCCACAAAGACCATGCACAGGGATTGGATGAATTGGATGCGCTCCGCGGTGGCGAGCCGGATCGCCACGGCGCGGAGCAGGTCCATGAGATAGGAGCCCATTTTGTCGGCGCCGAATTTGGAGACCAAGGACGAGGCCAGGCCGCCGACTTCTTGGCCCGCGTTCTCGTCCACGTCGGGAGAGTTGAGCAGGCGGTTGATGATGGTCAGTGTGATTTCGATGCTGGATTTGCCCGTGCTGCTGTCTCTCCACTCCAGGAATTGCGCCGTGCCCTTGCTGAGCATGTGATTCAATGCAAGCGTCGCAGGACGGACGAGTTCGGCCTCTGTGGCTTCCATCAACACTCTGTGTAACTTGGGCATGACGGCTTGCACGAAGCCCGCGGGTAGTGGGTCAGATCCGAATTCGGCGAGCGCGGAGACCAGTTCGGCCGCGAGGTTTGTCAGCGCGGATTCTTGCGTAATGTTGGCAATGTCGAACGCGCCCGTCAGGGAAGGTATTGTCTTTGCGCACAGGCGGATGTACTGATCCTGGCCGGCGGCGGAGAGGGAGGAGACGATGCCCTCGAATGCCTCGGTGAGGAGCGTGAAGAGTTGGAAGTTGCTCGCCCCGTCACTCGCGAGGGTGAAGAACAGGTCGATTGCGTTGTTCTCGGGCGATGTGAGTGTGGATGTGTCAATCATGATGGCGTCACGGAGGAGTTGGATCAAAGCGGCCTTGACGTCGTCGGCGTCTTCAAGTTCATCTCTTAGATCTCGGCTCGAGATGAATTCGTTGATGACGTTGATGATGGCCGACTGCATTGGGTATGTGTTGTTATAAGGCAATGCTTCAATGTAATCCGGCAGGATCGAGAAGCACGCCACTTTCACCACGTCCGAGGGATCGCTTGCCGATGCCGTGATGGCGTTGGTAAAAGCTGCGGTGCCGGCAGCTCCGAAATCCAAGCTATTGTCGTTCATTTTGAAGAAGCATCCCAGCGCCATGTGAGCGGCGGCACGCATGAATAGGTTGGGATCTTGCAGTGCTGATGAAACTTGCTCGAGGGTGATAGATGCGGTTTGCGGATCGAGCTTGCCAGAGACTTCCTCCATGTCCTTGAGAGATTGATTGAGGAGGTAGAGTAGGGCTTCGCGTTCTTTCCACGTAGCAGTAGCGGACTGAAGGTGATTTTGGTTGAAATGCAGCATCGCTACAATGGGAAGCTGTTTTAACCATTCGCCTAGACTCCGCACAACGAGTTCTGCACATGCTGCTCGGGGGGTGTAGTTTGCCGTCAGGGAGGCGGCCTCGCAAAGGTAGAGGTTGGCATCGTACTCCCAGAGCGCTTCCTCCTCCATTGGTATTCTGGCGTACAGAACAAGGACGCGGATCAGTTCTTGGAGCCAAGGGACGGTATGCTGTGCGTCGCCGAATTGCTGCATTTGTGCGGACAGCTCCTTCCGGACAGGAGGGCCCTTGATGGTGACTTGGAGGAAGTCGAGTTCTTCGAGGACCAGCGCGTCGAGGCTGCAGGGGAGGTTGTCGCTGTCGACGAGTTTGCCTTCTGCGGTGCCATCGATGAAGAGTTGTGCATAAGGAGCGGCGAGTCTCGATAGTTCTTGCCACACGATCTCGAAGAGCGCCGTTGCATGGGGCGAAATGGCCTGTACGTAGACCGATCTGAGTTTGTCCAGCGTCTAAATATGCGGTTAGTTGCGTTCTCTATGGTGACATCGTGTCCAGACGTGCCTTTACTACCTGCACCTTCAACGCCACCAGGCCTCTGAAATGCGCATCATCCGGCTTGACTACCTCTGGCAGCGGTTGTTTTAGCGTTTCCATGAAGAACGGCATCCAAGCTTTCAAGGACTCGGTCAGAAATTGCTTCACGGCCGCCCCATGATCGGCCATAACCATTTCCAACATCTCAAAGCATGCTCGGAAGACATTGAGAGTCATTGCCCTGACTATCAAGCTGCGGTTGCTGTCCACTGCGACGTGCCGCAGGCCATTGACCAGGTCTCGAGCGACCATGAAGAATTGCTCCTCTGTTAGTCCCTCGTCGACCAGTTCCGCCAGCACCCGTAGCGCACCGTGGACTGGCGCATCGTCGGTTGAAGTATTGAGGATAGTGAGCAATGAGGGAAACAGCGAAGGCCATGCATCGGGAAAGTCGACCGTGGCGATCTTACTGGCGACACCAGCGGCTAGAGCTTGAATCGTGGCGTCTTTCGGGGCCTGGTTGCCTTCGAGCGTGCAGATAGCGAAGACTTGATCGCGTACCCGGGCTTTGCCTTCATCGTTCAGATATACATGTCCTGTAAAAGTCTCGTCGAGTTGCGGTGACCAAGTGGCAGAAATATAGTTCTTGAGAGCGGTCAATGCCGCTTTCCGTGAACTGGATTCCACGTTGTTGTGTGAAGCTATCGTCAAGAGCGCAAATGGGAAATCCTGCTGAGGGTACAAACGCAGAAGACTCTGCTCGGCATCTCTAATGACGGCAGTGTCTGGCCGGGTCGTTGCCTGGAGAAGCTGAAGGACCTGCTGCTCCATTGTGTCACCAGCGCGAGGCTGGCTCAGTGCAGGAGTGGGAAGACTTGACTTGAGGACCGTAAGCCTGGGCAGGTTTCGTCTTGGCCACAGATGCTTTTGAGGTGCTGAGGCAAAGGCACAGACGAGGCTTCTAAGAAGAGAAGAGACGCTGGCATGAACTTGTTGACGGGTGGCCGAAAGCAGACGCGGATGAAGTCTGCGCAAACCCGTCGAAACTGCCAAGCCCCTCAGCCTTCCAGGATTTGATTGGCTGGACGATGGCCTCGCAAGGCTGAGGCGTGCTAGAATCCTTCAACAGCAGCCTGATGAGACTGCCCTCGGCAACAACTTGAACGCCGCTCACGTACACCAGACACGGTCGAGGCAATATCAACTAGCATCGGAAATTGATCGAAGCGATAGTAAGAAGAAGGCATATTATTCTGTACTCGGATTAGCCTTTCCTTCGACGCATTGAGAGGACCACAATCCAATTTAGGTAACCCATGACGAGGTCAAGCTTGTGAAGGTATCTACAGTTCCTGGCTTGGGGGTATATAGTGTCATATGACTCCATCATCCCCCTGAATGCCTCTCGCGCTTTCTCTCTCATTCCACTGCAGTAAGTGATCCAAGCCTTGGAGCGTTGAGCGGCCTTCCAGTCTCGTTGTCTACACACACATAAGTTTATCAATCTCATTATGTATTGTGCGCGCTCACGCTCACGCTCACGCTCGTCAAACAGCGCTAAAAATATACTTCTCCAGGGTAATAACGATACAAAAGAATAGTCTTGTTCAAACTTCGGGTACAAGCAGGCAACTTCATTCCCCCAGGGGCATGCTATCCAGTTGATCGACCAAACTCCGCCAATTGCTCGCCTGTAGCTCGGCATACTTGACCCGCTCTTGACTCCAGTCCTGATGCATCCGGCTGATGGCGTAGATGGTTGTTTGGAATGTCACAATCTCGTCCCTTACACATTCTTGGATGAATACTCCTCGTGCGTGTTGCTGCACGATACTTTCTTTGTCGGCCATAATACTGCTCTCCACTTTCTCGATCTCGCCCTGCTTCACTTGTCCTGGTGGCCTTTGCCGTAGTTGCTGTAGCTTGTTTTCTGAGGCTTCGATCCGTCTCTCGAGTTGAGGGATGTTGTCTTTAGCATATCGATCTCGTCGGTCAAACATATCACGCATCGACACGAAGTTGTCGCGGATCGACTTCAAATCCTCCAATGCACCGCTATCCCAGGCCTTGGCTTCGTCTTCGAGTAATGTTTGTGTAGTAGCCAGGTGCTTAGCCGTCGACTTGATGCCTTCGTTCAGCAGTGGTACGTCGTTCGGATCAATGGCGTAACTGTCCGCGGTAGCTTCCGTAAGGTTAGAAACTGCCTGGGAAAATTTCCAACTGTCCGATGCCAGCCCTTCGTTGCGTTTGACCAATCGCTCCATCAAAATGCAGAGGTTAATATATACTTCCGATGAACGTCGCACGCCGGCGCGCACTTGCTCGAAAAGGTCAGGGAGGTTGGATGGCAGACTGTCTTCTAGTGTGGGCGGCAAAGCTTTGCCAGTAAACTCCTCTTGTACGGAGATGGTCGCCTGCTTGCGCCAGACTGCAAGTTCCTGGACACGGGATCAGTATCAACCTGCGCAAGGACAAGGTTATGCCGAGAAGCATACCGTTGGCACAGTCAGGAACATGACCACCAGGGTTTCCTGACTCAGAACCGGATGTTGAACAAGCGTGTTGGTGAACCGAACAAGTCCTCGTCTGCGCTTCTCGAGAAAGACTCCTGCGTCGGCTGTGAGATGTGACCCGTTAACTAACGACCATAATCAGCTCCAGCCTCATCCTGGTCGGCTAGATCTTACCTTGTACACGCTTAGGAGGTAGTAGGGGTAACCGTCGGAAAGGATAGCGTTTCTGCAAGCAGTCAAGTAGCCAGACGAAATCACTGTATCGTCTGACCACGCTGCTGCCTCTTCGGAGTGTTTTGACCTCGTAGTTGCGGTGCTGAAACAGAAACATGCCCTCCTTCTCGGGCAACATTGTTATCGTCACGCTCTCCCCCGTCCCTGGTGGTAGACTAATGCTTTGCGACACAGCGCTTTGCGCCTCTCGACCTGAGCGGCCCGACCGATCCCCAGCATCGTCGAACCCTCCGCGCAGTGTGGCTTGTTCTGCGAAGCCACCCGAATTTCCATTATAGCTGTTCCAGCCAGTGCCTGCGCTGTCCGATGAGCGCTCGGCCACAGGACTTCCGCTCCCACTTCCTTGGCTCTCGCCAGTTGTGAATGCGCTTGTCGTCCTTGCAATGCCATTCGGTGTGCTCTTGACACTATCCTCGGCCACGCCATTCGCAGACATGGTGTGAGCTGCTGTCGATGGAAGTGGCAGTCTGTTGCCAGGGGGACTTGCCCAGGGGTCTGCCGTCGGGTCTGTCCCGAATGATTCTTGTCGAGGCTTCGATGCTCTCACCGGGCTGGATTTGGCTGCGGGAGGAGAGGGCGCAGGCCGCCGGGCATTCGATCGTAACTGGTCTAGGTATTCGATCCGGGGCTCAGGAAGTTCTAGTAATGGTCAGTTTCTAAGCAGTGGGCCGGATATACTGTGAACTTACTTCGCCTTCTTTCATCCACGCCGTCAAGAGTGATGTCCTCGCCTTCCTGCCCCAGGCCAATAAGAGCGAGAAGGACGTTGAACTCGCTCCTGCCAACTCCGTTCGCACTTTCCTGGCCACCCGGTATGACAAAGTTCAAGATCTTCGATTGCTCCGGTTCGCTCAGGTTGCTGCTCTGGAGTACGCGCTTGACGCCATCTAAGCCGATGCCAACTCCTGTTCTCTCATTCGCATTCAAGACAGCGTCGTAGGCATCGACGTAGCTTTCCGGTACGTCCGTCGCAGGGAGAAGGTTCTTGACTAGATTCTGTCGAGCATTCTTCTTCGGTGTCGGCATCGACCACGGGGAGTCCCCGCCATCATCGGCAAAGAGAGATGAGACTGCCGGCGCACGCGCTGGCTCGTCGCCAAACAAGGATTTGCTGTTCAGAGGCGCAGCTTCAGTGGGAGACGTGCCAAACAAGGACATTGTAACGAGCCCAAGCTCGCGGAGGAGCTGAAACGAGGATTCAGGCGAAGATCGAGGACGGGTATCGAACAGCGACCATGCGCACGTGGTTGCTATGGGATAGAGGGTGCAGTGTCGACTGCGTACTGAGGACCAGTGTCCATAGAGTCGATTTGGAGTGCTATCGCATCATTGAGCTCATATGTGGAGACGCTGGTTGGAGCCGCTATCAACGGGCCTTGGCGCGGCGGTTTCTCAAGCCTCACTTGGACCACAGTAGAGACACAAGCCAGAGCGCCTACCTGTTCATTTCACTGTCGGCGTCATATCCGAAGAGTAACGACATCCTCAATGTCTGTGAAAAGTGCTAGGAAACGCTCTCGATATATCGGGCAACCAATGAATAGATGACCGGAGAATTCTAAGCAGAATACAAGCACTAGCCGTAGCTGGAAGTCAAGCATGTGCGAGCAGGAGTATCCTCACGATGTTTGGGACCTTGAGGCGGTCTCGGGGCAAAGCATCGTTCATCAGACCTAATTGAAACCGGGATCTCAGAGTCAATGCTGACCTCGGATGACAATGCCATGGAGAAATTCATCGACTGGACAGTCGTTCTGCATTAAAAGGTGATATAATCACCTCGACTCCAAGAATCGCAAACCCGTTAGCTTTCGACGACAGTGCTTGGTACCTATCTAGGGACGCTAACGGATGCGTATTGAGGCCAATTCTGGGAATCTATCCTCTCCAGCGTCTCACGTGTTTTTCTTCCTCTTAGCTAAGACGCAGACACTTCCATGCTCGGTACAGCACCGTGAAAGCCAATCTAACCTCCGGTCAACCTAGAGGCTTGTGACTTGGGTCGCATCGGCCCTGGAAGAGGCAAGAAGGCTGTCGTCCTACGTAATCGTAAGCAGGTGCAAAGGGGAGCGTCGAACTTCGGTCGTGCAAGAATACAATGGCCGCCACTTAGGGGACATGTCGCTTCGGACATCTTGTTCATCCTTATTGTCGAAGATTGTCCCGCCCAGCAAGAAGTAAGGAGTCCCCAGCGACAAAGTGATTTTCGTGCTCGGTGATATTCCCAGCGGCCACTGACTGCAGCTAGCGCCAGAACAATTGTGATGCGACGGTATCTCTTGAAAAGACATCTTCGATGCATTTGACACCAAGAAGTAGGAAGATGTCTTCCACAGACTCCGTGGCATGCTCAAGCAACAGACTGCTCTGCTCCATTTCAGACCGTCTTCTTCTTCCAGACTCCTGAAATGTATACCGCGTAATCCTTTTGCCCTGCAAAAACAAAATAGTTCTCGACCAGGGCATCCTGGTTCTTACCTTCTACACATACGCTTACTAGTTGACTGTCAGTGGGCTGTTTGTCGCGGTGTTTGTGTGAGCTGTGGCGCATAGAGCACTATCACTCTTCAGTGTGACACGGCTTGTGCCGTTACATAGTCCCGTAAGGGCACGGAACATGGACGGGAACCTGCAACGCTCGAGGTGATAGTTTGGCACGGTCGGCCAAGTAGATTGGTCCAACGACCTGTGTCCCTCAGGTACTGAATACGCAAGTACGGAGTACAGCAGGGAATGTGGTTTGGAGTCCCTCCGTGGTGCTGAAGGTGCCTGGTTTAAAAGACATTGAGATCTCATGTCAACGTTGCCTGGAGGTCTACAACAACAGTCAAAGGACAGGATGTGGTGAGGGCGAGTGGCATGGATGAACGCTGCAGGGGAGAGGTTTCAACTCTCAGTACGGAGTACCTGGTGGTAATTAGCCGGTGTATGTTGAGGCCTGCGTGATCGCAGTCAGCATGAGCTAAGTTAACAGTCACGTGTCAACAAACGTCGGAAGCGCGCTCGCAGTTGCGAAGGTGGTGTCGCCAAGGGCAGCGTGGGCAGGTAACGCACCTAGTGGGGTCCAGCGTGACCAGCCAGGCCAGCCTAGGCAGGTGACAGGGGCCGTTCAGTAGCCCGTTCGTGCACATTGCGTAAAGTTGCTCTATTGGTCAGAAGGGCAATTTTGCCCCATATTTGTCCTTCCAGGACCCGAAGTTCTCCTTCGCATGGAGAAATGGTCGCTCCCGTTCAGGGGCTCGTTAATCCATTTATCAACAAGCTCGGGGACTTCGGGGATCAACCATCGACGCATACGGAAATTTCATCACGCATGCAGAGGTTCAAAGTCCCCTGCAACGAAGCTACGTATTGGACACATCTGTGTTTGTAGCATGTCAGCGCCAGTATGTACCTGTCCAGGTTGCTTGTCGGAGATGTACCTTGTATACACCGTATCATCATAGACCATTATTATTGAATAGTGACTCATTTAGTCGTAAGTGATTGATCTGTCGTGTGCCCGTGCCAACTTCGGTCCACTGCTCCGCAGTGCTCTGTACCCGCCAATTGCCTGATACAGCTATTACTCAATCAGGTGAAGCGGCCGTCGCAGGGCTCTGTGGCTTAAGAACCCTTCAGGGGTGAGGCTTGCACCGGGTGTGTTTGGTGATCATCGAGAAGCACGCTCGCCGGGAGCACTTCCGGAGGATCTCCAGGCCATCTCTGCCTTAAGTCGCGCCTCACTTATGCCTCGAACCTTAAAGCGGTTTTTAATGTCCAAGCCGAGCAAACACGATACTATCTTTCGACGTCTCTGGCACTGCAAACGAAACCCACGAGTCGTCGACTTTGACCTTTGTTGCCGGTACTTTATGCTTAGCGAGATGCCATCTAACCTCGTTTGCAGAAGGACGATTATCCATGGCTCATTCCGTACGGCGTATCTCTGGGAAGATTGCCGCTTCTGCCATATGGCGGGAGACGACGCCGCAGGGTGGAATGTGATATTCGTGCAAGGTTTCAAGGAGATCAACTGTACCGTGCATAGCATGTGAGCATTCAAGAATTCCAGTCATGGATGACGGCGCACTCCGTAGTCAAATTCGAGTGAACGTGCCTCGTGTGCGCACATATGGAAGCGCAAGGATGAGTGACAACGATAGGCGTCACGCAGGTATACCGATCCCCAAGGCTACCAAAGCCACAGGTCTACAGCCGACAGTACAATAAATGACTTCCTGTAACATTCATCGCCCGTCATTGGAGGAATTTGTGGAGGAGTGCTCTTGCTGCAGCCACCGGACCTATGATCTTCAGGCCCGAAGACGGCTTTTGATGCATGATCCACTTGCGAACAGTTGTTGGATTTGAAGCACTTCATGTTGGCACTTTTGAGGTCCAGAACTGTCGGGTGTCAAGTGTCGGTGAGACAGAATTTGAGTAATGAGCTCTACACCGGCAGCCTCGGGCCTCAAGCAGAACAAACATAGTACGAGTACAGATTCGCTCCTACCGTGTGCAACCTATGCCGCTGCGGATCGGATAGAAGTTGCGGAGACTGGGACCAATTATTGTGAGTATCAGACACAATCATGGGGGCACAAACACATCTCAAAGATGATGGCGTGTATGGCTTGCAGGCCACGCTCTGAGCGAGCGTGGCTGGCACTGGTTCATGTACTGATCGACCCTGCAACATCCATTGCTTGGACATGAGGCGGGACATGCGTTGGCGGCTGCCGATTGTTCAGTCTGGACAAGTCTTGCTGCAGTTGTCTGCCTAGCTGCTCCTCAAGTTTCTGGCTGGGCTGTTTGCTGGTCTCCTTTGGGTGTGATTTATTACCCATGACTGGTGGAGATCATGTGTGACAGCATGCAATTACTGTTGGTGTCTACCAGGGTACTGTTCCTTCTAGCTGCAAGACACAATCGTGCCCTTTCGTAACTGGTAAGCACGAGCCAGGTGAATGGTGGGCCATAGATGAAGTGCTTTCAGACTCTAAGTAATCACCGGAGGAGCGGGCAGGTCATTTCGACAGCCTATCCGAACTTGGCTAGGATAACCTCCGTTGTCACGAGGCATGCACGCAGTACGGAGGGGAGGAGTTGCGCGGACTCTTCCGCGTAGGTTGCAACATCTTGCTTCAGACGACTTCTAGTGTTCGTGTAGTGCAGAGAGTGTATGTAGCATGTTCCCTCCAATCTTCAGCAGACGGTACCGAGTATGGAGTACTCAGGGTTCCTTCGACTCTACTCGTAGAGTTGCTGTTCCCATGGCGTCAACCATGGAGTAGCGAAGAAACCTTGTTTTGCGAAAGCAAGGATGCGCCGTAGGTTGCAGAGACCTTTTTGGGCAAAGCTGCGATACGGACCGGACGGGAGTTGGAAACTTAACAAGGGGGTGGAGTTAGGCCGGTGTCGATTGAGTCGAGTCGTTCTCTGGGTTACGTGGTGGCTTGAAGGTCTTGAGCAGCATTAGAGCAGGCTTGGAACAAGCCGCCAGAGTGTGCGTAGGGCCAAGTGTGGGCTTGGGAGGCATTACGCTTGCCCGGAACAGGACAGTGAGAACTCGACCGCCGTGAATCACCGCGAATCTGCGATATCAACAAGCCTCTTCCTAGCCTGGCACTTGCTGGGGCCGCACTGACACCCAAAGTGTGCAGAATCATTGTCCTTTGAAAATGCTGAAGGGGCATGGAGAATATCTCCAGAGATTGCTAGGTTGCAGATCTCTTGCCTGTCTATGTGAAGTGCGTCGTGGCCCAATACTGGGGTTGAGGCGTTATTTGGTGATGACTCGGACTGTACCACAGCACTCCGTACCTCGTAGGGAACTCTTTTGGGGGGGGGCCTTTATCGTGCACTCAGGTGGCTCCTGCGTAGATGGCCCACGCCTAAGCGGAAGGTGCCCGAGCACGACTCATTCGCTACCTACTCGTACGCTGCCATTCAGATTTGAAAGAAGCCCTTCGCGCCTGAAGTCTCCAGGCTTCTCTGACCTCTTAGCATGACAGTCGAGAATCGTGCTTGACAGCTTACTTGCTTGCCGACGTGGTGATCTGAACAGTCCGACTGCTGCTTCTGGAGTAGCGTGCAGCTAATCTGCTTCAAACGGTCGTGGACGGGACAAACCCTGCACCACCTGTGCACTGACATTGGGGATCATCCACCACGTTGCGTTACAGTGATTGCTCACATCTGACACCGCATCTTGTCCCTCCTCCATTCGTACAACTATACTTCTATACTCCGACCCTCCAAGCCACTCCCGCCGCTCCTCAACAACTCGATTCAATCCGGCCCAACTCTACTTCGACCGCGATTTCTCGAATCCCACAGCCTTTGAAACTCTGCGTTGTGGCTTGAGCATCGGATTCGTGCCGTATACTTGCCTGCATCTGCGCCGATCGTCGCAGCTCCTTTCAACACCACGTCTAATTCGACCTTGACCCGTACCTGCACACCGCATCGCACATCCGGCACCTCCTGTCAGTGCAAGCTCACCTCGCACGACTTGGAAGCCACCGAAACAATGTCTTGAGCTGTTCAACCATTTTGTACACCAATCTACTTCCTTTCTGCTGCTGCTGCTGCTGCTGCTGCTGCTGCTGCCGCCGTCGCCGGCATGGCTCAGTCCATGGACGCCCATTCGAGCTTCGTTTATCTTGTCGACAACTTGCCCAAATGGCGAACCACCTTTGACTCTTTGGCCACGCATACCGCTGAGAAGCATGCCGAATTTGTCGCAGAGTATGCCCGCCTAGTCAAACAAGCAAGACCCAAGCGCAAAAAGACTCCTTCGATCAGCTCCCTCCATACTACCGATGAGCAGGATTCGATCGACAATTCAGCCAGTGGCGAAGAGAACGTGGACAACTCGTCGTCGAATGCTCCAATAGAGATCAACCCGTTGGAGGCAGGGACTCGATACCTGTACGCACAGACGCGACGGAAGAGAAAGCCGGGCACTTCGATTCGTTCCGGCGCCTCGGGACCGCAGAAGTTTAGAAACAGGAGCCACGTCGTCGTCTACTATGACAGCTACCTGCAGAAACAGTTGGATGCTATGGTGAAAGAAGTCGGACTCGGTCGGAACAACTTAAGAAAAGGCAAGAATGCTCTGGCAGCAGCTACAGGATTTCAACTTCCTACACTGGCTACACTGTCCGGAAATAGCGGCTTGGTATCTTCCACGTTCGAGGATTTCAGACCTCCAAATATGTCCCGGAGCACATCCGCCCTGCTGTCGGTCAAGAAATCGGTTGCCCGTTCACCCCAGGCGACTTCCGATCAAGCGAGCTTTATCCAAGCTGACAAAGAGCTGGAGCAAATCCAATCTCTATGTGAAACAGCGGCTCACCAGTTCCTCCGCGATGGTGATTGCAAGTCTGAGCTTGATACCATCCGGGGAAAAGTGGATGCACTTCTTGTACAGGCCACCAGAACTGCAGAGTCACTCAGAAACCTCCAAGACCATCACGAAGCTGTCCACGTCGACTCATCCGCCTCGGAGTCGAATCACGATACCGAGTCACGTGGCACGTTGTCTACTCAACCTTCGCTCGACCTTCTGCCACCACCGAAGACTAGCGTCGCGAAGACCCTCCATCCGCCGGCAATCAGTCATCGTCTTGACGGCCTCAAGCCGCAGGGATTTTTCAGCGCGCCAGCCGTTCCAACACTTGGCAGCCCCCAAGAATTCGTTAATGATACGATCGAAGTCGACGACTCTAGTGATCAAGAATCCATTGTCGTGGACCTCTCTCAGTATCGTCTGACCAATCCACGAAGGGTACGTGCTTGATGATTCATGAGAGCGGGGCGTTTCTTCCCCTGTGTTTCAATATCTTCTTTGTGTGATATAGCTATCTATCGTCTCGAGTGCATTTTCAGCGTGCTTGTGTTATCTCGACCAGTTTGGAGCAATTTTAGCGGGAGTATTGGGAATATGGCAATTGCAGCATGATGCCAAGGGATATTAAGAGATGTCGGAATGGATGAAGAGTACCCCTGTATATGGGAATTGGCGGATGGATGAGCATTTACAGATCGACCGGTGGCCTCCTCGCAGCAGTTTCTTGTCCTCGACATCATGACGATACTTCCACTGCGGAATCGGGGCATCCCAGCGGCCACGGCCAGTGTGCAACTCAGGCATGTGAATAGCACAGGCGGACTGGAATGGGTTGCGGTGACATGGTAATGAGCATACGATCTCGAAAGCTATCTATCTCCCTGCTCTGGGGCTGACGGATTAGCCCGATCGTGAAGTCAGAAAAGAATAGAATATTCTTTTCATTATCAATTTCGTGTGTGTTCCGCTTCATCTGTATGCTTGCGTCTTTCTACGATCTGCAGAGCATTTATCCACTGCTTGTCTCGAACCCTCTCAGACCCCAAGGACGTAGAAGTTGAACTTTTGCTCACCACCACGCCGGCTGGGGAACACTTTTCCAAGGGGCTTTGCCTACAGTACGGCCCTTCAGCATTCGGAAGGGTGTGAAGCTGAGGGGCCTAACAACAGTACATGCGGGTCACTCATCACGGAACCACACACCCTCACTGTGTTCCCAGTGAATATGTACGCGTGCCAGATACTCCCAGCGGACCACAGCAAAGCACAGCACAGCGCAGCACAGAACAGCCTCAGGGCGCATGCTACGCAACCGTGGGGACCCCGAGAAGAGCCACAAGAGGGTGGACTCGGGAGAGGTCAACAGGTACTAGACTACCTACGAGCAGGAGGTATTGCGTATGTTGGAATCTCTTGGTTCCCTACGTGTACTCGTAGGATTTGCCAAGGTGAAAGTCAAAGGTGAAGAGATCGGTGGGAGAGGAGGGGGCGTGCTTGCTTGATTTGATTTACCGCTCAGTCGTTTCGCCTGTAGACACGCACAGAGCACAGCTCATCGTAGACTAGTAGTGTCATAACTCGCTTTAGGTAACCTAGTCCTGTCTTTCGGTGCCGGGCGTGGAGAACGGCCCGCGGTTGATAAGTGAGAATACTGTAAAGAAACATGGATGCTATTGGTCCGCAGATTGCAAACGGGGTGTGTTCAGGTCGCTCATCCGCGTGTCCCCTCTCTTGGACGTCGACCAGGTCGACCCATTCGGATATTCAGTGTGTGGTATCAATTAGAGTTCATGCATCACATGTAAGGCTCAGCACAGCGATAGAGCAAGGGGTAGCGGTACTGTAGGTTTGTTGAGGGGTGAAACTTCCCAAAAGTATGCACTCAGCTGGTAGAATGTGGAATCAATAAGAAGGGGCTCGAGTGGTGGTCCTTCCACACAGAGTAAAAGCAATACAAGCTGCTCGTCTGAGCAAGTTACGACGGACTGATTGGATCACAAGGCCGGAATAGCCAGGATACTTTATGAGCTGTTGCACCAATTGCACCTTCAATGGACGGGAGTACAGTGAGGCATCAGAAGTCACTCCAAGTATGTTAGAGTTTCATGCTGATCTATGGAGGTCGATCTTGAGCTCGAGCCCAGATGCTCCGTACAGGAAAATGCTTCGGAGTTTTCGAGGTCTGAGCCGGTCTCTCATGCTGCAGCTTCCACGAGCTCAGGGCGCCTTTGGTGGTCTGTGCATAGCCTTTTGCTGTCACCACTGTCTGCAGCTCGATTGCGAAAGTCATGACGCCAGCGCAATTCCAGTTCAGACAGGACCATCGCGAATGCGCGAGCACAGGTCTGTCCCAGACGGAGATCTTGAATGATTCGATATCTCTGGTCGTGGCGGTCGAGCGGATGCGCGTGTCTTCATGTTCATGGCATTCAAGATGCCGTTGTTCTGAAGAGCGGAGCAGGGGTTGTCCCGCTGGTCCTGTCAAGTGAAGCATGAATGCCATGTTGGTCCATTGACAAGCGAGTGGGCATTGGTGAGACGATATTTCCAGCGTCACAGACGATGCTTTCAACCGTCATTGCTCGTGGCAGAAATCTCACTCGTGGCCGTGGCCTCTCGGGCTGCCCTCTTAGCCGCCTCTTGTACGACACCCCAGAACAACCTCTGCTTGACCTCGTTCGCTAATAGGCCTGCAAGCTCTTCTGTTGCAATCTTGTTGCCTCCACGCACCACTTGCTCGAGAGCGCCATCCCTGACCACCTTGAAGTTCTTGTTCCCTGTGCCTGTAAGTTCCTGCCCGCGGCGACCCAGACTGATACCTGCCCTCTGCTTGCTTGCCGCCTCTTTTATTTTGATTGCATGATCGGCGATTTGCTTGCTTGCATAGTCTCGGTTGGTGAATAGTGGGGACTGCGAAAGCGTTGACGTCCAGTATTTGCTCCACAGCAGATTGAGGAGGTGTGCGTCGAGGGTCGACTTGTAATGAGTAACCTCTAATGGGTAGTATGAGTTGGCATGGACACCAAAGTCTTGGATCTTGTCTTGAGGAATGGCTTGATAGTCGTCGCTGTCATCGGTGAATTGCTTGTTGGCGGCTACGTGGCCGTCGGGGTAGGTCCTGAATGCGCCGATCTCGACCTTCCCAGCGGACACGGTACGATCAGGGTCAATGACAACCGCGACGAATGGGTCATTGACCATCTGATGCGTCTTTTGCGTGTGGACGTCGATTCCTGAGAGCCAGCAGCCATAGCCCGGGTGGGAGTGGTACCAGCCCACGGCATTCTCCAGCTGACCTCCCCCTTCTCTGGAAGCGATGCCAAAGTTGACCATGTATTCGTCTGCGTCGGCATGCGCGTTCACTCGCGTCTCCGTCCCCTCCACAGGTAACCTGAAGGCATCTGTGATGACCAGTGACCGACCGAAGACGTAACCTATCATCAACCCCATAATCTCAATATTGCCGCCTGAACGAGCATGTGTGGTCATCTTCAGCAGGGCCAAGGCTGATATCCGAACCTGAGTGAAGTAATTGGGGTCTTTCTTCCATGGCGCAGAGTTCTGGAGGGCCTTGTAGGCATTCGCATCGGGGAGGTTATATAGAGCATTCTGAGATGGATCGATGGTGATGATGTCGTTCTCTGCCTCCCAAGTGCGCAGTGCTACTGCGGTCGACATATCGGCAACTGGTGTTAGGCGACTCTTATCGAGCGAGGCTTGGTCTGCGAAGCTGCCAACGCGCGGGTGATGAGGCGCAGTTGAGTTGGAGTACAGCGATGCCTGATTCAAGTTCCCCCGGGACCCCTCCGGGCATTACTCACGGGAAAACATTCTCCAAGTGTGAAAACGTGATAGTTGCCTGGCCAACCATCGGGTTGTTGACGTGCGTTGCGGAAGGGCAACTTTTCGCCCGTCATGGCTCTGTCCACCTCTTCAACCTGATTCGACAGGACGCCATGACCGTTACTGACCACCTTCAGCTCCATGTTCTTTCTGCGCAACATTGTTCAATCTCGCCACCGCGGATAATCTCAGCCATCACCACTGACTTGAGAAGATCTCCTTCGAAGCTGCTCGGCCGCGAGCCCGAGTCGCAACAATGCCTGGCACTATGGACACAAGCTACCTCACCACGCAGGTCACTACCATCATTGGACAGTTACATGCCATCTTCGACGAGATTGGCGTACCGCGAAATGAGCGCGAATCAAGAGAAACAGAATTATTTGCAGCTCTATCAGAAACGCTCCACAACCAGCTTCGACTCGTTAATTCGTACGTAAACTAAGGGCATACAAAGATGCGCGTGCTGACACCAGATAGCGAGAAGACTGCCATGACCGAAGAAGCTCAGAACATCATCAAAACGATCAAGCAGATGGAACAGTCGCTGGACGACGAGAAGGACAGAGGCTATGACCTGGAGACGAACGGACTTCGAATCACCTACCCACTCCTCGATTGTCTCCGCGACCTCAAAGAGAAATACAATGTAGTCAGCAGGCTACACCGGGAGCGCTTTGAGCAAGTAAAGAAACTGGTTGAAGCACTAGAATCATACTCGTCGCATCTCGAGTCCTCCTTTGTCAAGATCAGACTGCCCCCAACCTCGTCGAATACATGCCCGCCCAATTTCGACCTTTCCCCGTCATATGTCACAACCCTCGACGAAGAGTTCACCAGAGTCTATGATGAATACAACCGGAGGGTGGCACTGGTTCAGCAGACCTCCGAAGAGATTGTCAGATTGTGGTCGGAATTGGGCATTCCTCAAGCGCAAACAGATTCCCTCATCGTCCAAAATTATCGAGATTCGCCGGAACAGCTTGGACTGCACCAAGCAGATATGGACCGACTGAAGAACCGCCGAGACAAGCTACTTGATGAGAAGAAGAACCGTGAGAGGCGACTTGCCGACGTCAAGAAGAGTATTGAGATACTGTGGGACCGGCTTGGAATTGAGGCAGCCGATCGCAAGGCCTTTCTGGCTGCAAACAGAGGTTGCGGCCTCCGAACCATCAATGAATTCGAAGACGAGCTTGCGCGGCTCAACGAACTCAAAAGACAAAATCTGCACCTGTTTGTCGAAGATGCTCGTGTCAGACTCCAAGAGCTCTGGGATGCATTGTATTTCTCCGAGGAAGAGATGCTGGAATTTACCCCTGCTTTTTCGGACGTTTATAGCGACGCTCTGTTATCAGCCCACGAAGCCGAAATCGAACGATTGACGACGCTGAAAGACCAGCGAGCACCGATACTGGCCATGGTCGAGAAATACAGATCGATCGTCGCTGACCGCGAGGCGCTCGCAGCATCTGCGAACGATGCAACGAGACTCATGCTGAAGCCTCAGAAAGGAGAAAAGCGTGACCCAGGGAAGTTGCTCAGGGAGGAGAAGATGAGGAAGAGGATAGCAAAAGAGCTGCCAAAGGTCATCGCTGAATTGACGAAGGTCCTGCAGAAGTACGAGGATGAATATGGTCGACCCTTCCTGATTCAGGGTGAGAGAATGCTGGATGACCTCGAGGTGGAAGCAGAAGTAAAGGCACCACCACCGCGGTCTAAAACACCGAACGGCCTGCCACCAAGATCAAAGACTCCTGCGCCCCCGACGACGAATAAGACAGCAGCAAGTACCGCAAAGTCCGCACAGCCACCTCGACCTGCTAGTGTCGTGCGAGGGCCGCCACCGCGCACACATACAAAGACGCCCAGCACCTCCAGCAGGCCTGCCACTATCAGGCCACAAGCCGCCCCAGCATCTGCACCCTCTCACGCAGCACCTTCGATACCACCCAAATCACCTTCGAAGATACCCAGCCGCGTCCCATTAGGATCGCTGAAGAACTCGCCAGAACGGCGCGCCATTCCTCAACCTGCCTCTCACCACACTCAGCCTGAACCACAACAGAACTATGCCCAGAGCGCGAGGAGCATGCCACCCCCTCGAGCTCCGCCGCCGAGGATGCGGGACCTTTTCGTACCGCCTCCAGAAACCACGCCCAACCCTGTAATGACCTCTCAGCCCGTACCACTCTCATCAGCCCGGCCGGCAAGTACCATATCTTCCGGCTCGAACGAAAGCAGTCGCTACGTCCGTCCGATGAGCCCCGAAGACGTCTACACCGACCACGAGAGAATGTCCTATATGTCCGCTTCAATACTCAGTCACAACCGCCAACAACAACACCAATATGCGTCTCTGCCATCGCACCAAGCAGATCCCTACTACCAACCTCACCTCTCCCAACAACATCATCATCCTTCTCACTCCTCATCAGCGCCAATACACAGCAGCAGCCACTCACAAAGCGTACGACATAATCCCTCAGCACCACCATCCACAGTCATATCACGCCAAGCTTCAAACACCTCGTCAAACATGACGACAGGCACGACGGCGAGCGGGAGTGAAAACTGGGAGACTTATTCCGATGCGTCGGAGATGGAACCCGAGCGAGATATCCGCGAACAATACTACTCAAAACCACACGCCCAACAACCGACCTTGACGTCGACCCCGCTAGCCCTGAGCCATAGCATGAACGGCCATAACCAGAAGAGACCCCTGAGCGCTGCAATACCAGGCTCGATGGCCCCACCGCCAGCTAAGCATCACCAGCATACAGGGCCGACTGGATTCCACGATTCGCAGTATGGAGTTGCGCACGGGCAAGGGCAAGAACGGTTCCGCGAGATGAGTGACGAGAATGCCCATTCAGGGGTTAGGGTCGAGGGCAGTGATGCCGCGTGGAGTACCGAGTTGGAGGAGTCGTATTGAACCAGCTGAGCTGAGCTGAGCTGGCCCCGTGACGTTGCGTATTTTTTCGAAGGAACAACTGGAATTCCATACGCAACCTGTGTTTTTAATACGGCTTTTGCTTTTTCTTTTGGCGCCCGCAGCAACGACCACGCATGATATGACGGCGCTACGGCGCTTCGGGCGCAAAGGTCAGGCAGGATAGGCCGACATTCTATGGTTCTCGTCAGTCAATCAGTCGTTCGGAGGAGAGGTCTGAAATTAGGGGCGTGGAGGCGTGGGTGTGGACGGGTGCATAGTGGTGCCAAAGACTCAAAGAACACCTGGACATGGATTCGTGTGTACAGAACAGTAAGAGACAGATTTCCACATTTTCGGGAACTTGCTTCATGTACATGTCCTACATTGGAAGCTAGCTGAGTAGCTGGGGTAGCTGAGTTGATGAGTCGGCATCGACTGACTGTGGTGACTGGCTGTGCCTACAGTAAGTTACCGTAGGTTGAGTGAGAGGCCTTCTCCCACATACCGCGCCGTTACATCTTACCATTTCGCTCTCCTGTACGGAGCACTTTGTAGTTTGCTGGAGTGTGCGGACTGCATCGAGCAAGGATACCAGGAGATCCGTCGGAAGAGCCACTCGTACTCGTTGTGTTCATGTCATGGCCCATAACCGCTACCTAAGTGCTGAATTCGTCCACATTTCTAGCGAGATTCGGCATTTGTGGTGCCGTAGTTGACTCTGTGCATAGCCTGCCTGCCCACCTCGTACAGCTACACCTACTGGACCAAGATGGGAGACTCGAGGCTTACTTGTATCGAAGAGCGAACTGACTTGTGCTGAGCTGTTGCTGTTGCTGTTGCTGTTGCTGTTGCTCTTCTATGTGAAACACATTATGCCTTGCTTTGCTATGTCCTGCTATGCTATGCTATGCTATACTATGTACGTACGCTTGCTTCTTGCTTGATGCAGACAGTCAATCAGTTTCAACATGACACCGAGCTCAAGCTGCAAGTGATATTCACCGACTCGGCAACAGTAACCATCTTGGTATGATTCCCTTGTTTGTGAATCTCACATCCCATATTGACATTGTTCTATTCTATCCCCCTGTACGCCAGGTCGTGTGTATCTTTGTCGTTGTTCTCGTTACAAGATGCCCCTCAACACGCTAATGGGTCGAGACTCCGTCCGTTGTTAGTACATGTACAAAACCGTAATAGCTGATATGTGCAAATGTGGTGCTTTTCGACCGTCTCGCTCGCTGAATACACCGTCCTTGACGGCTTTCGAAACGAGGTTCCCTCTGGTGGTAATGGTCATGGTAGTGCTCATGACAGCAGCTGATGAAATTCGAATTATTTGCTAAGACGGTGAAGGCACCGCGATGGAGGATTTCGTGTGCTGACGGTCGTCAAGAGGAGTGCCAGTCGCATTCACCGCAAATACATCATCCCAGTACTCCTGGGTACATCGACAGATCCCTGTTTTGCCCTTCCAAGTACCGAATTGATGCTCATACTCGCATGCCGTGGCTTTGATTTCCTCCCAGAACCGTCGTTCGATGTCCAATCCGAACAAGTCAATAGCGCGAGACGGACTCATCCAGGGGCGGACGTTCGTACCGTTCGTGTCTTGAGTGGGCCGTCCCACGACTTGATCCGAAAAGCCTTTGATTTCGTGGTCGAAAATGGTTGAGGGATCGAATTTCGGGAAGTTTGCATGGATGAAGAAGAGCTTGACATCACTTTCTTGTATGTCGAAGTGATTGTCTTTGCCGGTGTCGCCGTCCTTGTTGCGCTCGTGAGGAGGGCCGTAGGCTTTGGTGAATGCATAGTCGGCGATCGGGTCATGCTGAGCCATAGCAGTACCAAGATAATGACCGTTTGTGTCATGGCGGCCGAGAGACATGACTCGCTCATGGACAGCGTAGTAGGGCTCTTTCAAGGCAGCCGCTGCCCAAGCAAACGTCTCCTTGTCACCTTCGCCCGGAGCACCTTGGGAGAGCAAGGGGTAGTAGTAGGACGGTCCGTAAAAATTGTAGTATGCGGCAAGCATAAGCGACTTGTGGTGCTTGGCCTTGGAGTACATAATCTCGCCCGACTCGACCGAAGCTCGTTCATTCAGAGGCGGTAGAGAGTCGATTTTGGCAATTTCGAAATAGTATGGGGACTCCGAGGGGTACCAAAAATCGGGCCAGACGATTAGACCGTGGCTCTTAAACGGCTCTTCTTCGAATAGAGGAAGAGGATCTTGAACAGGAAACGCATCGGAATCGAGGAGCAGGACTTCTTCGAAGGAAGAAAAGAGGACAGCCATGATCTTGAATTGGAAATGGCCGATCGCTACGCCCGTGTTTGCCGCATGGAATATGTCGGAGAAGAGGAGGCATTTCGCATTGAGGGCAGGTAGGACAGTCCTGCAGATTTCGTCGTCCCATTCAGATTCGTCGGTAACGAACACTTCAACTGGCAGATCGGACCCGGTCCTTCGCAGCATTCGCAGCGAAATGACCAGGACAGGCAGCTGGTTGAACCCGCCCGTCAAGGCGATACCTCGAGTGCCAGGTTCGTATGGCACTGAAGTCACGCCTCTCATATCACTGACAAAGTTGGAGTGCGCCTCACGCATGCGCTTGATGTCGGCAGTGTCCATATACAATACGTCCGGTCTCGGTCGGTTGCGAGTGGGATCAAAGCCAATGTCCAACTTTTGAGGAACAACAGGGTCGGGAGCATTTCTGCAGTTTGGGTCGTTGTTCAGGATGATCTGGTATAAACTCCGCCAGAATTTGGCCTGGCTCTTGATCAGAGGGTTGGTGACCTTGAGCGACGGTTCTGCTTGGGGGATCGGTGAGGGCGCGGGCTCGGGCTCAGCGACAGGCGCTGGGTGCGGTATTGAGGGAGGGTCGGGTTGTGCAGGGCCGTAGTGGATGCGAGTCTGGATGAAGAGCAAGATGAGGAAGAAGGCAAGGAGCGACGTGATCAGGGTCGACTTTCTACGCCATGGCCCGACCCTCTTCCTCGGGCACAGAATCATTGTGGTCTTTGGTCAAGGAGGGTCCATGTTGCGTGCAAGGCCAGAGTCGAAAGGGACTGCCGCTGGTCGTTGCGAACAAAGTATGGCGGGCTCGTACAAGAACCGTGGAGCTGAGGTGTGAGTGCAAGTTACCTACTCCGTACACTTTAGAGATATGAGCCAGAACTGAGAGGTTACAGTGAGTGCTGCAGTTGCGGCAGCTGCGTCACTGGTGGAAAAGACGGCAGGAAGTCGGGGATTTTGCCATGTTTCAAACCTTTGATTGGCAGTGCTTAAGATACCCACGCGCGATACGGACGAGTAGAGGTGGTGCCAAAGCCGGATTGTAGGCAGGCACATGCATCAAAGAGGGGAGCGCGATGCCCCCAGACCTCATGGACTCGCCGAGCACCTCCTGATATACAGAAGCAGTAGTATGTACTCTCGTATTGCACTCGCACCTCGTAAGCCGTCGACATGTGATAGACACCTGCCAGAATTTGCCGACTCAAGAAGGCCTGTGAGCTTGTCCACTGCTTGTCCTTATATAACTGGAACCCCACGCATTGGTAAGGTGCCAGAGTCGGCCATAGCTCCGTGCTACGGGGACAAGGGCGCTCTTTTGACTGGTTCGCTTAGCAGAGTTCTCACCCCAGCAGCGGGAGTGTTTGCGAAACGGTCATCATCCTAACCCTAGGCGTGATAGGGCGTAGGATCAGCCTAGAGGAGGCTCAAGGAGCCCAGACGGGTGGCTCTCAATCAGCTCTAGGCGGCTTCGGGGCTGATCTCCGAAAACCTAGGCATCGGGCTCTGGGGTTGCCACCTCCCATCTGAACCCGAGCACCAAGCCCAACGTGTGCCAGCCGGCTTCAGCGGATGAATGAAGTCGACGCGCGGCAGCAGAGAGGCGGCAGTACTCCGTACCTGCAGGTGATATGTATACGGCTTCCAACCCGCCCTTCCTGCACTGTTCCCCCGTATTAGAGTCTGACGCCGCCTTACCCACCACTTAGACATATCGATTTGTAAACCCCTGATCCAATGTCCATGTAAGCAGCGAAAGGACCGGACAGGTTCTGTAACGCTTCGATGATCCTACCTATTGGCGAGCCTCATTAAAGCTTCTTCGACTTCATTTCGGATGGGTGTAACCATACTCCATACTTGACTCGAGCAGAGACGACACGACTCTTTCGGCCGAGCAAGCATCCTCACTATGACTGCTTTGTCGACGCAAACACTGTGGAACTGAGGCATACCCGTGTGCTCACGATGCAGGATCCCGTCCTGACCGTTTCAATCACAACCCCGCAGTCATGGGCGCAACAACATGCCATCAAGCGTCGTCGCGCAAATCGGTCGCCCCGTCGCGGCATCGTCAACCTCAAGCACTTGGCTCCTGAGGCCAGGAAAGCGAAGGAAGAAATGCTGGCAAAGGCTGTCGAGGGTCAACTGCAGATCAAGAAGTCTCCCACGAATGGACTTCTTCTGGATCCTTTTCAAACGTTTCCAATACCAACGGCCGGCTGCGTGAGCCAAATGGCCCAGTTCTGTGAGTGTCGAACCAAGCAAGGTCTGCCGTCATCCTGTCTGATTATCTAGTTGTCCAAGTGTGGGCTCCTCAGCACGGCACGGCTTTCGCATTCGAAGGGCACACCAACCCGTATCTGAGCCTTCTCTGGCCCCATGCTCTAAAGTCCGCCATCTACTTTGAGGGACTCGTGGCTCTATGTCGGGCAACCTACCTGGCGACGTCGGGCCAATCTGCCCGGGGAGACAGGCATTTCGTGTGGCACAAAGGGAATGTCATGACCAAACTGCGCGCTCGGCTGGAGGACCCCCAGCTGTGCTCGGACGATACGACTATACTGGTTGTGGCGACCTTGGGCACGGTCGACTATATCCTCGGCGACCACGGCGCCGCATGCGCTCATGTCTCCGGCATGAGACAGATGGTGAAGATCCGGGGAGGGTTCAAAACCACCTCGCCCTGGGAGAGATTACTCAAAACGAACGTCGATGCCTACGAGGCGCTGTGGTCGTTCCTGTTCGCGGCGGACTCCAGTTCTTCCGCCAAGCCAGCTCGATATGACGGCCAAATCCTCCAGAACGCCGAGTTTCCAATCTACATGGCTCACCCGTTCAAGCCCGAAGTCTGCGAGATGCTGGCCAAACTTCCACAAGGGTTCTGTGACATTGGTTTGACAGGCGTGCTTTCCCTACAAATGATCCGGCTCCTCTCCGACTTCTCCGAGATCAGGGCAAAAATGGCGGATTCTCCACGTACCCCTGGGTGCTTTGACACGCTTTCCAGACGGAAGATCCAGACAACCCTCGAAGACCTACACCGACTGGCCACGCTGCAGACCACTCCGACGGAAAGATTTCTTTCCCACGGCCTGGTAGCTTATTGCTACCTGCTAAGAATCATATACTTCCAGGACCATCTGACCGGGTTCTACGAGACGGCGCTCAAAGCCCTTGCCGACATCGCCCTCAACCAAACACCCAGCCACAAATCCCCCGACCGGAAGTGCTTCCTCTGGAGCAACATGATGATAGGCACCGTCCTGCAACACGGCCAGGTCCGTCCTCCGGGCTGGACCGCCGTGCTGCGGCAGTTCTTCGACAAGTACGGAGAAGCGCGACAATGGAAGAAACTCGAGACCGACCTGAAACTGTTCTTTCTGGGGGATGACATCCAGCAATTCGCCAAGGACGCTTATGATGAAGCCGTGAGGAGGAAAGAGAGGGGAGAGTCCGAAGAGCGCGATTCCCGCGTGGCAACCATGGCGATCCGAAATGTCATTCTGTGAAACATCGACCCGCCACTGGGACCCGGTTTAGATGTCAAAAAGTGCCTTGCGGTTTCCTCCCGATGGCTACAGTACCAACGCAGGAAAACATCCGGCCAGCGGTCGGCGAACAGCTTCCGCTACCGGCCGCCTCAAGCCTATCGTCGTGCCACGTTCGAATGTATGGTTACACACGAGCGCGGTGTGGCTCGGAACATTCGACACGCGTCCACAAAATGACTCCCGATCACGATACTCGGCAAAGGTCGGGAGAGCCAAAATGAGCGGGGCTGCCAGCGTGAAGCCGGCAAAGAGTGGCAAGGGATGCTCAATGGCTTGAAGGACAAAGAGCGAAATGTGCATGACACGCAAGCAACTCGGCCTGGAGCATGCATGAGCAGCAACCAGGAGCTGGACCACGACATATACCTACGGAATCAAACACTCAGTCTTGACCCGCCAGAAAATCGAAGTCTGCGTGGCGAAACGAACAGCCAACTCTCAGCCAGAGCACAATGAACGTGTGATCAGAGGTCGAAATACCTTAGGCAGTCGACACGGGTACCTTCGGGGGGCTCAACAACCACACGAGGCTGCAGTCAATTCGTAGAGCAGAGGAAGGACACGTCGGGAAGAACAGAAGCCAGCGGTTGCGTTTTGGAAGATTTGTATGATTGAACCGCCCTAACCGGGAACAGACCAGCGTGCTCTGCGAACACAAAGCACATCTTAGGCCCCGCGCATTAGCTGCTGTCGGTTGTACAGTAGCTTCTGCCATACGGAGTACCCGTGTTCACTTTGCTCATTGGCCTGGTCTTCCACCTCTTACAGACTAACCCCCCCCCCCCCCCACCAATACGTATGAGATTCCTCCTCTTCCTCGTCGATGCGATTTGGAGGCCATGTTTCCACCACCACCATGTCGTCATCGGCATTTAGACCAGACACCATACCATGGACTTCTTCTCGTCGAGAGTCGAGACCTTGATTGACAGAAGTTCTCAAGAACCAGCCATATCGATCCAGGTCTTGAAGTAAAACACCAGCTCGTGCGTAAGGCAAGCACACTGCATGATGAAATCCCTCCTCTTCCTCGTGAGCGGCATTTGTATACCATGTGTTTCCACCACGAATCTCGGCGTGAGCATTTACTCGAAACACCATGGACTTCTTCTCTTCGAGATCTTGACTTCCCAAGAACCAGCGCTGCCTGTCGTTGTCTCGGTTCTTGAACCAACACACTCGTGCGTGACGGGGTTGAATCACATGATGAGATCTCCTCCTCTTCCTCGTCAAACGGCATTTAGATACCGTGTTTCTCCACCGCCATGTCGTCCTCGGCATTTAGACCAGACACCATAGTATGGATTCCTTCTCGTCGGGATCTTGACTTCGCAAGAGTCAGCAACCATGTCGTTGCTGTTGTTGAACCAAAACACCTGTGCGTGACGGAACCACAGCTTTATGATGAGATGTCCTCCTCTTCCTCGTCAGCGGCATTTGAATACCGTGTTTCTCCGCCATCATGTCGTCCTCAGCATTGAGTCAAGATACCACATGTTGCTTCTCTTGCACATGTTTCTTGACTTCTCCAGAGAGCCAGCCATGTTCATGGAGTTCCGGAACCAAAATACCCGCGCTTGAGCGTTGACTCAAGACACGACGTGTTGCTGTCGTATCGGATTTTGACCTTACTCAAGAGCTGATAACCATATTGTGGTATCTTAGTTCTTGAACTAACCTCGAGCAATCACTCAAGACGCAACGTATTCTGCCTTGTTGAATCTTGACCTATCCAAAAGCCAAACATGTTGCCCCGGTTCTTGAACTAAGACACCGCCACTCATGAGCATTGGCTCAGACACAAGGTAATTTCCACGTGATGTCTCGACTTCTTAAAAGCTAAACATGTTGATGGGGTTCTGGAAACCGAAACGCACCGCTCGTGAGGATCGATTCAAGACACGACGTGTTTCTGTCTTGGCGAATATTGACTGGCTCAAAGCCCGCAACCATGTTGTTGCTGTTCGTGAGTCGAGATCCACCGCTCGTAAGTATTGACTCCGACACGATATGTTTCTGTCGTATCGGATCTTGAATCAAGAGCCAACCATGTTGTCTCAATTCTTGAACTGTCATAGCGGATTTTGACGTGCTGAGGAGCCGACCGCCATGTTGTCTCAGTTTTCGAATCGAGATAGTAGCTCGTGAGCGTTGACACAGACGAACGGCTTTTCTTCCTGGCGAAATATCGAATTCTCAAAAGCCCTCAGCCATGTTGTTTCGATGCCGGGGATCGAAATACCCGCTCGTGGAGTGGTGGCTCATGACCATTGACTCAGACACAAGCCTTTCCTCTTGTCAAAATTCCGATTTCTCGAGATCTGAGCATATTGTTTTCGTACTGGAATCGAATCCACTGCTTGAGGAACGTTGACTCGGACAATAGACAGAACCCTTTTCTCGTGTCGAACCGCAAATGCGAGCCAACCACGACGTCAGTCTCCTTGATTCGGACGTATGCTCTCGTGAAAGTCAGAGTTGCGAAACTTCTTCCCTGAACTAAATCCACAAAGCACACCGTAACACATTTTGGAGCGGATGCCCAATCCACCACCCTTGAACAAAAATTTTCAAACCAGTGCCAGCAAGGCGTACAACGGTAGTGACCACTGTCACCAGCTCGCCGTGTGCGGTAGTCTGTGAATGAATGAACATTCATTTCCAACAGGCCATATCGAACCGAATGAACAGCTGACCCACTCGGCGGCCGTGTAGATATCGGTGGGGTGTTACGTTTTATCATGGTTACAAGTGTAACACGACCTTTTCCCCATTCCAGGGACGGATAGCTCCGTATGCAACTCCTCGATGATGGAAGTCTTCGACGATGGACATGCCCTGCAGTCATCAGCACTCACCGAGGAGCATGCTTGACTAAACACGACATGTACGTTGCACCGGGATGATCCACCAGGAAGGTATGCCTGAATTGCCGGCGCTGCCGCTGGGGACATCTCGATTCGACTATGGGTTTGCGACAGTACCAGTCCGAGACACAACCGTGCAGGTTGTTTAGGATTCTGAACCCAACGTTGTCACTGACTCGGTTGATACCTATGTCGATGACTTGTAGCAACGCCGTAGCCATGATCAAGTCCTTGTTGACGAATGTCATTGGATGTCGATGCAGCTATCGATGACGCATGAACGTGCCATGGCTATGATCTGGTTCTTGTCGATATCCCTGTTGATGACCTGTAGTCACGCCATGACCATGATCAAGCACTTGTAGATGTAGATGTCGATATAGGAGCTGATATAGATGTCGATGATATGACGACACCCAATAAAGATGATCGTACCACCGTCGAGTAGGTAGTAGTCACTGTCGATCTTCATGTGATGTTGACAAGGATATCGATGACTTCAGAAGACACCATCTGTCTGGTAGATGCGCATGGCCATTTCCCCATGCACAGGGCCGAAGGGCGAGGGTCTTGTCCATGGCGGGACAAGGTCCAGACGTGCCACGCACCACTGATCTGCTGTCTGGACATGTTGTCCATCTTTGACTGTAGGCGCCGCAAGCCGCAAGCAGTAATCAAGCCAGGCATGCCACCCCGTTTCAATGGCTGATTGTGGCTAGCAGCCATCAACGACACATCCCTGGCTTGAGATGTCGTCGATCATGGACTATGGGTGTTCACCATGAATGATGAACAGGCCGACGTGTCAAGACTTGCCTCACTGTGGCAGTCCATTGTGTCCAAGACCGCCGACGACAACAGCGGTTCATAAAGGTGGTTGGCCTTGAGGGTCATAACCATTCCATACTGATGGACAGTGTCTCCTCACGCCTACATGAACTTCCTCTTCCTCGTCTCCATTTGACAAACACGCCTTTGGTCATGGCGAGTGACAGGGACCAACCATAAGCGCCGGGTGGAAAAGATGCCACCATAGCCATACATGTGGCTTCAGTCCGATGCTTGCATACGGGTACACGCCGTGGCGAAGTGTCTGTACACAGCAAACAGGGTCAGTCACGGCTCGGTATATCCTGGTGGGAGACCTTGCAAGCATACCTCTTCTCTGAAGGAAGGTGCGAAGTCGTTCACGATGCTATCTTGTCGTCATTTTACTGACCAATGTTTTGTCGGTGCACGCGTGAATTGCTGATAAACAGGCTCAGGACGACCGATAACCATGTTTGAAGGTTTGTTCGTTCATAGAGAGGGGAAAGCGCAGGGAGGAGCATGACCGACAGTCATATTCAATGGTCTTTCTCGTTCGTAGAGAGGAGGGACAGGTGGCGATGACCGATATCTGCAGGAATAGTGTTAGCATTTGTGTGTTCTGGGTAGTGATCAACGTGGACATATCCGGTGACTTACCTCTACTCGCGCAGTGTGCGAATTTGCCCACGTTGTGTGTGTCAATGCTTCGAAGTTTGTCCACCAGAACATGTCCAGTGGAACCTGACCAGAAGGTGTTCAGGAGAACGTGTCCAGAGCATGCCAGAGACCATGTCTAAGGAAACATATCCACGAAACCTGACCACCAGAACATTCGCAAGACAAGATGTTCAAGAGAACGTGTAAAGAAGGTTTTCAGGAGAACGTGTCCAAAGGGTGTGCACCAGAACTCGTCCAGAAGGTGTTCAAGAGAACATGTCCACGAGAACATGTTCAAAAGGTGTTCAAAGGAACATATCCGCGAGAACGTGTCTGGAGAGTGTCCGAGAGAACATATCCAGGAGGACATGTCCAAGAGGACATGCCCAAGAGAATGTTTCCGGAAGGAGGTATCAATAAGGTGTCCAGAAGGTGTGCAAAGAAGAACTTGTCCAAGCTCAGCAGAAGCCGTCTTTCGGGTGCCGCGTCGAACTGCAAAAGTGTCCGAAGAGAAGACAAGTCGAGTGAGAAGATGCTGAAGAGAGGCCGTGCTTCAAACGCCGCGTCAGACGATGTGCATTGCGGATAGAGCTGTCGACTGAGGACATGTTCAAGAGAAGCCAAGCTCCATATGCCATGACAAGAAGACCGAGGTGTCCTTGAGAAGGTGCATGAGAGAATCAGAGATGGACATGTCTGAACGAAGGATGTCGAAAGGAGATTTTCAAAGGAGAACAATGTCAGAAGGGTGTCAAGAAGAGATGTCCAGAGAATAAGGTTAAAAAGAAGACATGTCAAAAGGAAGCTAAGACGTCGCTTGAAGCCTGTGGTGTCTGACTTATATATATCAGAAGGCAATGAGAATGAGATCTGGATGATCGAGCTGATGAGGCGAGAGAAAAATAGGCCAGACAGAGGGGGGAGAGGGAGATACTTATACTTTCTGAGACTGCTCTGGGGGCTTCAGCACTTGGCCGCATGATTCCGTATGACATCGTTGGCGGAGTCATAGAGAGTTACAAGCACGTGTATGACATCGCTGGCGGAGTCACACGCAGTCACACAGAAGTGGATGACATCGTCGACGATGTCACACGTGCTCAGGAAGCTTGCGGAAGGGGTAGGACATCGTCGTTACCTGTTTGCGGACCCATCCGGACTTGTAACGGCGACATGTTCTTGACCAAAATCGGAGCTTCGCGGTGCAGATGTGACTGGTTGCACGCGCGGGGCTCCACCATGGTGGGCGAGGGGTGAATCGAGCGACATCATCAGGGGCGGCCGACGACAAGCAGTAACGACGAGGGCCGTGATTGGGGTGAGAAAAGGAAGGAGCATGAGTCAAAAGTAGGGGAAGACAGCAGGTGCGTGTGTGCTGTGGTGACGGCTTGGGTCCCATCTTGATTCAGGTGTGCAGCCTCGAGGTTACCAAGTGGCAAGAATCGGTCTGTTTTGATAGATTTTCACAAGCTGTGGGGGTTGTTGTGAAGGAGTAGAGCCCTGGTTCCAGTCTGCCCAAGCTGTGATGTATGGCCAGCTCCGGTGTTGGGCTGTGTTAGATGGTGACAACGTAGACCAAGGCCTGCTATGCAGCAATATCGGCGACAACAGCGAGCCCTTGAGGAACCATACCAGATGGGCACATGGGGAAAGGAGAGTACCGATAAGCAAAGTTGTAGATACCTACCTAGTTCCTACACCTTGCCGCCCAACCACCGGTACACGACCGAAAAATCTTTGCCCTTGTGCTCCTTCTCGGTCGAGTCGTACACTTCCTTGGCCTTGTCCGCAAGAACGAGCTTTGCGCCCGCCTCTTGTGCGGCCGTCATGGCAAGCCTCAGATCTTTGTTCATCAAACTTACTCCGAAGCCTCCCTCGTATCTTCTGCTTGCTGGACTGCTTTCGAGAACGCCAGGGACAGGGTTATTGATCTCGCTGGGCCAGCTTTTGCCCGTCGCCGAGTTGAGAAGATCTGCCAGAGCTTTCCCCTCGATTCCCCATCTCATGCCCAAGTTCATGGCCTCTGCGCAAGCAATGTTGTTGATCGCTAATGCGTAGTTGTTGGCCAGCTTGCCGCTCAGTCCTGTGCCCTGGGGACCCATGTGCCAGACTTTCTTGCCCATCAACAGCAGGATCTCTTGGATCTTAGGCATATCTTCCTTTTCGGCGCCCACCATGAATGTCAAGGTTCCGGCACGAGCGCCGACCACCCCACCGGACATTGGCGCGTCAACGAAGCCAGCACCTGCTTTCTCTTTGACCAGTTTTGCGACTTCTCGCGATGTTGTGGGGTCGATGGTTGAGCAGTCGATGAAGAGCCTGGACGACTCTGAAGGAGGCTTGGGCAGCGGAGAAGCCAGGATCTCCTCGAAAACTCCCTTGACGTGACGTGGCTCAGGGAGAGCTGAGATGATATTATCCTGTCGTGCGCCAGTCAGTCCCAGCGCGCAGAAAAACATTGGCAATCGAGGATCATTTGAATTGGTAACTTCAGAGGATTGGCTGTAAAAAAAAGAGAAATCATGGCAAGGACTTCTGACTAAAGAGTCCCCAACTTAGATTCATAGATAGAACAATTGGCTCATCATGGAAAGGCGATCGACGCAGAGATTGAGAGCAAACACTGCATCCAGGCAATATATACTCACAGATTTCTCAGCCACTTCTCTTGGACTCTTAGCAACAACCACCCCTGAAGGTGTGGCTTCTTGGGTGAACTGCTCGAGCGACGCTTTGTTAAGGTCGAAGATCGTCAGCACGTCGCCCTCAGGGATTTTGGCTCGGAGGTTTTTCGCCATGGGATATCCTCGAGAATCGTCAGTAGGTCTTTGCTGAGAGTTTGGTAAAACACTTACCCATGGCTCCCAGCCCAATAAATCCCCACGACGCATCTCTTGTAGCTGTCTGGGAAAAGTGCCGGATTGACACTCTAAAAGATTGTGAAGAAGCAGTCTGCCGCAGGGCAGACGACATCGAAGGCACTATCATCGCTGCTGGGCTCGCCTGGTACAGACACCGTGCATGGTGAGCAGCACTGCAGCAGGACGAAGGTTGAAGTAAAGATCAGAGAAGTGCGGAGTGTCTCCCGAGGCTCGATGCCTTGAGAGCTCTGACTCGTACACAGTACAGTAGCAGCTCGGGGAAAAGCTGGAGCTCCGAAATGTGCGCGGTGGTGGAGACCGCGAAACACCGTGGCCAACCGAGCTGCCGCGGCGGCAGCGTCTAAGCCGAAACTCAGTGCTCGCGGGCGACGACGAGTCTATCACGTTTACGGACTTATCCTGTTACAACGATGGCTTCCTCACGAAGACATATTGAATCAATTTTCGGGTCAACAAACCCGGTGGAAGAAAAGGATCAACTGCACCCCGACTCAACCGGCTGCCCGTAAAAACGTGAAGCTCAAAAGATAAAGCACTGGAAGAAAGAACTCTCAGCGACGCCTCGACTTTCCCTTGCCCCTCCCGCCATCTGACCCATTGCTCGACGACGGTGAAAGCGCCGGAAAGTCTGTATCCATCACAAGCCTGCTCTGTTCCTCCGCGAGACTCAGCTGCAGAGCAAATTCCAAATCATCCACCTCTTGCGCTGAAGCGTGCGCCTTGCTGCTTCCGGCTTTCGCACTCTTTGAAGGTGTTCCATGATGGGACCCCTTCGCGTATCGGATAGGGATGTTGAATTCATCCCCTGTAGGAGACGACGATACTTGTTCGCTGTCCAGCAAGCTCAGTCGGATGGCTTCCTCAAGGTCGGCGTCAGGATGAGAACGGCCTGGCGGCAGACTAGGTGAGGCGATCGAGCTGCTACCATAGTCCTCCTTTCTCTTCTTCTCTTCATTTGAAAACGCTTCCTCGCTGAGCATGGTGGCATATGCCAGCATCTCTTCCTCGCTCGCCCCTTCTCCCAGTAGATTGGTTCCAAACCTCCCGGTCAAACGGTCTCTTTCCTTTTCCCTCGCGACCCTGTCCCGCTCGATTTCTAGTCTTTCATTGCTAATGTAATCATTGATCAATCCACGACCGGTGGCACTAACCTTTAGCCCAGCCGGCGTCGAGTTGCTACCGCGTTCGGATCGGCGGTGGAGTTGACCTCTCTTTCGACTCTTGTAAGCATCAGCTGCAGTGGAACTGTACGACCAGTATCGGACATAGGATCCTAAAGAGACCATTCCACGCAAAGCGGTCGGATCAGGATCTAGGACAATCGCACCGGCCGCGTAGAAGTTGTTCCCAACCCCATGCATGGACGCTTCAGCCTGGGCTATGCGTCTTCTCGCTCGATCGGAAAATCGAGAATTCAAGGTCCGGATTGGTTCGTTACTTGACGCCAGTGGATCCCATGCTTGAACAAGGCCTTCATTGCCACCGTGTACGACGTACAACGATGTAAGCGCAAGAGAAGCGATCTGAGGAGACTTGGTGTATATGATCCTGACGGGCTGGATCGTGTTCACAACATCAGCGCTGAGTGATAGGCCTGCACGCATATCCCAAAGCATGACCACCCCTGACGTAGTACCAATACCGAATAGCCGAGCGCGACGGCCAGGTATCTCAGAGGTTGAGCTGAGTGTGGAAGCAGGGCCTATGGGAGACGACAGTGGAGATGATGTATTTGATCCGCCAGACATGCCGAGCAGGGGATCTTCATTGACATTCAAAACGGCAAACTCCGAGTCGTCGGACGCCAGGGCCGAGATGTGTATATTTCGGTGCTCTGCGAACAAGAAGTTAGAGGTAAACCAAGTTTCACGGAACTTTGAGTCCGCGGAGTCGTCTTGGCTGGAAGTGCGCGACCTAGGAACGCTTCCCAGCGCAGGCGAGGCATACGGAGACCGCTGCACAGGACTTCCACCGAAGATGGATGAGCGTTTCATGGTTGATTCAATGGTAGGCCAGCTATCCAAGTCGAAATCAGCTGGGATCTTCATCTTTGATCGGGTAAAGCGTCGAATTGCTGCCACTTTGTCACCGTAGAGTCCACAGTCGATGACAAAGATGGATTCTCCTGCATGGCGATGGTCGTCACCAGCGAAGTCGACGATGAGTCTCCGCTGCATGTCCCACCCATCACAGAGGCTCTGGAAATGTCTCGGTTTGTGGCGTAAGAATTGTTCCACTTCCTTTGTTTCAGCAACGATTTGATCGACGCTCAAACCTGCCATGTCGCTTGAGCTCCGGGGGCTATAGCTCCCGTCGACTTGGGCAGTGCCAAACGGATCCGGCTTGGCCTTCCGGCGCGTAGCCTCAACCAGTGACCATTGCACACTTCTTCCGGTTTGCCATGCAAGCCTCTCAAGATCATCAGCCGAGGCCTTGCCGGCGAAGTGAGGTCTCGTGGGAGCATCCGTCAGATAGAACACCTCGCCGAGCGCGTTCAACACGGCAGCCCATATGCGATGGTTAGCCAGTCGTCGGACGGACATCTTCTCGTCAACGCAGATCGCAACGATAGGCACACCGGGGCAAAGCACCCATTTTGCCGTAGGCTCACCCTTTTCGTAACGCCGGTCAAGTACAGGGCTAACACCAAGAGCATATGCACCGAGCACTCCGTTTGAAAATCCCGCAAGAAATCCAAAGAGGCCATCTGTAGCCTTCAGGACCGATTCAGACTTCGCGATCCAAACACAGCAGATGGAGGAGTTTATCATGGTCGCCTCAGGGATACCACGTGCATGGTCCGCGGTTGATGAGATGGAAACAAAGCGGCCGCGCTGCTCACTGGTCGAGGTATAGAAGAGCCGGCCACCAGGCAAGGCTTCTCCATACACCTTTCCATATGGCTGGCTGATATCCATGACATTGGGCATGCCAACCACATTGCCGGGACTCAAGCCGTAAGGCAATTCACCTGGAAACTGGTCCGCGAAGTGTCTAAAAGCATCAAAGTCGGTGGTGCCCCAGGTGCCGGGTTTGCCGTTTGCTGGATCGCTGACTGTCACTCCTCCCTGTTCAACAGCGCCATGCATGAACATGGGTTGTTTCTTGTTCAACCCTACACCAAAGGTAGCGTGCAAGTGGCTGACCGGGTAGTAAAGACCAGAGGGGTAGGTTGTAACGGCGGCGGCAGCAGCACTGCTAGCATGACGAGCAGCACCAGAGCGCGAGATGGCCTCAATTGCCGGCCGACCACGACCGAGTGATCGCAACAACCGGGTCCGAAGGATGTATTCGCTTCTCCATGAGGAGAGCGCGGACAAGCGGGTGAAAGATCGTCGCTGCGTCTTCTCGATTTCGGACACGGAGTCTCTTGCAGTCTTGCCTGGTCCAATTTCCAAGGCTTCCGCACCAGGAAAATATCTCGCAAAGGCTATACGCCACGCAGGCGGGGTAGTCACCAATTTGTGAAATCGTTGGGAGACCAGGCTCATCGAAGATAGAGTTTCCGGAGGCAAATGAGACAAGATGTGAGTGAGCACCTCTATGGCACGTTAGCAGTCAGTTGGATCATTCTGTGCAATCATTGTCGCACCATTTGGAAAGCCCTCAATTGACACGGTGGAAGTTTTGTCTTTCGCTGAAGGGACAATTTGGAAGATCATCTCATCCGATGGTCTTCGGTACTTTGTGAATGCTCGCTCGTATTCGTCGATACGGCTGCCAGGAGAGCCTTCTTGGGAGGAACTGTGTTGCCTGCTCAGCCGTCCGGCGTGCGATGACCGTCCACGTTGAGTGCCGCCCGAGCTGACAGAAATGCTGTCGGATGTATCCTCGAGGGATGGCGTTGGCTCTCTAGGGCTACTTCTGGGAAGCGTGCCGCCAGAGGCCTGCTGTCCATCGTGCGAAAGGCCATGCTGTGTGGGAGGCGGAGGGGTGTGCTGGGTTGGGTCTACTGAAGTCGCGTTTTGGGAAACTTCAGGAGGCGCAGATTGCATAAAAAGGTCGGAGAGATAGCTATGTGTAACGTCAGGACTGAGCCAAGGTCTGGGTCAGTCTGCGGAGTCGGCGAGCTCGTGAGTTGAGAGTCTCTGTCTATGTTACAGCGATCAAAGGATCAAGCGTCGAGGAGGAGAGAGGCAGAGAGAGAGAGAGAGAGAGACTGTGGTCACTGATTCAATCTCGGAACAGTTCGGGCTAACCCCTTTTGGTTCGTCTCAGTTTCGTTCCGGTTCTTTTCCTCCTTTCACAAGCACTAGGTACAGTACTCCGTATTGTACATGCCATTGCCCGATGCTTCTGGCAGACACAATTCCTTCCGGCTGAGAACCTGAGGCATCTCGAATAGTAGAAAGTCGCACATTGCCGCGGTGAACATCTTGCATTCCCTCCTATGACTGACGCCAGACTCCAACGCTAATCGATGATCGCCATCCCACAGCAAGTGCAACAGGTGGTGCCGCATTCGCCCGACGACATTGCCATAGCAATAGGACTGACTACGCCGACGGCTTGACCCCGTTCTCCAACAAGATCTTTTCACTGCTCGGGAAGCGCTCGTTCATGAAGTGAGTATAGAAGCGAAAGTAATCCCTCAAAGCACTTTCGTCTCTATCTGAGTCTTCCCTACCACCTAACGAGGCTGTCTTCACACCCTTGGAGAAGGCCAGGACGGGATAAGCTTCGACGTCTTTCTCTTCTTGCAAGAGGATTTGTTCGAGGACTTTAGCCTTGTGCGCAATGCTGTTGAAGTGCCACATCTTGCCGCGGTAGCGCATGGTGAGACTGAAGTCTTTGAGGCTGAATGTTTGGCCCAAGGTCTCAGCTGGGGCTGGCGCCTCCGGCTTGGAAGCAGTTTGCGGTCTAACGGCGACACTCGGATTGACTGGTGTAAAGCCCGAAGCTCGCGGAGGTGGGAAGCGGCTGTCTATTGTCGAAAGCGGTTGCGTTTCATGCTTCCCGACCTCAACTGCGCCGCCACTGCCCTCGCTCGTCCCTGACTTACGACGCTTGTTTCCAGAGACCGATTCGTGGCCGAGACTGGCACGGGTGCGCTTTCTGTCATTGCCGCCATGAATGCCATTGTCCATATTGGTATCTTCGTGATTACTGCCGGCATCGGATCCTGCTCAGACAGACAATCCTTTGTCAGTCTGGGCCACCTCCCGCGATGTTGCTGGTGAGGCAGGTATGGAGCAGGCAAGGCTTACCCTCTGAGAACACCGTAGCGTCGTCAACCTGGCCATCGAATCCGTTGTCCGTCGCGCCATGTACACTTGAGCTCAAGTTGGGTTTGTGCAGCAGGCAGCCAGGGCAATGAACAGCGCCATGGACTCGCTTGTGGAGACGATCAATAATGTACCAGCGTTGTTGCTTCATAATGTCGCCGACATAATTAACGATGGTCAAGCGGTGTCCGCTAGCCTCCCATTGGTAGTTCTGACATGTCCGTTAGCCTGCACCTTGACAAATATATCATTCAAAATGCTCCGTGTCAGCAAGAACAAGAACAAGGTAGCTTACCAAAGCGGCGTCCCAGGAGAAGTGCTTGTTGCCGGCACCGTCGTCGAGATACTTGACGGCGAGTCGTTCGATAACTTCGTCGGAGGCGTTTGGGACATCCGCGACGTGGTCTTTGAGGTAAGCCTGGCTCTCTTTGCGGAATCTCGTTTCGGCGAAGGCGTCCATGCCCAGCTCGGCGCAGAGCTGGCCGACGGACTTTGGACCTTTCGGCATCTTTTCAGCGTTGAGGTAGGATGGTCGGACTCACTTCGCCACAAGCGGAGGCTATAGGAGCTGACGCCGGAGTCGAGGTGAAGGTCGAGGCGCAAGATGACGACTCCAGTTTGAGGCCCGGCGGCGGGGCGGCGCGTCGAGACTCGAGAATGAATTCCAGCCGCCGACGCCTTGGCAGAACACGCCAGCAGGCTGACATGCCACCGCGGGCGGCTTGATGGTTTGTCGGCCCTAGCGACAGGACGTGACCTTACATACTGCGGGACACGTGAGAACAACAGCCTCGTTGAAGAAGCTTTTCGAAGGCCGTCGTGTCGACCAGCTTGAACTACGGTTATGCAGAGAGACGTTTTGGGGCGTGTGACGGCACGACAGAAAAGCAGAAAAACCTCCAATGCGACGCTTCGCGTGTCGATGCTTGCCTGTGCCTACATCCCTACATCCCTACATACTGCGGACCAACGATCACTCTTGGAACGACCGTAGGATACTCCGTACATGACCATGGGTCTACATACACATCAACAGAATACTCCAGAAAGCCCCCCGCTCAAATTGTACAGTAGACCGCCGCAGTCGAGATCCGACGCGGCTTCATCTCACGTCGCCCAAGCAAACGCGTGGTAAAAGTAAAATCATCGCCTCTTCGGCTTTCCTCGTCCCACAACCACTGCGCCTCTTGCTTCTCGGTCTCTTCATTGTGCGCGTTCTGTTCAGAAGTGGGCACCCTGGTGGACTCAGGCCTTGAGTACGGACTACGCACGTCTTTTGCTCCTGTTTTACGCTCTGATCAGCCAAGTCCAGTCTTCCTGGCGTTCGCTCATTCGTCCATGTCGAAGCAGGCAGCAAACGCGCTTCCATGCCGGTGCCTTCGCCGTCACAAGCCATTCATTGTAGATTATATCGTCCTCTTCTAGACCAATCTCAAGTCTCGTTCGCTTACCTGAAGAGCGGCCGTCATGACAGATACCATCACCATCCTCGTCGCCACCGACAACCATGTCGGCGCCCACGAACGGAACCCAGTCCGTGGCGACGACTCGTGGAAGACATTCCACGAGATCATGTGCCTGGCCAGAGAGCGAGACGTCGACATGGTCCTCCTTGCCGGTGATCTCTTCCACGAAAACAAGCCTTCACGAAAGTCCATGTACAATGTCATGCGATCCGTCCGACTCAACTGCCTCAGCGACAAACCCTGTGAGCTGGAGATGCTTTCGGACGAGTCGGAGCACTTTGACGCCACCTTTGATCACGTCAACTACGAGGACCCGAACATCAACGTCGGCATCCCCATCTTCTCAATCCATGGTAATCATGATGACCCCACAGGAGAAGGCCACTACTCTGCTCTGGACCTGCTCGCTGTCTCCGGCCTCGTCAACTACTACGGCAAAATACCCCAGAGTGACAATATCGTGGTCAAGCCCGTTCTGATCCAGAAAGGCCGTACAAAGCTCGCGCTCTACGGCCTGTCCAATGTTCGAGACGAGAGGCTTCACCGCACCTTCCGGGATCAAAAAGTCCAGTTCCATCGCCCCAGCACCCAGATGGAGGACTGGTACAATCTGATCTGCCTGCACCAAAACCACCACGCCTACACAGACACCTCGTACCTGCCCGAGAACTTCCTCCCCGACTTCCTCGACCTCGTCATCTGGGGCCACGAGCACGAATGTGACATCGAACCAAGACTGAATCCGGAGATGAACTTCCAAGTCATGCAACCTGGCTCATCGGTCGCCACATCGCTAAACCCCGGCGAAGCCGTGCCCAAACACGTCGCCATTCTCACCGTCACCGGCCGCGAAATGAAATGTGAACCGATCCGCCTGAAAACTGTCCGCCCCTTCGTGTACAAAGAGATAGTCCTCGCGAATGACAAAGAAGCCGTTCGAATCGCCAAACACAAAGACGACCACCGCGTCGAACTTACAAGGCACTTGATCAAGATCGTGGATGGACTGATCGAGCAAGCCAAGGAAGAATGGCTCGAAGTCCAACCAGAGCCGGAACACCCCGATGAGGAACCCGAGGCACCGCCGTTACCGCTGGTCAGACTGCGCGTGGAGACAACCTCACCAGACGGCATCACCCGCTTCGATATCGAAAACCCACAGCGCTTTTCCAACCGTTTCATCGACAAAGTCGCCAACACCAACGACGTGGTGCAATTCCACGTGAAAAAGAAGAATGCCGCGGCCCGCACAGCCTACGATGCCGAAGTAGACGAGGAGATCATGGCGAAGTTCCAGGGCCTGGAAACCATCAAAGTCGATGAACTGGTCAAGGAGTTCCTGGAGAAGCAGAGCCTTACCATTCTGCCGCCGAACGTGTTTGGGGATGCCGTCCACCAGTACGTAGACAAGGATGACAAGCACGCCGTAGAGACATTCGTGAACCAGTCGCTCGCGGACCAGATCAAGCACTTGGTGCGATTGCAAGACGATGCGAATGAGGCAGATGACGACGATGAGGAGGATCTCGCGACGCAGATCGAGCAGCAACGCGCCAAGATGGAGGAGATGTTCGCCAAGGGCGAGCTCAAGATCAGCAAGAATAAGGCAAGGTACAAACCCAAACCGGACGGTTGGGATTCCGATCTCGATGGCCAATGGGAAGACAAACCCGAGGCCTTGATCCACGACTCTGGCGACGTGGAAGACGGAACAGGCGACGAGGACAACGAAGACGACACTCCAGCTCCAGCTACACGCGGCGGAGCTCGAGGACGAGGCAGAGGCAGAGGCAAAGGCGGAAGAGGGGGGTCTACAACAGCATCAGCAACATCGACTCGCAAGACGGCGGCAAAACCCACAGCAAAGAAACCAGCTGCTGTGACGGCTGCACGCGGCCGCAAGCGAGCAGCGGCTTATGATAATGACGACGATGACGATGAAGAGGAAGAGGAAGAAGACATCGTCATGGGGGATGACGACGACGGCGAAGAACCCGACTCGCAAGCCATGTTCGTACCCGAACCCAAGCGTAAAGGCGCCTCGAACAAAGCTCCAGCTCCAGCTACACGAGCCACTCGCCATGCGTCCCCTGCCTCCGTGTCCACCACCACGTCTCGGACAGCCGGAAGAGCCAAACCTGCATCTTTCGCCCTCTCGACCGCTTCGACGACGACGAAGAAAACTCCAGCCCGCGCGGCGGCCACAAAAGCAAGACAGACGCAGCTGAACTTCACTCACTCGCAGAACAGTATTCTCGGGAATGGCAAGGCTTCGGGGGCAGCTGAGGAGATCAGCGATGACGACGATGATGCGTTCGAGCCCGTTCCTCCAACGAGGAGGAGGCGGTGAAAAAGGGTCTAGGGTTCGAGCTAAAATAAAACTGGGAACAAATGGTTGTACAATATTCCGCGCGTGAGGGATCAATAGAAATCAGCAAGCGAATGAGTACTTCGATTTCAGGGTGAGACGTTTTCATACAGTATCACAAGTGTCAGACTGTCCCTACCAACCGGCTCGTAAGGTGAAGGGTACGTGGCAACTGATGACTTTGAAAGACCCGGAACGCGGCCTCGCTCAAACTCATGACGACGTTTGTGTTGACCTTTAAGCCACCGCCACCAGTCAGTGTCGGTCCTCACTCAAGCTTCCTTCGCTTCTTCCTTTGCCGCTGCAGGCGCTGCGGTCGCTCCAGGTGTATTTGCACTTCCACTTCCAGCAGCACTTTCACCTCCAGTAGCCGGAGAGGCGTTTGTCGCTGCCGGGCCACCACCTCGTCCGCCGCCTCTGAAATTGCCCCTTCCGCCACGGTGTCCTTGTCTGCTGCTTGGGCCTTGACCTTGATTTTGACCTTGACCTTGGCCTTGGCCTTGAGTGGCTGCCCCGCCACGAGCATTACCCCTGGCACCGCCACCGCGCCCACCTCTATTCGCTCCCCGCGGCGCTGTAGGTGGAGCTGTTGCTACAGGGGTTGAGGCCGATGTCGATCCCGGTGCTGCAGGAGCAGCTGGCGTCCCAGTGATTTGAGCTTGTGTAGTTGCGGTTGGTGCCGGAGTTGGAACCGCAGGCTTTGGAGAGTTTACAGCCGGGGAACCAGGACCAGCAATTGCTTTTGTGACAGCAGAACCTGCAGCAGGTGCTGGAGTAGGAGAACTTTTCTGAGTTACGGCAGTTTGGCCGCCTCTCTTCCCATGCGGACTCTTGTTCTCCAACACTACGACTTGCCCGTTCGCGACCTTGACCGGACTGGCTGCCATTGCTTTCTTCAGCCCCTCATGCTCCGCAAAGTCAACATAGCCTAATCCTTTCTTTTTATCAATTTCGCAGCGTGTAATGGTGCCGAAGGATTTGAATGCTTCTTTGAGTAAATCCTCGGTTATACCCTGGGAGGGATTGGCATGTTTGAGGAAGGCGGATTTGGCGCCAGCAGAGGGTTGAGGAGGAGACGGTTGTGGTTTCACTCGATTGGGATGGGGTTGTGGCTGGGTTGTGGCTGCTTGGGATGGGGTGATGGGAGCTTGGTTTGCTGATGAGGATGTGGCGGCGCTAGGTGTCCGCGAGGCTCTTGACGCTCGCGGCCCACTGGGTGGCGCCACGGGCGTGGTGGGAGTTGCTGGCCCTGACGAAGTCTGCTGGCTTGGTGCTGACTCTGCAGAGTTAGCTGCTGCTGTGGGTTTTGCAAGTGTTGAAGGAGGTTGTGTTGCAGGGCTCGATGCAGATGCTGAGGCAGTCGCCTTCGGCGTCCTGGGAGAAGTGTTTCCTTTTGCGAGCAGGCCCAGATCTCGCTGCAGCATCCGCGCGGCGCCTCGGGCGTTATCTCGAGGCGCTCTATTGCGGTCTTGCTTGGCCGACTCTGTAGGCTGAGATTGAGCTGTCGGTGTTGTCTCTATTGTTGCTGGGTGTTCCCTTTCGCTTTTGGCCGGCACGGAGCTTTGTTTTCCTTGCACAGCGGCCACGGACTTCTGCACGGCCTTGATGGCATCTTGGGTAGCTTTCGCCACTCTCTCCTTTTCTTTCTCCTTGTCCTTCTCCTTCTCTGTTGCAGCAGGAGTCGCCTTGCCTTTGATGATCACAGTTGGCGTGCGCTCATTCTTAGTGGGCTTCGCCTCCTTGCTGGCGCTCTTAGCGGCCTTGGCTTGTGCGGCTTCTTTGGCTTTGTTGGCTTTCTTCTCCTTGATATACTGGACAAGGGGGGTAATCGTGACCGGCTCGGTTTTGAGTTCGCCAGATTCTGTCCCATTGCCCGTGGCCTTCGTGATGGGTTCCGTCAAGCTCTGCAAAAAATAAATAAATTCCTGATCTTGATCGATGGTACCCTGCCTTCCGTCATGCCGAATTCGACCACTTGGCGTCTTGTTGTACGGCGCGAACTCCAGCGACGGAGGCCCCAGGAGGCATGGATCTTTGGTCGTATTCCTGGCGTCCTGGAACGTTGTCTCTTTAAGTACGACAGAGAGCGTGTCCAAGAGCGCCTGTTCCTTGACTTTGAGATACGCTCTAGCTGGTCGTGACGGCTTTGCAGGACTGGATGTAGTCAGCGCAAGTGGAAAACTCAGGCTACGGTGTGCTCACTCTCTGGAAACCTTGCCATCATGATAGGCTGCCCATTCCACCTTGCCACTGCCTACACGCCATTCATCACCAAGCGCTGCCCAGAATTCCATCTCTGTGAGCCCAGGTGGCAGACGACGTATGATCAGTCTGAGCCTCGTTGCTGGACTTCTTTGGGATAATTTTTGTGAGGAATTTGAAGCTGCAGTCTTCCTTGCTGCAGCGTTGACAGGCAAAACCCCTGCTGGACGATCCTTGCTTGACATTGTCGCAGGTGTAACCGTGATGCTGGAGCTAGAGAACAATGAGAGACCGGCAAAACAATCTACAGACCGGTGACAGATTGAAGGTTCAAGTCCTGCGCATTAGGCATCAATAGGCAACGATGTATCACAATATGTCCAGGTGACCGTCAGTGAAGACGGGTATTGAATGATGTCGATGTTGAGGGTGACGATAGCCCCATAAATATCGCCCTCCATTGCCGTCGGAACGGACTTACTTTTCCCCTAGCGCAACATCCAACCAAGCCGCGATGGCAGCGGCGTCGACCTCCACACCCTCTGGTAAGTGCCGTCCCCTACAGGCCGTCCTATCGCTGTCGCCAACAAGGTTTTAGAGACAACGGCCTCCGCAGAGGCATTTCCAGTGTTTGACGACTCGCCCTCCCCTCCCAATTCTCCTTCCCCTCCTCCTCGTTCACTCCCGCGCGAACCCCGCCGACGGTCGCGCCAGGTCAACGAGATTGACCGACGGGTTCTTTTCGGGTCCAACAAACCCAACGTATTTACATACATTGATCTTGTGCGTTGCCTGCGGTTCCCTGCGGCGCCAGGCTTCCTCCCGCGTGCTCCCCAGAGCCAACTGGGTTCCCAATCCACCTACACCTGCTCCGCCAACCTCTCCTCCTTCTCTCCAGCACCATGGGCGCTGTCAAGGTCCCAGTCCCAGGCCCAGCCCGCCTCAAGCGGTCAGCAGGGCCAGATGAGTGGCTCGAGGCGGCGAAGAACTGCAAATACCTCTCCGAATACCACATGAAACAGCTCTGCGAAATCGTCAAAGAGTACATGATGGAAGGTTTGTCATCCTGTGCCACCACGATGTGAGTGACAACTGACCGAAATTCCAGAGTCAAACATTCAGCCTGTCTCTACACCTGTCACTATCTGCGGTGACATTCACGGACAATTCTACGATTTACTCGAGCTCTTCCGAGTCGCAGGAGGCATGCCGAATGAATCAGCACCCGAAACACCAGTCACCCCCGCAAACATCATCACAGCCGCCGACATTGAGCCTCCCTCTACGATCACAAATCCGAAACTCAAGAAGAAATTGAGACTGGGCGGATCAGAACATCCCGACACGCCCAGCGAAAAGAGCAGCATCAGCGATGCCGAAGAGATCCCCTCATCACAACAATCCGAGATTGAAGACGAGAGATCGGAGTCCGGAAACATCATCTCGCGCAAGCAAAACGCTAATTTCATCTTCCTCGGCGACTATGTCGACCGTGGCTATTTCTCCCTCGAAACGCTCACACTTCTCTTATGCCTCAAGGCGAAATACCCCGATAAAATCACTCTCGTCAGAGGAAATCACGAATCTCGCCAGATTACACAGGTCTACGGCTTCTACGAAGAATGCGTACAGAAATATGGCAACACCTCGGTTTGGAAGGCCTGCTGTCAGGTCTTTGACTTTATGACACTCGGAGCCATAGTCGACGGCAAAGTCCTATGCGTACACGGTGGTCTCTCGCCCGAAATCAGAACACTAGATCAAGTCCGGGTCGTGGCACGAGCACAAGAAATCCCACATGAAGGCGCATTCTGCGACCTCGTATGGTCAGATCCCGAAGACGTTGAGACCTGGGCAGTCTCGCCTCGAGGAGCCGGCTGGCTATTTGGAGATCGTGTCAGTCAGGAGTTCTGTCATGTCAACGGCCTGAACCTCATCGCAAGAGCACATCAATTGGTCAACGAAGGCTACAAATATCACTTCAAGAGTCAGGACGTGGTCACGGTTTGGAGTGCGCCAAATTACTGCTACAGATGCGGAAACCTGGCGTCCGTCTGCGACATTGGCGAAGACATGAGACCGCAATTCAAACTTTTCAGCGCGGTAAAAGATGAGCTACGACACGTGCCAGCGTCGAGGGGTGGTCGAAATGAATACTTCTTATAGGCATTTACGAAGAGTGAACGGCAGGTGAACGAATTGCTCTGAAACAGCCATGCAGAGGCTTATGCTCGGGCAGCCTTCCGCCACGTTTGACGAATGAAGAGTAGACGAGGACCTGGCATGGAGCACGAATGAGCTTGGACGAGCTTGGTATGAAAGGACTGGAGACTCAGGCTTTGTGCGTTTTCAGCATAGCGAGGGCGCTAATACTGGCTCTGGCATGTATTGTAACAATACGGACAAGCGCTGGCAGGTAGAGCTAGCTCTGAATATGATGACTGTGAAACGAACTCTCGACTGCTTCGCGGTGCTCACACGAGACTACGAGTTACTTCATAGCTGGAACTCCGGAGTTGCGTTAGCCTCCGCGAAGGCCTGTCGTGCCAGTCCGAGGCTGACGCAGAGTTGGAGACGGACGCGAAAGAGACTCCGACCTGTGTGATTTATGTAGAATTATGGCTGCTCCAAATCTCGAAAGAATAGCAAGCGAGACCTCGAGGTCAACGTCCCTCAGAGAGACATGCACTGGTCATGCGAACAACAGCCATATGCCTCTTCCGGCACACCCTGAGACGTAGCCGTCTCAACCTCATTCAGATCCACAATGGCACATTCTACAAAGAGCACCCATCGGCGGGAGGTGACGACGCAGCTACCAATCCCCCTCTATACCCCAACCTGAGATTCGAGCTTCCTGCCACGAGTCGACGCGGTGGCTCCGGCCAGCACACTGAGAGAACAAGCCCTCACTGGGCCGTCATCAGCGGGTCTGGAGACGGCACGACGTTCCTCGAAATCCTTAGAGGATCGCACCTCTGTTTCCCGCCCAATGCAAGATCCTACCCGTACCTAGCCACCGGGGACATCGACGACCAGACGGACCACCGGTTACGAATCCCCTCGCGCGCCATCCAGTATGTCGGGTTCAACACCAAGCAGGGCGGGATCGCTGGCGCGGGAGGTGTCACGGGCGCATACCTCAGCGCAAGATATGAAAGTCGCAGGGAAGAGACGGACTGGACCGTCCTGCAATACCTGACGGGCGACACGGAACTCAACCCGGGCGAGAAACAACAGCACGTCGACCAGACGCTGTTGGACAAGGTCATCGCAGACCTGCGCCTGCAGAAACTGACAACCATGCCCGTCAGCAACCTGTCCAACGGACAGACCCGGCGGGCGAGGATTGCAAAAGCGCTCCTTGGGCGGCCCTTGCTCTTGCTTCTGGACGAACCCTTTATGGGCCTCGACCCGCCTACGCTGGTCACTCTCTCGCCCATGCTGAAGAAATTGGCCTATCAATCGAGCCCGCTTCTCATGCTCGGTCTGCGGCCTCAGGATCCTATCCCGGAGTGGATCACGCATTTGGTCGTGCTTGGGCACAACCACACCGTGGCGTTGATGGGTCAGAAGGATAGAGTCCTCCTCAGTGTGCGGAAATGGGCAGACGTGGTGTCCGACCCGCATGTGCGGACTCAAGACCAGAGTGCCGTCGAGGGGGTTGTGAAGCGATATGGGCCCCCGCCCGCTGGCCTCACTGGAGATGTGCTAAGCGAGACTGGCATCTCAATCGCATCTTCAGGGATACCAGCCGAGGAATCTCCTGCAGAGGGCGTCGGCTCTGCCGCAGGATCAGACCAGCCGTTCACATCGCCCCTGGACGACATTCTCGGACAGCTCGTTACATCCCGCCCGAGCGCGAGTGATGTACAGGGGTCGACAACATCTGTGCTTACCACCTCATCCTCAGCACAGCAACACACGCGCTCCCCAAGGGACACCACCACCGCTGTCAACACCTCAACAGGGGCCCCTCTCATCGAACTCTCGTCCGTGATCGTGAAATACGGGTCCAAAATCGTGCTCGGCAACCCGTCAGGCCTCTCCCTCACGCTGAGCAAAGGCACGCGCCTCGCCCTCTTAGGCCCCAACGGCAGCGGCAAAACCACGCTCCTCTCGCTCCTCACGTCGGACCACCCGCAGTCGTACTCCCTCCCGATCCGCTTCTTTGGACGTACCCGTCTCCCGGACCCGACGAACAACATCCCCGGCCTCAGCCTGTGGGAAATCCAAAGCCGCATAGGGCACTCCAGCCCGGAGATCCACGCCTTCTTCCCCAAGCACCTCTCCATCCGACGAGCGCTAGAGTCCGCCTGGGCCGAGACATACGCGGGACGGCCGAACCTGACGCCCGCCCGCGCCGCGCTCGTCGACGAGGTCCTAGGATGGTGGGAATCGGAGTTACGACCAGACTCTAGCAGCAATGACGTTGATGGTGGTGGCCATGGCTGGGCGACGTCCAAGGCCCACCCGTTCGGCACGCTGCCCTTCGCCACGCAACGCCTCCTCCTCTTTCTGAGGGCGCTCATCAAACAGCCCGACATCATAATCCTGGACGAGGCCTTCTCTGGACTTTCGGCACGCACGCGCGACAAGGCCATGGCGTGGCTGGAATTCGGGGCTTCGGGCGGCGGCGGCGGCGGCGGAGAGACGCAGACGCGACTCAGTGGTAACACCGGCGCCCCTGATGATGTGGCTGCCACCGATCCCGGTCTGTCGACGCCGACGACCTTCCTCGGCCTCACCGACCAACAGGCCCTCGTCGTGGTGAGCCACGTCAAGGAAGAGATCCCCGACTGTGTGGACGAGTGGCTCCGCTTGCCGGGCGAGGAGGAAATCGTAGAGACCGGACGGGGCGTCGAGGGCGGCAAGACGCCGCGGAGGGCGTGGGTCAAGAGTCAGGAGGGGTGGATGAAGGTGTGGGGTATATGAGTACCTACCTACCTAGTAAGTACATATCGAGAATACGTGTATACCTACATATATACATACTTCTACGGAGATATTCTCGAATGTCTTTTGCGAGACACACAGTGATGGTGGAAGGAGTAATTACAGGTTTGCTGGATCTGGATGAGCCGCTGTCAAGTAGATTCAGATTCATCATCGAAATGGAAATGATCCAGACTTGGACTCAGATTCATATCCAAATGCAATGCCATGGTGGATGCGCATGTGATCTGGATTGTCCAAGGGTCAAAAGTGATCCGTGGGAAAAGGAACAAGGCTTAGATGTGGTGGATGGAGGACGGACAATCTAAAAGATGCAGAGCTGGAAAGATGCCAGCCATTCACCCATCCAAGTGGTCGGTTACAATCTGCTGGGCGCATCATTGGTATATGTGGTATCTCAAAATGATCAAGCATGTATCAACAGTGAAGACATTTCCAGCCAGGATAATCCAACATCGGTGTCAGTCCTCCTACACCTCGAGAAAAGCGTCATGCTGGCTCCACAAACCTGACACCGCGTGCACCTCCAGGTAAATTACAACAACTATAAGTCATCTCGGGTCGTCCACGCCATCGCCAAAAAATCGACTTTTAGATCCGCCCAGAGTCATGACGATTGCGTGTGGTTGAATCGAACTGAAAACAAAAGAAAGTCCACCTATCCATCTGGAGGTCGCGAGCAGAAACTTGCTCACTCGTCGTCATCCTCCATCACAGATCGATCACGAACGCTACTCGATCGATCCGGGATCATGTGGTAAGGGATGCTGAATTGCGAGGTACTGCTCGACTGGCTTTTGATGCTGGATTGTCGACGCAGTATCCGTTCTTTCATCCCGGGGTTGCTACTGGGAAGCGGATGTTGAAGGGCATTCTGTGAAGCAGGGCGTGGAATAGCTCGTTCCTTGTCGGTTGGACTGGCCATAGATGACCTTTGCACCGACTGCCTAGGCGATGAAACCGGTAGTGGAAAATTGGACAGGGACACCTCCCCGGGGCTTGGTGGCACGACAGGCTGCGGTTGGTGGAAGCGCGGGTGCAAAGACTGATCGGTGAGACTCAGCGGAGGCGGTAAAGGTACATGCTGCTTCGGCGCATCGTTTACAATGGACGGTCCCGGCCCATTGAGGTCCGGCTCCGGTCCGTGTCTAACCTTTTCACGCTTCTTCTTCGCTGCCTTATTCATAGAGAGCTTCACGGGCTCCTCCCGTGGTCTTGCATTGCTATGCTCGCGCGACATAGTGGTCAAGTGATGATAAGATGAGTCGGCACGTTCTGTGCCGACTGGATGGTCGGGCTCGGTTGGCCTGTCTACCGGAGTAGGCGATCTCTCTCTAAATTGCGAGAAGATGGAAGATGGTGCGGCAGGCTTTCCGTCGCTAAAGGAATATTTGTGCTTCTGAGGACTTGATTTAGTCGTCCGCGCGACAGACGTCGGAAGAGGCTTGGTGAGAAAATTCTCATTCAAGCTGAGCTGGAGGCGGATCAAAGCTTCACGCGCTTCCGCTTGCTTCTGGGCAAACTCCGATTCGTTGAATGTCGAATCAGACGTGGGGGATCCATAAGTGTGACCGTTTGCATCGCCATCTCGAGAAGCGTATTTTCTCGGAAGAGTTTCTGCGTCAAGTGGCGGAGACAAGGTGTCCTTATTGTCGTCCACTTCTGCGACCTCAGGGACACTGGTCAGCGCTGGTTTGGTGGCAGCATTGGCAAAGTCCCTCGCGCTCACTCCAGATCCACTACTTGGGGTCGCAGGTGGCTCCGGATTCTTCGAAGAGAGGTGTAAGTATGGTCCGACCACTGGTGTCGGGTCGGGTTTGTGTCTCAGATCCTCCTTCTGGTCAATCATTGCTTCCCCTTCTTTGGACCTCACCTCGTTGCTATCCGAGGCGGTGGTGCTCGTGGTGGAAACAGCCCCTTTCGGAGACGCTACTGCTGTCTCCGTGACGCGACTCTGTACCTCTGGAAGCCCATCATGCCGTGATGGCAAAGGATCAGACGCGAGTCTCACTTCCTCCTGCTTCTGAGACACCCCTGTCTCCGGGTTGGCATTGGCGTCCTCCGCAACTTCGGAATCTGCTGGCTCCGCCATTACTACACTTGCACGCGGGGATGCAGAGGCAATAGTGATGATGCGAGTGAAGCTACTTGCAAAATGAGTATTGGCTGGTGTTTGCCGTGGCCTTGGCGGCTCTGAGGCAGGTGCTGGTGACGGAGCACGGGGTTGTGCAACCTCTTCGGAAGCTGGTGCTTCTGCATTTGCTGATGGCGAGGTGGCTGGCTGAACGGAATTTGATTGGGCCTGCGGCGTCTCCGTGGATGAGCCGGGGATGACAGGTCCCTGTACCCTGCGCATCGTGTCAACCCTTGCATGTTCTAGGACTGGACTTGAGCTATAGTTCGATGGAGGATAACTTTCAGAGACGGCTTCGGGGGCATCGGCAGTCAAATCCAGGATCGTGCGGTAAGGTAAATTGATGGCTCGATTGCTCTTGTTTGATGGAGGGCGCATGGAGTGCTCGTGGCTTCGAGAATAAGAGTCGTCTGCCGCCTTCAGTTGCGTCACTTCTGGCACTGACAGCTGATAGCTGCTCAAGGCACTAGCTGGATCTTCGTGTGGATCGGGGTCAACTGGCTGTTTTCCAGGATATCCTGCTGGGGCTTCGGGCGAAGTAGAAGCCGATTTGTGACCTTGGGTGCTGCCTACAGGTGCTATTGGTGCTTGCGCGTGTGGCAACCTTGAGACGCCCTCTTTGAGGGCCTGGATGTCACGGGCTCGTTGTTGGGATATTCTAGACCCGTCACTGTCTTGTCGGGAGTGCAGTCTAGGCGAGTTATGGGTGTGGTTACTTTGCCTGGAGGAAGAATAGCCCTCAAATCTTGGGGGCGATCGCGGATAGTTGCTTGAAGCGCTGGCTACTTGACGACGCACAGAGGTGGACGTGGCAGGACTGCCAGGCAGACTGGGTTGTGCATTTCTGGTAGCAACTTCCTCTTGATACTTCGAAGAAGGCACATAGGTCGAGTGAGCGCCTTCAAGTGCGACGCGCGCCAAGTCCAAGTTCCTCTCAGCCACATCCTCATTGTAACCAGGTCTTGGACTGGGGCTATTCGAGCTGGAGAGGGAGAAAATGTCGACATAGCGTGGAATTTTGGGCTGGACATAGTTTCGAGTGTTTCGCTCTCCGAGATATTGCCAGCCTTGTTCGGTCTTCGCAACGGCATCTGCTGCTCGATTGACAGCACTCAGCAGGCTACCGCTCCCATCCGTGGCTAGTCCTGACCAGGAGGTTGATGGTCTTGAGACGGCAGCGCCACCAAGTGCCGGATGAAGTCTGTTACTGACAGCCGGACTAAGTGGAGACTTTTCGTAGTCTGTCGATATGTTACGGATGTGAATGGTCGGTGGACTTGTATTGCTCGAGTGCTGTGTGTACTCGGTGCTCTGGCTCTTTCTCAAACTGCTTACTCCCGAGTCCTTTCTGCTGCTGTTCCCTTTGGTCTTCCTGCGAGTCCATAACTTCTTCAAACCAGTATCCATGTTGTCATCAAAGAGTCATTTTCCTCAGCAAGTATGGCTTTGGCGAATGCACAGACCACTACAAGACACTCCAGACACTCCAGCGCACATGTTATGTATGAGCGGAAGGATGCAATTGTGGCCTTCGGGGTAGAGTAGGGACGTGGGCGCTCCAACGCATCGTCAGAGAGAATAGATTCGGCGGCGATGGGGCGATGATCCGGGGTCCGGCCTGAAAAAGGATTTGCGCATGCGAGTACAGCCTTGGGCCCCAGTCGAGCAGTTCAAGACGTGGTTCCGATCATCCTTCCGGCTGATGTGGAGGAGATACTGAGTAGAGAGCCTCTGGTTTCAGGAACCGATGGCAAAGCGTAGGGCAACTTGTTTCGGAAAGGCTTGCCCGCGAGCCGCTGGAGTGCCTGGGTAGCACGGTGCACGCGATGGTCAAGGTTCAACGCAGAACGAAAGGATGGCGGCAGGTCCGGATACGGTAAAAGTAGATGGAAGAGCTACTGTCAGGCCCGCGCAGACGGCAATGATGGAAAGTGGGCAGGCAACGGGACAAGATGGAGCTTACCGTTTCCTCGCTGTTAGCTGCGTCTAGCTCCACCACAGCAATCAGCCACGTACCGTATGAGGCTCAGGTCGCGCGGGTGGCTTTTGCCCGTCCATGCTTGAAGAAGCTCGACATGCAACTCAGGCGCTTGTTGGAGGTCCCCAGCCTGACGCCTTTGGCGATCAGCCGCCGCAAGATATTTCGCTTCGTGGATTGAGGACAGGGTCTTGAAGAGATGCCAACCAGAGATAGGGATGGAACACCGTTCTCCTCAATCACACGCGGCAATCGCCTTCTTCCTTCTTGCCGCTGGTACTGTCGAATCCCTGGATTAGCTCAACGGCCAACAGTATTGGGCTGCGGTGGAAAGCTTCCGGCAGCAGCGCAATCTGGCTAGAGCGACGACGCCTATGCCTAGCTCGCCGTTAAAGCTAAAACCGTGGCTGGGGACGATCAGACATGCCACAACGGCCGCTAAAGAACCGCTGGCCAAACAAAAAAGCTCCAGAGCTTTTTGAAATGTCGGCACGGACGAGAGCACTCTGAACCATGCGCCAGTCACGTCAACGAGGACGCAATCGCCCTGGAGACTCCGTAGCCTTGATCGCTTCCAAGAACATACGGAGTACCTCGTACTCATACCGTGCTCAGACCACGTACTCTGTGCTAAAGATAATCTCCGGGGAAAGTGGGGCAACAATGCAGTGTCACGAGTACTCCGTTTTCAGTCTTCAATAACGAGCTATCTAAGCATGAGATCGTCAAGTGCGCACAGCATACGGGACCCATGCAGCCTCCGACATGTCGTCGTGTTAGTAGAGGTCGCATGTGTCTGGGATACCCCTTCCGGACTAATCAACCAACCACAGAGCGCAGTATGACTGTGGCAGCATCTCCACGGCTGCTTACACCAATCCGTGACCCAAGATCAGGTCCTCGGGGGCCCAATGATGGTTGATTTGCTGCCTTTTCATTTGCCTGAACCAAATACCTTGTCGTAATCGGTCAGCGTGAATCGGTATTTGATCTTGTTGTCAGCGACTCGAGATACCGCCTCTGCGCACCCCTTTTCTGAGATGGGCACGGTTTCGACCATGGGGAAGAGCTGCTTCTCTGCTGCCAACTTCAACATGGCCAAAGCCTCGGGTCTGTTTCCGATATGGCTAGCGCCAATTGAGCTGCCGTTGCTCATGAACATTTGAGCCTTCAGAGGTGGAAGAGCCTCGTCAGGTAGACCGACCTGATGGAAGGTGGCGTTAACGTTGCAGAGGGACAAATACTCGCTCAAGTCAAAGGTGTGGGTCATGTCGGCCGTGTTGAGCACAAAGTCGAATGCGAACTGGTACTTGTCGGCCCAGCCCTTCTCGTTGTTTGTCACAAACTCTTTTGCACCCAGCTTCAGAGCATCGTCTTTCTTGTGGGGAGAGTGGGAGATGACCGTCACCTCAGCACCCAGGGCGTTCGCCCAGATGACGGCGAAGTGCCCGAGCCCCCCTAATCCGACTATCGCTACCTTTTTTCCGGGACCAACTCCAGCCCGCACCAAGGGACTCCAGGTTGTCAGTCCCGCACAGAGCATGGGAGCAGCGAGGTGTGATGGGATGGCATCAGGGATCGGAAAGACGAAGTACTCGTGGGCCCGGATATGAGAGGCATAACCGCCTTGGGAGATCGTCTCGTCTGGATCGACCTCTTTGGGGTAAGGAGCGCCGTAGGTGTCGACCATGTGTGGGCAGTAGTTCTCATTGTCGCTTTTGCACTGGGGGCATTTGAGGCAAGCCCAGATCTGAGCACCGACGCCAACACGGTCGCCGAGCTTGCAGGTTGTCACAGCATCTCCGACTTTGACAGCCTTGCCGACGACTTCGTGACCGACACAGATTGGCAGCGGTGCCTCGCCCCATCCTCCGTTGATGGTGTGGACATCAGATCCGCACACACCGCAGCACTCGATCTGGATGTCGATGTCGTGTTCTCCAAACTTCTTGGGCTTGAACTGTGCAGTGGGATCAGCATGGTCCACAGGATGTCCTTTGCGCAGTATTTACCTCTTGCTTGTGGAAGTCAGTCCAGTTCTTCTGATCCTTGATCATGAAACCCTCGAATGTGTCTGGGTAACCCATGGTGGCTGATGTGGACAGTGTTCTTTGGCGAGTTCAAGAGAGGAAAAGTTGACGTGAGTGAGACCAGGAAGTCAATGACAGGAAGAGACCTTGAGCTGGATAAAAAAAATGAAACGTCGACGTGAATTTACCCAGACACGCGAATCAGCACGCGGGGCAGATTGTCATTGAGATATCGATGACATGGGACATCAATAGCCTATGATGCAACGGCCTCCATTTTCCCAGACACACGAGTAGCACTTGCTGTAGGACCACCGCCGGATATCCTCCCGGTCGTGACGTACTAGGCTCTTTTGGAGGACAAAGGCACAAGGAACCACTTTCATGCTGGTCGAGGTTCTCGCCGCCAGGAAATATCAGAGTAGATGCGAGTAATTGGAGATTTCATGAGCTGCTTCTCATTCCCAGCAACACGCCGGCGATGGCTCCGGCAACCCGACCGCTCACTCCACTAGCGCGCATCATGATTTTAGATTCAGGTCCGGAGGGCTCGTCTACGTACGAGGTACAAGCTGTACAGAGCTCAATCTTCGCGGTGGCGCTGACGTCTTTGCTGGCACTTTCCGAGTCATGCTATCGGTGTGACACCTGTCAAGCCGGTGGACAATCCTCCGGCATGGCCGACATGGAGGGGGTGAGATGGAGGGGTGCCAGTGAGTGTCCTGTCACGCTGTGAGCCTACACAGTAACCCCACGACTTTAGTCAGCCCCCACCATCCCATCTAGTGGATACCAAATGGGTTGGCTGGTGGGCACCCAGTGGGGTTGATACATGCTGGGGAGAACTCCATGTTATGCGCGACCGCAAAACTTGTTGATGTGTACACTGCACCAGTTCGCTCGCGTGACTGGGCTCCCTTTCATGACAGGGGGATCCCCTTCGGGCCACTGTAATTACTGTGTAGACGCGGAGGGACTTGTCCTTCATCTAATACTCGGTTTAGTCAAGCATACGGCGTAGCAGCACATCAACTATAGTTATATGCTTGATTATCAAATTCATGGTCCAGCGATGTCGTATCCCTTGTCAAACAGAGTCATAGCCGTACTTATGGCATAGAATTGCATCCTGTATGCATTGCAATGTGGCGCCACACAACGCGAGACAATCACCATGACCCCCAGGCTCATCAAGCTCAAGCCCAACACCAACGCCAATTCCAACTTTTCTTTATCCAGCCGTGCCGGTTCACGCATTCCTCCCAGAAGACACTAGATCTGCTCCGCTCCGCTCCGCAGGCATCAACCACATCTCAAGGCTCAAGCAAACCCAATAACCCCATCCCTACACGCCGTCCCCGGCGCCACCGGCCCCATATCCACAAGCCCGCCCTGATCGCATAGATAAAATGCTCCGGAGCCATTACACCTCAGCTGCCCGTTAGGCGTACAAGGGCCGGCGTTCTGGCGGAGGATTTGCCCGTCAATGCACGTCATGCCGGCCGCGACGGGGCCCATGAAGATGTATGTTGGTCCTGTGGGGGACGCGACGCATTGCGAGAAGGACGACCCGGTGTTGCACGCGAATGTGCCGGGTGTGCATGGGAAGGGGAGGGCCGTAGATGTCGGAGAGGTTGAGGATGAAGATGAAGGTGGAGAGGTGGAGGGCCTGGTGGGGGTTGAGGTTGCTGAGGGCGAGGATGGGCTTGAGCTCGAAGGTACGGTGGCTATGCTTGTTAGGAGCGTGGTGGTTGATGACGTTGGACCGGCAGGGACAGTGGTGGAGAGGGTTGTAAACATTGGGGATGTTGACGATGCAGAAGTGGTCGTGTTGGTCGTCGGGATTGCAGATATGGTCGTGATGAAGGTCGTGAAACTCGTCGGCACTGTAGTAGGCATTATCATCGTCGTAGCCGTCGTGGAGCTGATGAGAGAGGAAGGGGAGGCACTATTTGAAGCACCGGTGCTCGTGGAATCACTGCTCAGGAAACTAGTCCCTGTCGTAGCTGGCAAAGGCAAGACAGTGACAGTCATGTTTAGAACGGGAAAGGAAGTTGCGAGGGTTGCGCTGGTGCTCATACTCATGCTCCTGCTTGCGCTCGTGTTCGTGAGGATAGTGCTGAGAGTACTCGGGGAGCTCATTGGGCCGGAACCGGTGATAGTTGTTGAGCTCAGCATAGATGAAGGGGAGGGGGTCGTCGGCCAGATTGTCGTTGACACAGCAGCATTACTGGTCGTGGAGCTGGAACGAGTAGTTGATAAGTACACGCTTGTCATGACTGTGCTTGTCGTGGACGGTAGCGCGTCCTGAGTAGTCGACATAGAAGTGGTGTCCAGGACCGTCGTAGAAGTGTCAACGGAACTAGTGGGATTAGTATCCGTGCTGTCAGATGAAGTCGTTTCCAGTTCAGAGGATGTTGATGCAGGAAGCGTAGAACCAAGGTCCGAAGCGCTAAAACTGCTTGTGGTTGGGCCAGTTGGAGTCGTCGAGGCTGGGAAATCTGAGCTTGCAGATGTCGAAGTAACCGACGGTAAATCAGACGTAGTTGAGATGAGAGAAGTCGGAGTCGGACTATATGAATTTGTGTCACCAGTACTTGTTGACGACAGATCCGCGGAGGAAGCGGAAATTGTCGAAGCGGAAGTTGTCGAAGCAGCAGCAATACTGTAACCCGGTCCTGGGTCCGGAGTGATAGCATCTTGAGCATAGACAACCTGATCTCCAGGATCCGGGAAAACGACTTCTTGCTGCTCGATAGTCTGACAGCCGTTATCGACATTGCACACAAACATATCCGGCAACTGTTCCATGGAAGAAGTCTGACGCCTATAAGGCGAGCCTCGTCGATACCTCTGGTTCGGTGCCGTGATGATCTTGACCCGTGCACAGTTCTGGTACATTTCACGGTTTCCCACCAGATTGAACCAGGACCACGAAAGCAGAGCCGAATCCGAAGCGGGTGCAAACTCAGGGATCGTGAAATTGTAGTTGTGGGTGAGTGGACATCCACCGATCATCGACTTTATCACTTTAAAGGTCTGGCCGTTGTCGTATGACAAGGAGAGCTGACAAGAGCCGCCGTCATGGTCTGCCGTGCCGTTCAGCCACATGTCGTACGTGCCACCGGATAGGTAGGTTGCCTTCGTCGCATAACCTCCGGTGTAGTTCTGATAGTGTTTGCAGGCAAAGTTAGAGCCGTCTGATAGGAGAGGGGTCGTCATGTCGTAGTCTTTGTCATCAACCGAAACATCGGGATCGAGGGGGCTTCGGAGTGGATATGGCGAACTCATCTGCATATGGGCTTGGGTGCAGATAGGCAGCCATAATACTGACAAGAGTGCCAGTGATTGCTGGAGGAATTGAGACATGGCATAGAAAAGAAAGGAAACGGCGAGGATATGGTGCAGGACGTCACTGTATGGTCAGTTGAGCTGTGATAGTATTGCCTCAGGGATGTAGATGCATGTGGTGTATGGGACAAACAATACATTGAGATACTCGCCCCTGATCCTGACGGGAAGGAGTTGAGATGCTTGAAGATTTGATGGTGCACCCGTCTCGATTGTTGATTTCGCTCCCCTTATATGCCGACGAGCACCACTTGCTAGCCACACTATACCATCCCTTTCGCTCACTGGTGTCTGTCTGGCCTGGGACCTTGTATTGAACAGAGCTCCGTAACTCCACTGCCTTGAATATAGACGTCTGTGGCGGTGGAGGGATTGGAAATGAGGAAGCTCGCAAACTGGCTCGAGCATACCCAGCCGGGGAATTGTTTACCTCTGGCCTCGACTTGGTATTGGTCGGGGCCGTCAGGGGCTTCTCTTCCTCCGAGCGCCAGGTCAGTGCGCACCCGCCTCGCAGTGCCGTTGGCGACATCCATCTCAGCCACCAAAAGCCAACCTTCCGAACCAGCTTGAGCCTAGTCCACTTGACGGGAGAGGTTGGTAGGCCTATATGACCAGTGCTAAGCTCAAGTCTGCTCGGACCGTGATGAGATCTGACTGCTTCCGCAGCCATAGTTTCCCAATGTCGAGGTATGCCCAGCCCGGTCGAAGGAATGCGTGCTGGGGGTCCGTGCCAATGCACTGACGACCTCTCAACTCCCTCAATCCCGCGCTTACTTATCTGTTAACTGTTTGTAGCAGTCGAAAAAGCTTATGACGGAAGTTGTCTGATAAGCCCGCCACTGCCGGATACAACACCAATGGGCTGACGCCGTCGCCGGTTCGAGACAGAACAGTGTCAAGCATGGTGTATGCTGGACGCTGCATTGTTACACACACGGCAAAACGCCACGACCATGCTACAGCATTTCAGCGCAAGTTCGAATCTTCCGGGTGAAGGAGACATATGTCCCAATTCGGCATACACTGCCGTCCAGCTCGATTTGCCCGTTCCCATTCTGCCCACTTCGTTCGCATGTCTTTTCTTTCTTGATGGTCAATCGCGTGGTTGGTCCAGGTGGAATCCCGACCGTCACTCAGCAACGGACCAAGCCAGCGATAAACAACAATGATCAGCCAGACTTGTCTTCTGCCGGAGGCATCGGGCGACAGGCTTTCGCGGGCCTGAAACATGAATTGCGTTTTGCACCCCCGGGTAAAACAGGAGCCTTTACACTTCGCGCCCGCGCGCTTTCCTCCGAAGTCTCTTTTGGCTTCGTTGATGCACGGTGGGCCCTTCACGCCGGGAGGCAGGCGCTGAGTGTTGATGCATGCTCTGCAGAATTTGCTGAGGATATAGGGATCGCCGAGCTTCAGGTGCGGACAAAGACGAAAGTCTATGGCCTGAAGAGCGGCAGAAACATCCTTGACTTGAAACACTTCTTTGTACATGCCGCTGCCGCCGGTTGTCCTCGTATTGTATAGTGGCGACGGTGCCCCGAGGATGCCAATCTTGGAAATCAAAAGAGACTCGGCTTTTGGACTTTCGAGATCCGTCATGGATGTCCCCTTCTCCGGACGATCAGCGACAGACCTGTTGCGGATGGAGTTTCTACACCTCGAACAAGGTTCCAGCGTCTCAACCCGGAAGGGGGAATCCACGCCAGCCTTTATGGTGCGGGTCGTCTTCTGGTAACCGAGATAACGGTGCGGACACAGCCAGACCTGTCGGCAGTCTCGAGACCTGGACTCTTGTTTGATTTCAGAGCTGGGAAAACTGGACCGGTTGTGCAGCGTTTGACATTTGCTACAAACCAGTCTATCCAGTTCAGTGGGATCCTGGTCCCGTTCAGTCATGCAAAGAAAGTCGAAGAGCTCCGAGCCTGTCAAGACAAAGGACGGCATCCTGTAGAGATGGAAGAATCGGGAACATGAATGGCGAAGTGCAACCTCACTGCTCGGAGTCAGGTATGGTTGCAGCGTCATCAGCATTTCTGTCGGGAGTGAAAGGAAGCCTGATTCGACATTGTTGAATACTGTCCTTTCAGACGATCGAGTCGCGATCGAGGAAGGGGCATAATGGCGAGGTGCTCGTTCAATGATGGCCGTCTCTGGCGTGAAAGCAAGCTTAGAAACAAGCTGCTCGTCCGAAGGCGTCAAGAACAAGGCGTTGCTTGGCCACCGCTGCAACTGTACCTGTTCGCCGTCCGTGTCTTCTAGGGCATCGGGTGCGGACTTGGCCCGTGACAGCTTTCTTCGCATCCGCTCGAAAACTGGCATTGTGCGGGCGTGTCTATCGGCGATACATAGACCAGCAACCAGAATGCGGGGCGTTTGCCTCAAGAAGGGTTCGAAATTCTCGCGAATGTAGAAACCATAGAGTCAGAATGTGTGCTCGATAGCCTGTGACCGACTTGAAGAGGGCAGAGTCGGTAGAATGGAGATAGCACCAACATGCATGGACGCTGACTCCTTGCCACGGTCTCCCATGTTCTAGACATGTTCTATTCAGTGCCAGCAATGCAGGCCGATGAGGAGGTGCGAGTCGCAGTTGGAGTCATGCAGCTTCGATCCTCGCCTGGAGGCGACTGCGACCGAGACAGCAAATCACGCCAGCAGGCGCACCAGGCGGGCTGCTTGGCCACAGGATCGAGGCCTCATCGGGTGTCTTGCGTCCCACTATGGAGCTCGAATCGGAGTCCCTATCGAACCCTGCCGTGGCGAAGCGTTAGCGAGGACCAAGCAGTGCATGGTGCCATACACAACTCGTACTGCTCCGCATACAGGACACACACGTGCTCGTATTGGACTTTCAGACGCGATGGGCTTTAGCGGCGCGTCCGATCGATCGGCGCCCGATCTGGAGGCGGCAGAGGAGGTACCTACTGGTAGGACTCGTATGGCGGGAGGCAAGGAGGGTCCCGAGCAGGCGCGTCGCAGGTTCGCCAAGCGGCGCGAGGAACAAAAGTCCATGACGTCGTGGATGCGAGTGGCTGAAGGTTAGGTGAAGGTTTAGGTGAAGGTTGTTGGCGCGGACACAAGGGCGTCTTCGTCTTTGAATTTTCAGTTCAGAAGAACTCTGATGCTGCTGTTACGGCTCTAGAGAGAGGTGTCGAGGTGTCGAATGATCGCTCTCTTCAGAAATCTGCGAGCGAGCGTGCTAACCCCATCTCCCATCGCGGCTGCCCGTCGAAGCATTGGTCACGATACCAGTGCTCACGCGACACTACCACAGAGAATTCCAATCTCGCTGCTCAACAATATGGGCAAACGAAAGAGAACCTCCGAAGCCGACACGCCCGTAACAGCACCCTCGTCAACTAGGCGGACTAGTTCTAGAACGGCGTCTGCCGTCACTCCCGCAAAGATAGACACCAACCCGGTCACGAACAAAAAGATTACAGACGGACCGGATGCCCTTCGCGCCTCTCCGGATGCCGAGGAGCCTGAGCATGAAAAGGTGAAGAAGGCCGCCCCAGGAAAGGGGAAGGCGAAGAAAAAGACCGGGTCGGGAGACGTCGAACAGGTCGCTGACGGGCTTCCAACGTCAAGCGCAAGTCTGGAGGATCACGGGAAGCGGGACGACGGCCTGCATCGAGGAGACCCTGAAGCCGAGGACGACGAGGACGCCGACCCTGAAGAACTGAAAGAAGCACTATCTCGACCACCTCCCGTCAACAGCTCATACTTGCCATTACCGTGGAAAGGCCGGCTAGGGTACGCATGCCTTAACACGTACCTGCGCGCTGCCAGCCCGCCGGTCTTTTCGTCACGGACATGCCGCATCGCGTCTATCCTCGAACATCGTCATCCGCTGAAAAATCCCACCCAGCCGGAACATGCGACCAAGAACCGCCCAGACAAGGACCAGACCCCCGACATAGCTCGCGGCCAGGCGTATGTCGAGGCCTTGGGTCTGGCCAACGCACGCGATATCCCCAAGATGCTACGCTGGAACGACCGCTACGGCATCAAGTTCATGCGGCTCTCGTCCGAGATGTTTCCCTTTGCCAGCCACGACGTGTACGGGTACGGGCTCGCATCCTTTGCGTCGGACGCACTGGCAGAGGCGGGTCGCGTGGCTGCAGAGCTGGGCCATCGACTGACGACCCATCCCGGACAATTCACGCAGTTGGGCTCGCCGCGAAAGGAGGTCATCACAGCCTCGCTCCGCGACCTGGAATACCACTGCGAACTGCTGGACCTGCTGAAACTGCCTCCCCAACAAAACAGAGATGCAGTCATGATTCTGCACATGGGAGGAGCGTTCGGTGACAAAGCGACGACGATCGCTCGGTTCAAGGAGAATTACGCGAAGCTATCACAGGGCATCAAGGACCGGCTGGTACTTGAGAACGACGACGTGATCTACAGCGTCCACGACCTGCTCCCCGTGTGTGAGGAGCTCAATATCCCCCTCGTGCTCGATTTCCACCACCATAATATTGTCTTTGACGCGGACAAGATCCGCGAAGGAACCCACGACATCATGTCGCTGTACGACCGGATCAAGGCAACCTGGACGCGCAAGAACATCACTCAGAAGATGCACTACTCCGAACCTACACCCTCGGCCATTACTGCGCGGCAACGCCGTAAACACAACCCCCGACCAGCGACCCTCCCTCCCTGCGCCGCGGACATGGACCTGATGATCGAAGCCAAGGACAAGGAGCAAGCCGTCTTCGAACTGATGCGCACGTTCAAGCTACCCGGCTTCGACACCTTCAACGACATCATCCCGCACGTGCGCCATGACGAGAACAAACCATGGAAACCACCGAAGCAGAAAAAGACACCGAAGAAGAACAATAAACGCCAGTCCAAATCCGCGCCCGAAGACGACGACGAAGGCCAAGATGAAGAACAAGTCGAACAAACGCCCCAACCGCCCCCTCTGATCCCAGACTACGAAGTAAGCATGGGAGGTCCGGACCGCCGCGTCTACTGGCCTCCAGGCATGGAAGAGTGGCTCCGGCCCAAGAAACGCGAAGTCAAACCACGAGACCCGGAAAAGGCCAAAACAACGGCCGAACGAGCTGCGGCGCGTCGAGCCGAAAAGGCGGCCTGGCAAGCCGCGCGGGAAGCCTCCGCCGATGCAGGCACCGAGAGAGTCACCACGGCAGGAACGGGGACAGCGTCTGAGACCGATGCCACCTCCGCAGCCGGCACGCCCGCAAAGGAGAAACTCGACCTCGAGAAGACAAGAAGCGTGTATGAGGTGGCGAAGACGAGTGGGAAGTCGCGCAATCCGGCTCGCGCACCGCCCAAGAACGCGACGAACCAGGGGAAGAAGAACGCCAAATCCAAGTCGAACGCCAAACCGGTCCTCACGCCAAGCGATTCAGGCTCCTCCGACCTGACTGATCTCGAGGCAGACATGGTCAGGGACATGGATGTGGATATAGATACAAGCCCGTCAGAGCACGGCCCCGACATGATGCCCGACCTGACTGACGCGGAAGAGGAGGACGTAGCGGCAAGGCAACAAGTCAAGAAAACACCCTCCCGGACGCGGACGACGAGTGCGCGAAACGCCAAGAGGAAGGCCGTCAACTATGCCGAGGGAGAGGGAGATGAAGGTGACGACTGAAGCGTGAGGAAAAAGAGAAGTGAAAAGATATTCTCGAGCTAGCCTATCTAGGTACTTGTTCAATCTACCACTCTGAGTAACCCAGACCCCTTTCTATTCTCAATGTCGATCGGTACAGTAGACTAGACTAGACTAGACTAGACTAGAGTTTCTATGGCGTAGCTGCAAAGCGGCGGGCAGCAGTCAACGGGGTGGAACAAAAGGTAGCCATGGTACCCCGTCGTATTGAGTCAAGTCTGCGATGCGAGCGCATAAATGGTGTGAAGCATAGAGTATGGAGTTTCGAGTTTCGAGTTTCGAGCACAAAATGTCCAAGAACGTACATACTCCGTACCGTACCGTATTCCAGGCCGAAGTTCTGGATAGAGGGAGGGAGGGAGGAGGCGGGATGTTGGCTCGACCTGTCTATCTACTCCGTACAATATACATACCTCGTATACAATACTCTCTATGGCTGGTGCGACACGTGTACATAGCTCGCATTTCTACAGTACCATCACACTCCGGCGGCGACACTGGCGTGGTGCTTTTGCGATTCTTTGATCTCTACGTTACATACTGCGTACGACCGAGGCTCGCTTGCGCCGGCATTTCATTCGTCGTCGTCGTCGAGTCGAATTCACGGAGTATCCCGTCTTGTCATCCCAGGGTGTAGCGATAGCGGAGGGATTTCAGGACACGAACAGAAGGTATGGGATTGGACTACGGAGTACGGGAGTAAGCTGGACTGGACTGTTGGGGTTCGAACGCTGCTGTTGCTTGGAGTACACTCTACTCGTACACCGGGGCAATGGTTCTGACAAGGAGCGTGCACCGTTGATCATTGCTCTATTTCTACGGAGTCCTTTGCTTGGACCGATCGATCGATGCACCATCGCAGCAAACATTTGCCTGCTCATACTGTAAGCCAGCCGCTTCACATTGACTCCGATCCCCCCGACCACGTTTGGTGACCAACGGACATCAATCTGCTCCTCCGCTCGGAACCATCTCCAGCTCCTACTCAGAGCCATGCTCACATGTACTGTACGACGCCTGCGTACTCGGTATTTTTCTCTCGCTGGTTTCGACGAAGCTCCAGTAACATTCAATAACAGTGCTTCCGTTTGACAATGCTTCCACCAAAATGGCTTTCCATGACAGTAACCCTGTTGGGGACACGAGCAGGACCAACTCGAGTCAAAAGTAACAACTGTACGCAAATGGGTATCGAGTCAAAGCATAGAAGGATGTAAAAAGCGCACATGAACCCCCCAAAAACAGCATTCAACAAGTCAGCAAGAATCATGCTAGACAGACCGGCTGGAACAAGCAAAGCGACGCCGCGACCCCTGGGTTGTGCTTTTGGTGGTATTACTGGGATTATCGGATACTGTATCTTCCGTGAGAGCATGAGCATCGTTTCCGAAAACGCCTCTGCTGACTGCATTTCATCGTAAACTCGCCATGATCGCAGCGCGGTCGGGACTTTCATATCGGCGGTGCCACGGCCGAACCGCCTTCCGTAGATGTGTCACCCTCTACCGTCTTCTTCCAAGCTTCCGGCAAACAAACACAGACCAGAGGGAAAGCTTTGATTTCTCCTGATGGTGTGGGCGATTCGTCCCGTGTGGCAGAGCCATTGGACACCCCGCTGTCTCGTTGCACCTTATGCTTGCCGTCATAGTCTTCCGCACGATCATTAATACGCACACCAGTGGCCCAGCCGTCATCCCAGATGCCGACCACCTTCAGCATATCGCCTCGTTCCAGTTCGAATTCGTCGCCGGCACGAGGTTGGTACGCCCACAAGACAGAAACCTTGTCCCCGGGATGAATATCATCGTTGGAATAGTAGTCCTTGAAAAACGGTAGCTGTTCGGATTGTCCACTTGCAACACCCTCTGGCGAAGAAAAGTCGCCAGGAGAGGACCCTTGCTGCGAGTCGCCGCCCGGCGAACTATTAGCTTTGACGGCAGCAGCAGCGCCCATGGCTTTCTCGCGTGACTCGGGACTGTCACCGTAAGGATCAGTGTGCGATGTGTAATTCCGTGGTCCGACCACTGGTCCGGGCCCTCCAGCCTGCTCATCTTGCAACGCTGACATGCGAGCAACGCGTCCGCCAGGCAGAACTTCATACCCTTGTTGCGACATTGGTTGATTGTATGACGCGGACGCGATCCCTCTCCTTTGAGGAGAGGGTTGATTGAGAACACTGCCGGCTTTGCTGTCACCGCGCCTCCTTCGCAGGCATATGAAGCACAGGGCGATCGCGGCAAGCAGTAACAGAAAGCCCACCACCGATCCAACAACGATCCCCGCTATGGCACCGCCGCTTAGGCCGCCACCTCCCTGGTGGTTTGCTGCAGTTGTTGAACTTGACGTCGGTGAAGACGTCGGGCTAGTGGTCGAGGAGAAGAGGTTGGAGATGGTGGAGAAGACTGGGAGAGCGACATCTTGACATCGCCCAGTCGCGTTAGAAGTCAAGCAGCAGGAGTCGGTACCGTTGTAAGTACTGTCGCGACAAAAATTACACAGTCCCATCAAGTTGCCCGCAAATCCACAGTCATTGGGTTCGTTCGACTCTCCTGCTATACAGCTGCCACTAATAGAGTTGGCCGGCAAGGCGCAATTGGTGAAGTCGGCTCGAAGTTGGTCAGCGTACTGATCGCTTCGACCCGTGCATAGATTGCTCGAGACGATTTGTTCTTCACTCAGTGCTAGTTCGGCACAAGAGTCGGCGCATAGCGGCTGAGAGTCATCCCCAGAGAGTCCACAGGCCGCCTTGGAATTTTGGACAATGCCATTGCAGAGAAAGCTGGTCGTATAACGGGCGTAGTAGCTGGAGGTGTTACCCAGATTGACGTTGTCGCACCCAAAGATACTGATATATTTGGTCTGGACATACTCGTGTGTCACATATTGAGATATCTGTGTATCGAACTCGGCTGTCGAAGTGACATAGGCAAGGAAAGGGCTGAACAAAGTTAGCTGTGACCGCTCACGCGCGAGGGCCAATGCTACTTACTAAAATCCAACCAGGGTAGAATCTGTCGATATGGACGAAGAGTTAAAGGCAGGGCACGCGGTCGAGCCGGCCAGTGATATACAGCTCTGCGCGTGGATGGTGCGCACAACAACGGCCAATGCGGCCAAGGAAAGGAGCTTGGTCATGCTCTCAATACAAGTTGTCGGCTATCCTCGACCGGGTGGATCGGTCGACTCGTGCTTCTCAACCCAAATATCCAAATTGTGACCGCCTCTTCGAAGCTCAAGCTCATGCTGATCTCATCTTCCTCCTCCCAGCCCAACCTAGATTATGGCGAGCGCCCCGGCCGCAAAAATGTGGGAAAAGACGGTTGGCGATTGCTGAAAGACAGGCAGGAGCAGGACTGTCGAATCAGAGAGCTCTGACACGGTCAGGATTTGGGAGCTGGAGGGGTGGAATAGAAGTTGTTGTATATCCAAAAGTGTCGAATGACGCAGAAGAGAAGGACAGCGAAACGAGCGACTGTTGGTCAGAGAACTGGCAAAGACTCCGGATAAAGAGAGCGGCCCTGGGAGCGGATTGGAGGCAAAACAAAGTCAAAGAGTGAGAGATGCAGACGCAGAGAGCGGGAAGAAGCAGAGATCGGGCAGGACGTCGCTGAGGACGAAGCGTGATTGGGGAGGAAGGGGCAAGTGGCTGCTGCGGCGCCAACGAGTGAGCGTCCCTGCCACCTTGGATGGTGCAATGCTCACTTGTAACCACGACGCAACCACCAACAGCGGCGTGTGGGCGAGGGCTGCAGTGGTAACTCGTAGCGAGTGGGCGCGCTGCTTGGACTCTGCTGCGCGTTGGGTGAGATCGCAGACAACACGCTGATTTGGATCTGCACAAGGAGCATGAGAGCCGGGGGTTCTAGCCATCACGGGTAAAGCGCCAGCCCGGGCGACCCTAAAACTCGACCGGGGCGAGCCAGGGCCTTCGTGGGCCACCCTCTCGCGCCAACACGCTGCTTAAATCCCCAGCTAAATGAAGCCCTTCAGCATGCGCTTGCCCTGTTCCTCTCTCTTTGCAATTTCGCGGCACTCGCTTGCCCTCGCCGGCCCTGTTGCTGTCGCCTGCGGTTCCAGTGCTTGTCAGGTTTCCAGTCCTATGTTTGAAACACACGATCTTGGTGTCCACGAGTATTCCCTTTCATGCCGGCACTGCTCCTTACTGTGTATTGTGTACCTGCGTTGGATAGCCCTTAGTCACAGAGCTTTGAGTTTTCCACTTACACAGTCCTCGCACAGTACCTGCTCTGTCCCTCACAAGGCCGCTTCATGCACATCTGAATCACGATTCCTGATACAGCCGACTTCCGAGACCATTGCGTGACCCGCAGCAAAGTGGCTTCCCCGTTTGAAAACGGTCCGCGGTCAAGCAAGACTCGAGGGTGTCTGTGATACAGTGGGGTTCGTGTCGAGGAGGGGAGATTGCGTGGCGTCGCAGTCCTCGAGCCAGTGCTCACTTGTCCAGCCCACCCCCAGTTGGTGCCAATCTTGTTTATCTCTGTTCCAGTCCGGGCGAGTGTGGTTGAGTCCACTGTTCTGGCTTTTGCTCCTGCTACTTTCGCTTCCCATGTGCTGGTGGATACGGCATTTCCTATCCTTATCCAGTCATCTTTTCTCCTGCCCTCGTGCCATCGGTGGTTTCCTCCCGTCCGCATGTCGACATCTTTTCTCCGGTGGTTATGCTCGCAATCTGCATTCTTGAGATCGGGAGTCTCCTCGTACTCGTAGCGTCATTGCGCAACTCATCGACCTCGAGTGTCTGAAAGACTGTGTAACCTGTCAGTCAAGCACCGGCTGTGTGTTCAATTGGATTTCCGCCTTGAATCTAATGCAACCTATTCTGCACATTGATGTCAAGCTGCAGTAATACGAGAAGTGCAACGCAGGTACACTCCGACTGTCCTGCGCATCGGACTCTCAGGTCGCACTGTCCACGCATGAAGCGAGAAGAGAGGTTTTGCCGCATCCAGCCACAGAGTCACTGCGTAGTCTTGGGTGCATTCTGACACCAGGTCTCAAAACTGTCAAGGTCTCAGAGCATGGCAACCTGCTTCGGTATGAACTCAAACCTTCGTTGGCCTGATCTACAAGACAAAGATCGGCGTTGTCTCTCGTGTGATCGTCGACGTGAGTCTTCCACTGTCGTTTTCCCATCACCTCCCACCACTCAGTCTGGTTTATGTCATGAAAAACAAACCCGAGTAAGATGCATTCTCCGTTGGACTTTGTACTTCAGGGCTATCATATGTCGCCCACTCATCTGGGAGTATCTTCATGGTGCTTTTCAATGGACATCAAAATCCCGTTCCTGGTCGTCGTAAGAACGGCTGTCCTCACCCGAGTTTGTGCCTCAGCCCTTGTCGAAACAAACGATACCCATCAACGCCTTGTCTCTAATCATATGTACATCAACCCGTTCATAGTCCATCAGCCCATGTACGCCACTGTGCTGGCGCAAGTCTGATGCTAAGCCAAACCCAACCCCAAACGCCGAAGAACAAGAAAGGAGGAATATCCAGCACTTGGAATCTGCCCGTGATGCCGCTTATTGTCTGAACAATGCCAGCGTTGCTCATACCATAGCACCGTGCTCGCTCAAAGCCAGTAATGTCTGGAAAAGGCCCGTCATCACCTCTCACGGTTGTCGTACAGTCGTGAATATTTGTACAGGGGTATCAATGCATGCTGTTTTCATGATAGTACCGTAATTCAGAAACCAGAAGAACCAAACCCACTGCCTGGCGCATCTCTATCGCCTCGATCATTCAGAACTGAATACACCATCAGTTCTCCCTGAGAAGCAGTTTCTTGACCTTCTCCGTACCCTTCTTAAAGAAACCCTTTGTCTTCTGCCCCGTCCTTGAAGCACCATTTTCGTTGCTCACACGCCTGGACTCCGGGAATTCGAAGAATTGACTTTCATTGCTGTTGGCGCGAGTCATGACACCGTCGCGGGATCGAACAGTGGTAGCAACTTTGGTCGTTGTCACCGTTGCAGGTCGACTCTTCGTCAGTTTGCGACCAATGGAGCTCCAGCTGGCGTGCTGCCAATCACACCGAGTTCGACGGAAGGTCGGCAGGTCTGGACGAGGAGTGAGGATTTCGGCACCGTCCTCGACGTTGGCGAACGTGTCACGCTTCCTGGAAACTTTCGATGACGAGCAGGTCTCCGCGACACCGTGCTCTCGACTAGAGGTCAATGAAGACGTATGTTCTGGTATCTCCGGATGACGGTCGTTATCGAAACCCGGCCATTGATCGAATGTCGATGGTGGGAAACAAGCTCCGATCTCGCATAGTGTAGCCATTGATGAAGATGCTGAGGCAGTCGTGGCCAGCGACGACTTACGACTTTCCAGAAGGTCGAAATGCACGTGGCGGCTTCTACGCCCGTCGGATGTGGATGACCCAGCCGACGTCGGTGGTGTCGACAGGCTCGCCTCAGATGATGATGTATGGGACTCGTCTTCGGTGGTAGACTCCAATGCTGTATTATAGAGGACCAAGGTACTGAGGTGGATGTCGTGCAACGAGCTGATGTTCTCGTTGACGACGGTGCCATCAACTTCCTCTTCGTCATCAACGATTTCTTCAATGACTCGGTTGGGAATATAGTCCTCTGGGTCGAATGTCATGAGTGGTGAGTGCACCAAACCGATCCGCTGACGAGGAAGAATTGACGTCGAAGCACCATTGCCGAAGGTGTGCAATCCTGGCAACACCATGTTAGGTACCATAGCCGGGATTGCAGACGCAACGACCTGAAGATGCCGTGCAATGATTAGGTCAGGGTGCTCTGCAGACATCCATGCAACCATTGCTGATGACTGAAGTTTCAGACTTGTGGTCGCTGGGGGTGTATATGACACGTCATCTTCGTTGACCAGCCCAAGGCCGGGAATACGTACAACATCTCGGTGAAAAGCGACAAGACCAGCAGGCGAAAAGGGAGCAGAAGGCGCCACTGGGGAATCCAATGCACCTCGAACCTTGTCGCCGGTCAACTGCACGGATGTCAGGACAAATGGCTCGCCGTGTTGAAGCTCATGTTCTTCATCCAAGTCCATGTCGTCAACGTACCCAGTGTCGGATGGTTCGAGCACTTTTGAAAGGGAAGGCTGATTGCAACCGTCGTTCTCAGCATTATCATATATAATGTTGATGTCATCCTCTGCCTCTAGCTCAGGAGAAGTCTGTGGGGTGCTGATATTCGTTGTTGAGTCAGCGGAAGATGCTGACACCACTCGACGGTGTCCATTTGAGTCGACGTCTTCAACCACAATTGCAGGGAGCGACACCTTGACAGAAACCTGAGCTTCAATAGCAGCGGACTGGCCTCTGGCACAAGACTGTACCTTCGCAAGGAGGTCAGCTTCTACACCGCGCTCAACATTGGAGGCAACATCAGCCTCAACGGGGTTCTCCAAATTGGCAAGAGCTGTAGCGATTGTGTTGGGCATATGAGACATGACGACCATAGCGGAGTCAACTGCGATAAGCATTTCGACTTCACCTGATGACGAAGACGACGCCAGAGTTTCATCTTCATCGACGTCGTCAGCCCAGACTTTCGAAGCAGGTTGAAATCCAGTGAGAGCATCATGTTCACACAGTTTTCGGTCGAGCTCCGAGGTTGTGACTTCAGCGACTACTGCTTGAGTGTCTGCTAGTTGGGAGGCGGCATCCTCGGGAGCCGACTGTTGGGTGGTTGGTGCTGCGGCATGTTCGGGCTCGAATTCATCATCCCATTTCTCAGAGACGGGGCCAAGGCCATCTTTGAGCTCTTCATCTCTCATACGTTGGCGCCACGACTTGGTTTCGGTTGTTTCTTTTCCTTCTTCATTGTCATCGTCCTCGTCATTGGCCTCGTCGATATTAGCCTCATTGTCATCCTCCCACTTCTCGGAAAATGGAAGACCATTTGCGACGTCAAAGGCATGAATCTGCGCATTGAATTCTTCACGTGATTTGACGACGACACTTACATGACGTGCAGGTCTGACAAACACAGGCGCAGGTCGATCAGTCGGTGTAACGAGGACCGGAGCGCGACTTAGGGACGAGGCAATATCCACGTTTGACGTTGTCGGATGGGGCGTATGTTCAGTTGGTGTAGCAAGGACCGGAGTGCAACTTGATGAGGCAATATCCACGTTTGAAGTTGTCGATTTGGGCGTATGCTCAGTCGCAGAACTAGTCACCGTCGTTGAATACTTACTGCTCGCGAATGACGGAGTCAGCAAGCCGGTTCTCGCTCGAGCCACAAACACCATTTCTTGGGTGGTATGTCTATGAGTCCAGCAGCGCACGCCGAGTCGGGATTTCACACGTCCTCTAGCCACGCGGCCTTGGAAAGCGGCCTTGCGAGCTATATCGTCGGATTTCTTCTCCTCGGTGGAAGAGGTCATGATTTCCAACCGTGACGCGAATCCTTCGGAAACTCCATTCATGACGATGGACCCTTTAGGCCAACTGGATGGGACGAGTGCATCGGAGTCAGCAGGGCATTGTCCGTCGGGATAAGTGTCTTGGTCCCACCAGCCCAGAGAGCTATATATGATCTCGGCGTGGCCAATGCATGCATCTTCCAGGTCAGTCCCTCGAAGGGTATCCAGAACCTCGGGCGTGCCATGGTAAAGGATGGGGTCCAACATTTGTGTCGCACATTCCATAACGGCGCTCTTCCAGAGACCGTCCGGAGTTGTGACATTGAGGTTCTTTGGTTTGGACTTCAGAATGGCGATTGTGGTCGCTGGGCGGGTGCCAGACTGATGAGGCACAGCCCGGCCAAAGAAGTTGATGTGGTGAGCGCATTTGAGGGATCGCAGCTCCTCGTTGTTGAAATACTTGTAGCTGTTCCAGGGAGCTGAACCAAATGTTTGCACGAATTGCACCTCTCTGGTTACTGGATCTTCGAACTGGATCTTCTTGTGCGAATCGTGACGTACAAGGACTTGCTGACCCCGAGTCCAGTCGGTGTATTCTGGTGGGCTGTCCCGACATTCAACCCGAGGTAGCGGGAAGCGCTTGAGGTCTCGCAGGGGTATCAATGCAGAGGGGGTTTCCTCATTTCGGTTAGTTTCGGTAGGCCAGTAGAAGCCCTGAGCATAGAGAAGTCCGGCTGCCTCCTTCCCAGCCTTCATATCGTCCACATTGACCTCACCAGTTTCGTGATATGGGAGGTGGTTCCTCGTCATATTATCCCATTGCTCATAATCCAGGCCGTCCAACCAAACCTGTCGCTGAACTTTTCGCTCGAAGTCTACTTTCTGTCGTTGCGCCTGGTCCTTAGCGACTTCCTTTCGCTGTTCTTCTTCGAAATGCTGCTTGAAGTAGGCTTCGGCGTCGAAGTCCTGTTGCGCTTCGAATACGAGGGAAGAGAGTTCAGAGTCTGACCGCCTGGAAGCAACTTCAGGCATGGTGACACTTGATGTTTCTGAAGGAGGCATGGCAACAACCGGAACATCTGGGATATCTAACAAGAAAGGGTCTGTGGCAGCGGTCTGCATGTCAGATGTTGGTAGAAGATGGGAAGTATTATGCAACTCTTGAGCGTAGACTGGCACGTAGACTTCGGCAGCAGGGTTGAGGGAAGAGGATTTGTGGTTGTCGTGGGGCCGCGAGGTGCTAGGGACAAATTCGGGGGTATCAACATTGAATGTAGTCGTCGTGTGGTGTAGAACAGCACCAGCTTTGAAGGGCGCAGCATGGACGTTGAAGATGGGTCCATGTTGGTGCGGTAAGACCAGTCCTATCCCGTGAAGTGCAGCGTGTTGTTGTTGGTAGGGAGTGCCTTGAAGGAGCCGTCTGGGGCGGCTGTTGCGAGTCGAGCCTGAGCTACAGGCGACAGACTCCGAGGGGTGCGAGACGTCATGAGGGCGGTGATCCGCCTCCTACACGTTGTTAGGTACTTGTCCGTTGGTGTCGCCCACGCAACTTACCGGCACGGAAGACTTCACGCATGGGGAGAGGTTCTCGAAGGCAGCCATACTGTTCCTTCGGAATAGGTTTGGATACCAAATTGTAGACTGCAAGGCTCGAGGACTGTAGGGCCTTATCGAAGCACTTGACGAACCTGTCGAGGCTGGCGATATGGTATCTCCTTGGTTTCAGGCGATTGACTGAGGTCGAAGATAGATGAAGAGGAGTTGTTTCGGTTGAGAGCTCGAAGGGTTCAAAATGTCGAGCGCGTTGTTGTTTTGGCGACAAGCAGAGGCAGTCACTTCTGAGGCAGTCATTTCTGAGGTAGTTGTCATATTCACTCCTCGGTGTTGAAAGGAGCGGTTGCTAAGGGTTGCGAAGTGAATGACTAGGCAGGTAGTGAAGCCAGGCCAAGAAAACGGTCAACTCGGACCAGGCTCGTTAATTTTTACTCCAGCCCCTTACCTGTTCTCCCCGTAGTTGAAATTGTCCAGGATCAGCTGGAGGACCTCTACCCGCAGTGGAAGCGCAGTCAAAGTCAAAAGGGTTTTCCCGAAGAAGATCAGAACCCGGTCCTCTGTTCACCATGTTTGTTTGTTCCCATATCGTCCTGGAATCGCAGCAAAGCAACTCATCCTGTGGCAGAATGGCGGTGGGTTAGGTGTCACGCAGTCCATTGGTGTGATGGTCGCGTAGAGCGAAACCTACCCCGAACTCGCTTGTTAATAGACGTCTCCGACAGCGACGACATACTGGATTCGCGATCGTTCTTCAGCCAATACAGCAATGCTTCAAGAGAGACATATACTTCTTGACATTGCGAGCACCTGGCCAGACAGGATGAGCAGATTCCTGCCCAAGGACTCATCTGGGAAGAGCAATCGACATATCGGTGCGGACAACCGCTCCTTTTTGGTTCAAGGTCGGAAAGCATCAAGCAGGTCAAGGCTGCGAACGAGAAACCGTATGATAGTCTGAACCTCCTCTGTACACGGGTTCCCCCATTTGATATTCAGCTCATACCTCTACAGGCGCTGGAGAGTCAAACTCTTGTTTTGGTTGGAGATTGTTGGCAGGGTTAAGAGCGGCACATCTTGGCCATTCCAGCGGTCGCAGTTGCGGTGCATCGATTTAGCAAGTAGGCTTCTCTAGAGGTATCATAGGAGAAGAGACTGGTGTTAGAAGATATTTACTAGATAATGGTCAATGTAGGACTACAATAGAGAATCACCGATCCAAATGACGCGGTTGGCATGAAGAACAACAGCTGCAGCAGCTGGATCACCCTTCTTGGACGCCAAGTCGGAGCAAATCACAGCAAATCACAGCAAATCAGAGCAAACCAGGGTGGTCCGTGCGTAGACAAGCTTTGGCTAGCGAGGAATTACCTTGTCACGTGTGGGCGCACAGCTTAACAAGAAAGAAGAGCCAACGCTCTCTCAAAGATTTCCTTTGTGAAATGAATGGCAACATATGTGGGTGAGTCGTGTGTTGGTATCTCACAGATCTCTCGCCGCAGCCCACCCCGATCCCTAATATGATATAGCACCCGTCGCGGGTAGAACACTGGCGAGTGGACTTCAGGCATTATTGTCCCTGCTTGGAGCTGCGAACAACTTCAACAGCTCCCAAATCACAGCCCGCTGTTGAGCCTCAAACGCTTGTGAACTTTTTGTATCATGCTGGCTCGCAAGAGACCGCCGTGATGTAGTAAGACTGGGAGAAACAAGTGCCGAGATGGGAGTTGGAAGGATCATCGATTCTCATCGACCAGTCTCCTGTGCAGTCAGGCTGTATCCAAGCGGTACAAGCTCCTATATTCATGCGAGTCTGTCAGTACCAATTCCACGACTTATTCGGTGCGCAGTGTGCGGTCAACTTTCAAATAAGGACTGTTTCGCAGGAAAAGGCATTCTAACTCACCGAACCAACTGGAGCACTCGTTCGTCCAGATATTCTTCATTGGAGTCGGGAGAGGCATGCAGATCTGCTGTCGGGGATAGACGAGCTCCTGGTAGCTGACTCCTTCACCACAGATGGTTGGGCTGAACTCCCAAACACAGTTGTCGGCGGAGCTGACGGCGGTCGTGTTGAGCGGCGCGGCCGTTGTGACCGCAGCATGGAGGATGAGGGTAGGCAGAAGGGCAACGGCCAAGAAGCCGCCGCGGAGTTTGTCCATCATAACGGCGAGCACGAGTGAGGACGTTTTGACTGTTATTGGAAGAACCTTCTTGTGGCGAGAGAGGCGATGAATTGAGCAGAGTATGCTGGCGGCGACAAGCGAAAGCCAATCCCAAAATCCCCTCCAGAGCAAGCTTAAGGCTGCGAAATCGTTGGACACTGAGCGACGGTCATGTTCAATTCCTTCACCGACCAGCAGTGAACCCAGGACATTCAAACACTAGATAGTAACGCATCATTGTTCACTCGAAGGTCGGGTCCAGGATACCTGGTGATCTTATATGTCTTCCCGGTCATAGCGCACAGTGAGCTGCATTCCCGCTCCCGCAGGGCCAGACCTAGTCGCGTAAAAGGCTGGTTCGCTTGATATTGAGTGATGATAAGAATGTATTTCGGGAAATCTGCGATTGGAATGGTTTCAGAAAGTGACGTCGGACACTCCGACAAATCCTCCGCCCGACTCGAAGCGAGCTGGGCACTGCTGGGAAGAAACCTGAATTAACAACTTTCTACGACCCTGCTCCGTGATTTCCGTCCAGTCCTAGTACCTTGCATCGATTGCTCTGCTGCTGGTCTAGATCCCAAAGGGAGTGACATCGTCGCCTTCCATAACCAAGAATACGGGCACGTGCATAAGGCACATTTGAAAGCCACACAAAGTCGTCTGGGTCCTCGAGTCCGCACTAGCTTCTTCCAGGGTGCTGGCAACATCAAGATGGTATGCTGGTGAAGGCCGGTCGTTCTGGCGTCTTCTTGAAGCAAACTTCGTGGCAAACATTTGCAAGTGGGCTGGGTGAGCTGGGGTGGTTGTCGACGAACACGAGTCCGATCGACCTCAGCGGGTTCGCAGCAAAGAGTGACTGCCTTTTTATATGGTCCTCGGTGGTCGTACAGGTTTGTGAGCGATTGTCACGACCCGTTTGGCTTGGCCTTTTGCACTTCCCAACGTGCTCTCTGTGCAGGATGGTGACAAAAGAGTTTGAAATGCACGAGATGCGGGTAGCCCAACAATTCACGCATCAACTCTCGCGTGGCAGCCATAGCATATCCCGGGGATGCAGTGAGTTACATTTACGGACCCTATGCCATTCCGATAAATAGATCTTTGTCAAGAGGACACCGTTGAAAAATCATGTGAGAAGGCAATGCAAGCTGAAGTCTAGGAAATTGTCTTCTGTCGAGCCACGTCGGCCGCACATATGGCCTTCATGGTTCTCAAATGGGCTTCATTGGATTTATTTGTTCGTCTGGACTCGGATCAATCTCTACTACGGCAGTTAGGGAGGACTGAAGGACCTCATTGATTGTTGCTTGGCTATCTCCCTCCCTACCCGATACCTTTCCAGCTTCCGTAGCGGCACTGCCGTGTCCTTGCCGAAAGTGCGCGAAACATTGTCGAACCCAAACCGTGGACGGGTATATATCAGCAGCAACAGGGCGGACCACAAAGCTCCTCTACTTCAATCCTCCCTTATCTCCAGAAGCGAGCCAAGTCGACGGCGAAGATAACCTCATCTCGCAACATGGCCGGAGACCTGTGCACTGATTGTCCAGCCACAAGCTCAGGCCTAAGTGGAAGGGGTGCTCATCTAGTAATCCCATCCCTGGTTGCTCCCATCATCGCGTTCCTGCTTGTGGCAAACCGGACTTACTGGCGGCTGAGGATGCTCGTCAGTTTCGGCCTTGACGACGTGTCCGCCATTCTGTCTATGGTAAGCAGGCGAGTCATCACCAATACACGGTGGCTGACGCCTTGACAGACATTCCTGACAGTACAATGCGCGTGTTCGATCGCTGCCGTCAACCACGGGTATGGCAGACCATTCGCCAGCTTGAACGAACACCAGGCTGCTCAGGCTTTAAAGGTTGGATTCATGTTCGTGGACGCCGGAATATCTGCTGAACATGGTTCCTTAGTGCTTCTTCCTCCTACAGATCTTTTACAAACTCACCATCAACTTCAGGAAACTATCCATCCTTTTCCTGTATCTCCGGATTTTCACCGAGCACTTCTGGTTCCGACGAGTCTGTTACACACTCATATTCCTTGTGATGGGAGCTTGCGTGTGCTTGACCATCGCCACCATATTTCAGTGTAATCCAGTGTCCCGAGCTTGGTATCGCTGGAGTGGAAGTGGCTCCTGTGTCGATATTGGTGCACTCTGGTACACCAATGCCATCTACAACATAACGACCGACATCATTATTGTCCTAATGGTGCCGCCTGTCATTTTCAAACTCAAGCTTCCAATACGACAGAAGCTAGGCCTGACTTGCATTTTCGGACTCGGCATCATTGTGTGCACGGCCTCGGTCTCGCGATTAACCACTCTATATTCGTCGGCATACGGTGACGACGTCACTGCCGGGACGTTGGTGTCTACAGTCTGGACAACAATTGAGGCCGGTCTCGGCGTGATCTGTACAAACCTACCTATGCTGCGGACACCTCTCCAGCACTTCTTTCCCAGACTCTTCCCACCGCGAATGGGCACAACTCAAATCTCAAGCAGGAGAGGATCTCAACCAAGTTGTTGGGGTAACAGCGATGAGCTCGCTTCCCCAGCGAGGTTGATTTGCCCACCAATGCCGACTCGGAATACATACCTGTCAGGGCAGTTACCAGCAGCTGCGATTCCCATCGCAGTGCCGGTGCCCAGGCGAGCCGCTCTTCAAGAGGAGAATTCGAGCGACGATCGTCGCGACGTCGAGATTCTGGAAGGTCAACCCGTTCACTCATCGGACCAGCAGCGTAAGTTGGAGCACCCAGGTGGCATTGAATGTTATGGTCACCAGCATCATGTTCGGTAAACTTTGGGGTTGATGGAAACTCTGTTCAAGCGCCAGCATTTCCTAGCTCCAGCGCATTTATTTCTTCGGATTTGAGTAGCAACAACAGCGCCATGATGGCCTTGTTCAACGTAATCTGCATGTAGGTAAAATAACTGTGTATCACCATCGTACTCGTATCAGATTGAGCGCGGCCTGGGGTGTCACCCGGGTGTTTTCTCCATATTCGAGGCCGCGCTCGGCAAAGTTGCCCAGAATTATTGAGCTTTCCGCTTGCGAATTGATCTCAACGACGGAGCTCCTTACCTCCAGTCCAGTTCTCGCCCAACAGCTTCAAGCATCTTTCACAACACTGTCGAGCACTTTTGAGTCCTCCGTACGCTGCTCCAGAGTTCCACGACGCCGAATTGCTGCTGACCGTGGTCATCAGCTCAAAATGTCGTTCGTCATCCGCAGAACCGTGTCAACCCTGGTACCTCCAAAGGTAAACCTCAATTATAGATTTTCGTCGGTTTCGGTGGGCTGACATATGTTTGAATAGGTCGCCAATCCGGCAGTAAGCCCGCCCCAGACTCCTCGAACCCTCGACATAACTTTGCCTTGCGGTCTACCAGCGGGACTGCTTCGTGGACACTCGAGAAGGAACCGCTTTCTATGACGCGCACCCCGTATTTAGAACGCGTGGGAACTGATAAGAAGGCATAGGGTCTTGCGGCAGCCACGAATGCCGTTCGCATGGCAAACATCGCCAAGTTTTACGAGAAACTACCCAAGGGACCAGCACCTGATCGAGCACCGGCTGGACCGCTAGGCTGGTATCAAGCGAAATACTTTGGAAAGAATCCCTCTGCAGCTCGTGCGTATATTCGGAATACCAATCTTACGGCCAAGAACAGTGGATGCTAACATGCGGACATAGCCATCTGGCACCTTATTTTCACACTCGTGGCCATGGGATACAGCATGGAGTACTATTTCCACCTTAGTACGTGGTCTGAACGGCCTCTAGGCCTAAAAAAGCTTCGGCTGACAATCACTCTCTAGGACATCACAAGAACAACGCTCACTGATCGACTCCGTTGGTGGAAATGAAGATGGTTCATCAGGGCGTCGACATTGTACATAGGGTCAATTAAAGCAAGTGGTCTCCAAGAGAACTCACCATCCCGTTTCCTCGACCCGACCTTTTCTACTCGGGCTCTCTGATGTGTGCGACGTGGTACTGAAGTGAAGCAGCCCTCCACTCAAAGGCTAGGTGGCGCCCAGTTCTAGTGATCTAAACCCTGCATGTTTGGCCTCGCTCCGAGCTCCTCCTGCTGGTTGCCGGCTTTCTGCTGGTAGATTGTTCTTTCGGGCTGCCTCTGGCACCGGTCTCGCTAGTAATGCTTGTGTTGAGCATGTCGAGGAAAAAAGGCGTGACCACTCACGCTGAGTTGAGTTTGTTAAGCAAGGACCCTATGCGAGACTCGAATGACGCATGAGACACTGCTGCCACATCACATATTACCCACACCATCATAGGACTGCCTGATAAGATTGCTTGTGATTGCATGGTAGAATAGTTGGGTTGCAATTGAGGGAGACATAGTCGACAGTTCTTGGACGACAGTAAGTCTGCAGGCTTCTGGATTCGTCCTCAGAAATGCAAGCGTTTTGTTTCACGTGGAGAGTCTACTTGGTAACCGAATATGCGAGTTCTCTGTTGACCGCATTTGCATACCGTTGGAATCTGCGAGCGGCCGGGTCCACCGTCGCTGTTGAAACAATATGCGTTGTTGCATCGGGTATGGTGACCTGTGCTGCAGTCATTTTGTTGTTGATTTCATGTCCTCAAGCCTTGTTATCGAGAGAGGACGCAACTTCAAACATCAGTCGGAACCATCTACAACCGAGCCCGGCCAGGCCCGGCGTTAGGGAAGCAGTGCTCATTCGGGTCCGGTCGGTGCACGAGTCGATTCGTTCGGGGAGCACGACCCAGCTCCAGGGGCCTTTTGTCTAGGGCGTCATCCCCGCCAGGCTTAACGAGAGTCCCGGCAATCAAGCTGCAGCGGCTAGCCAGGTCGGGCTAGCTGTCGCACGTGCCTCGAAAACCGATAGGAACGTGAAGGGAGTCGCGAGGAAATTCCCTCACGACCTCCCGATATCCTGTGCTCCGCCATCAGCTTTGCCTATAGCAGGGCTCCGTCCGACTCTCTCCTTCTTTCATGGTTGGTGAAGATCAGCTCCTGAAGCTCCTGACTGTTCCTGCAAGTTGTCGCGACTAGCTGGATTCGTCCTTCGTCCACCTGACTCCAATCTGGGGCCAGGCTGTTCATTCGTCACCACTTCACTACCACCAAAGTGCTGCGCCAGGCACGAGCATATGCGAGTACGAATTGATGCTTGCCTGAATATTTCTACCAGTATTACCACCTCCTGTTTCCTCCTTCACCATCCACGACAGACACGCGACCATCACCAGACACTCCACTCCGAGCGTCTCTACGTCCCTCTCCCATCATTCCACATCTTCGGACCGCGCGTTCATTGACGGCTTTCGAGTCGTCAAATGAACCTGCCCTATTCGCCATCTATCCATTTCCAACGACCGCTCTTCAATAGGAAGGGTCTCTTACACCCCTAAATGCCTTTCAAGCCCTTCGCACATCTCGCTCGTGTCAGTGTTGCAAAGGGAATCGCTCATACCTACGCTCCATCCGTTGTTGCTGCTGGCCAGTCTCTTGGACAGTTCCAAAATTACCCTCTCACCAAATTCGCAAAGACCGCCCAACTCCAAAGTGCTTTCGCGGGTCCATCTGGCTCTGGCGCAGGCGCGAAGGCCGGATACACTACACAAGCAGGAGGTGGCGATGCTGGTCTAGCCCAGTACTATGCGGCGTGGCAACATGCGCAACAGACGGGCGACGATTCGGATTGGAAGCAGCATGAACACGCGAGGAGGATAGGATGGAAAAATCAAGACAAGGTCCTACCCAATGCAAAACACCAGAGAGTCGAGTCTGTTCGTGCCGTGGACCTCCTCCGACCCTCGGCTCGCGTGTCCGTCTCGCGTGTCAACAGCGAACTTGCCACACCCAAAGTCCCCGAACCCGAAGAAGCCTTCGCCGAAGCACAAGCACTTGCGAAGGTGGATCAGGAGATCGCGAAGGAGATAGCCTTGCACCAGGTTCAGAAGGACGCTGTCTTTCATGAGGACGTAGGAAGTCCCGTTGCAAGCACACGGGTACCGACACCCCGTGATGAGCGGACTCGTTTGAGCGACTTGGGATCCTCGGCTTCTCCTGAGCAATCCACCCCACCTACCGACATCATCTCGGTTGCATCAGACGAGTCTGTCATCTCCCAACAGATTGTTGAGCTAGGCCATCAACAACGATACGCGGAAATTCCTGCTTTGTTCGAAGCAATTATCAAGGATGGCCATGTGCCCACGACTGAAGCCTACAATCATATACTGGTTTCCGCTATCAATCTCAGCAATGGCTATCAGCCTTGGCCCAGGGCTCTCGAAGTCTATGGTGATATGGCGAAACGTTCAGTGGAACTCAATGCCACCTCCTACATGATTCTGCTCCGCTTCCTAGCAGCCAGAAGTCTTGAGTCCTACCAGGTTCAAAAGAACCTTGGTGAGCGAGCTGCTCGTTACGGCAGTGGAGGCGCCTTGGTCTTCCCGTCGGCCACCAGACAACAGCAGTTATACGCCGCCGACACATCAATTGCATTTGCCACGAAGCTTTACAACATCGCGCGGGCCACGCTCGAGGACTTCCACCTTTCTGCGACTGTCTACAACGCGCTTGTCAAGGCTTGTGCTCAGGCGGGAATGATTGACAATATGAACTCGCTGTTGGCCGACATGAATGCGCAGCAAATTCCTCTTGCGCCTCAGCTGTACACGGTCGTCATCGACGCCCAGGCTGCAGCACAAGACGTCCACGCTGCCCAGGGCTTGTACGAAGAGTACCGCGACTTGGCAATTAGCAGAGCCGCCAATGATCCCCTTGACATGAAGGTTTATGCTTCCTTGATCAAGGCTTACTACGCCTGTGGCCTTGCTGAGACTGGTCTACGCTTTTACGAGAAAGTTCTTCAGTCGTTCAAGAATTCTGCAAATGAGCAGGCGCTCTCGACTGACCTGACGAGTTCTTTCGTCCTGGACAGCCTTGTTCAACATCACATCGACAACAAAGCCTTTTCTGCTGCGATCTCAAGCATCGCCGATTTCACTTTGGATGCTGCTATCCGCGACGAGGCACTTTCGAGGATATCTGTCGCTGCGGCTGACGCTGGCGACGTGGCTGATGCCGTGCAGTCCTTTAATGCGATCAATGTCGCCAACGTCAAGGCCGAGCCTGTTCTGGCGCTTACTGCTATGCATATCCGGAATGGTGGCATCAATGAGGCTAAGTCCATCTGGAATGGTGCTCGATCTTCGCCAATTGTTCCGAACACCGACTTCGCCACAATGTACGCCTTGGCACTGATCAGCTCCGGCTCTGTGGAAGAAGCTGTTGCTGAGGCTCGCTCCATGTTCATGCGCATCCGATCCGCGACTGCCACCGATGCTACTCGTCAACTAGCTGTCGCCGAAATTGACGAGGCAATTATCCTTTTTGGTGAAGCATTGTCCCGTCAACAAGTCGCGGTTTCTCCAAGTACAAGCATCTCGATGTTACGCACCATGATCGAAAACGGTGGCCTGGTCTCTCCTGTGGCCGAGCATGCCATTGCCAGCCTGGGACCGGATTGCGTTCATCAGCTCAACGCTCAGGATATCGCTCTTGCTCTTCACGTGCAGGCACAGATGCTTATGTCTTCGCAGGGCGTTGATATCGCCCACCCTATCCGATTTGCTCATCTGCTGGAAACCGTGCTCAACCGCGGCATATTGATGGATCCATCGACGGTACACGTTGTAAGCGAAAGCCTGCCAAAAGTGGGTGCTGCTCGACCCGATCTCCTCCAGCGTTGGAAGGATCTCCTTCAACCTGCTGCACCGGCGCCCGTGACCTTGGCTCAATCGCCCCTGTCGCCTCATCCCGCGTCTCTCGACGGGTCGGCTGCTGACACCTACGATCCTTACGCTCATACAACAGACTTCCGAGCCTCCAAAGCCATTTCTGAGATGGTTGAGAGCACGACCGGACGCATTGAGAACCATCTCAATGACGGTCTCGCCCGATTGAGGAACGTCCGTCGCGCAGGCAGGAACTTGCATTACTCTGCATATGCCAAGCTTATCACTGCCGCTGGCAAGGCCAAGCAGCGAAACCTGATTCAGGAGATTTTGAGCATGGCGCACTCGGACGTCCCAATGTCCTTGCAGATTCCATCCGTCCGCCTTGGCTGGGTTTCCATCTTGGACTCCATGATTGCAGCCTGTCTAACTGTTGGTGACGGGCAACGAGCGAGCAAAATCCACCAAGACCTGCTGGATATGGGTGCGGCACCCTCTGCCAATACTTTCGGCATTTATATCACGACTTTGGAAGGCACCTTCGACGAGGCTACGGAAGCTGTCAAGATCTTCCAACGTGCCTTGGCCGAAGGCGTTACCCCCAGCGTCTTTCTGTACAATGCTGTCATCGGCAAACTAGGCAAAGCTCGACGTATTGATGACTGTCTTCGCTACTTCGGCGACATGGAGGGTCGTGGTATCCGTCCCTCTTCTGTTACTTATGGCACACTAGTGAATGCTCTTTGCAGGACCAGTGAAGAGCGGTTCGCTGTCGACATGTTCGATGAGATGGAGGCCGCACCAAACTATCGTCCTCGGCCCGCTCCTTACAACTCGATCATCCAGTACTTCCTCAATACCAAGCGGGACCGCAGCAAGGTTCTTCAATACTATGAGCGCATGAAGTCCAAGAACATCAAACCGACTTCCCACACCTACAAGCTACTCATCGAATCGTATGCCTCGTTGGAGCCGGTCAACCTGGCCGCTGCCGAGTCACTCCTATCCGAAATGAAGCAGACCGGCATTCAGCCCGAGGCAGTACATTATGGGTCGTTGATCCATGCCAAGGGCTGTGTCATGCACGACATGCCCGCCGCAAGAGCTGTCTTTGACTCGATCTTGAAGGACGGCAATGTCCGCGTCACAGACACGCTCTACCAGAACCTACTCGAGGCAATGGTGGCCAATCATGAGGTGGAGAAGACACCTGAGCTTATGGCCGACATGCAGCGACGCGGCGTGTCGATGACTCCCTACATCGCAAATACTCTCATTCATGGTTGGGCTGGCGTTGGTCAAATCCAGAAAGCCAAGGCAATCTATGACGGACTTGGCATGGAGAAGCGCGAACCAAGCACATACGAAGCGATGACACGAGCTTTCCTTTCTGTGGAGGATCATGCCAGTGCCAACGGCGTTGCTCAAGAAATGCTGAGAAAGGGCTACCCTGCGGCTGTTGCTGACAAGATCCTCGCCTTGGTTGGCGGTATTACGGCCTAACATTCTACCCCAAAAGTTTGGATCGAGAGTGGCGCAAATTCGCTTGCCTCGAATCCCTTTCTCTTATGTTTAATGACGATACCCAAGAACACACGGATCACGGCATACTGGTGGTTCAATGACCCTCGGCGGCGTTTCCGAGCTGTGAGCTGTCTTTTCAGCGACAGCTTTGTGCATGGCGGATGGCGCAAACAGATTTGGCAGTCTTCGATTGTTGTCCGGCGGTGGCGCCGGTAGGAGCATACTTGACTATTCCGTCAAGTGGAAATGTAAAAAGGGGGGTATCTTGCCATGTACAACAGAACACACAAGTGTAATCTCTACTCAACTCATCGATGGATCTAGACAGGTGAGCTTTTGTCTAGGTCGCAGACGTTAGATCCTCCTGGTGGGAGTTGATATATTATACCGGCAAGAGCTGGTAGGAGGAGGAGCTGATGAACAATCCAACTCCCCATGTGAAACGTCTATCTTGACCCATGTCCACTGATATTCCCCGTGTGAAATATTCCCTGTGTGAAGTCTTCGTGTGCTCCGCGAGTTAAGGGCTCAACCTCTCAATTTTCCACTTCGCTTCGCCGCCTTGCCCAACATCTCCATTTATCCTGGTGTACACAAAACGATCATGCAGTCTGCTCTCCCTGCCTTGCCAGAACTCAATTGTCTCGGGTATGATTCTCAAACCACCCCAGAACGGCGGCACAGGGATATGCTCCTGTCCCTGAAATCGCGCTTCTATCTCCCTGACACGGGTCTCAAGCTCTGCTCTACCATCATCCTCTGCTTCTCCTTCACCTTCACTTGTCTGGCTTCCCTCTGCCTTCCTGGCCGGCTCCAGCACACTCGTCTGCTGACTAGCCCAGGCTCCAATCCGGCTGCCCCTCGCCCTCGTGTCAAAGTAGACCTGGCTCTCCTCGGCACTCAACCGTTCGGCCACCCCCTCCACGCGGACCTGCCTCTCCATGGTCTTCCACCAGAAGCAAAGACTCGCGAACTTGTTGCTTGCCAGGTCCCTGGACTTGCGAGACGTGCCGAAGTTGGAGTAAATGACGAAACCCCGGCTGTCGAGTTCCTTGAGGTACACCATGCGCGAAGAGACCCGGCCAGAAGGTAGACTTGCCGTACTAAGCGTTACGGTTTCCGGGACTGTCTGTGCGAGTGACGGCTCGGAGAACCATCTGTGGAACTGGACGAAGGGGTTGGCGTCCAGCTGAGAGCGCGTGAGCGTGCCGTGTGTGAATTGAGCGGCTTGTGAGGGCTTTGGTTCTTCGGTCGGGTCCGATGGTGGCGCGCCCGGTGCGACTGGACATATATGAGTTGGACGGAGCTCCTCTTCGCGATGTGGCATATACCGAGATCACAGGCAGGGCGAGGAAACCTCCACCAGGTCTCCCATTGTGCCCAGCGTCTTCCACAATGGGGCGTTGATAGGCAGGTTGCACTCACATATCAGTTTGCCATTTCGAGGCCCCGAGCTGGTGCTTGACATGGCCTGATGCAGCATTGCAGAATGCCGAGCAAAGGACCGGAATCTTGGAGATGTTGCCAGCATACGGTCGATGTCACTTATACTGAACAGTCAGATCAACCTTTTTTTCTTGCCGTCGTGTCCACTATGCGGCGGTCGAGGCCTAAGCGGCTCTTTCTAGTGCTCCTCTAAGTAGCGAATAGTCTCGTAGCGGCAGTAACAGTCTGGTCATAGAAAGCGTCAGTCGCGCCGTCATTTGAATCCCATAGGTGCCTAGCCGCGCCACACTAGGCGCGCCACCGGCATGCATCGCCTCACCTTCCAAGCCAGCGAGCACGTGCATTTGGCCCCCCTCCTTCTTCCCCGCCATGGATTCGCAAACTGACCTCACCAACAAGTCACGCCCAAGCAACCCGCCAATTCTTAAGGCATCAAATCAACGCCTTGTTTCAGCTGCTCCTTTCAGCCCGATATCCCAAACAGCCGATCCCACTCTCCTGGTTTGACGTTATCGGACAGCGAACTCAAAGCTTGCGACCTGGACCGGCCAGCTGTGTGTTTTGAATCCTTCTGCAGCCTGTCCAGGGACACCTTTCAGCCCAGTTGATCCACGCAATCAGCCAGACGCGCACGCACCGTCCCGCGAGTGACCAGCCTGACCTGTTCCACTTGGCGGTCGTATTTCCCTGTCACTGTCAGGACCTTGCATACCACCACCTCCTGCAAATACATATCGCAGCCTGCTTCCGTTTTCTTCCCCTTCTTCTTCCACATGTCGCCCACACTTGACAAGATCGATACCAATCAACCTTCGGTCAGGAGACACAAGACCACAATGGTAAAGCTTCATTTCACCACGCTTATGCATTTCCATCTCGGCCTTGGAGTACAGTCCATTCTGCACGCAGGTCAGGCTGACCTTGTGTTCATGGTAGACGCCCACCGCCACCAAACCGTTGTCCGAGGAGGAGACCAAGGCTTTCAAGGACGTCTTTGCCCTCTTTGTGAGTCATCATTGTGCTCTGGTGGCATGATTGGCCAATCTAATGTTTGAACAGGACAAGGATGGAAGCGGTAGGTCCCATTCACCCAGCCCTAGCATGCAGCACCCTCAGCCTTATGACGGGGCTCAGTGATCAATGCCCAAGCCTCTCTGATGGGACGCAAATGGGAGAAACCAATTGTAGAACGCGCTGCATTGTTCGGACATTGACATTGTCACGTGCCAGGCACCATCACGGCCCAAGAACTCGGCGAGATCATGAAGTCTCTCGGCCAGAACCCTTCCGACTCGGAGTTGCAGGACATGGTGAGTCGCGCGTGAATATAGAATAGACATGCATTGCCGCTATATGCGCCCGGAAGTTGACCTTTGACCCCACACAGATCAATGAAGTCGACGCCGATCACTCCGGCAGCATAGATTTTGATGGTAACCTCATAACCTCCTCGTCCTCCCCTTCTACTCGACGTTCTACCTGCCGAGACGCGGCGACTGATAAGTGGCTCAGAATTCCTCAAGATGATGTCCACGACTGTCAAAGCCCAGGACTTCGCGCACGAGACCCGCGCGGCATTCAACGTCTTCGACAAGGACGGCTCCGGTACAATCTCCGCAGATGAACTGCGCCAGGTGATGAAGTCGCTCGGTGAGAACTTGACCGACGAGGAGATCGACGAGATGATCCGTGAGGCGGACAAGGACAGCAACGGAACGATAGATTGTGGGTTTCCCTTCCTGCTTTCGGTGCAGTTGTCCCACCCGTGGTCGCTGGCCTCCGATGGGTACATCTTATCATTAAATGATGTTGTCAAATCAAGCTTGATCAAGGGCCAATGCTGATATTTTCGACACCACCTGCAGACGAAGAATTCGTGCAACTCCTGTCACCCAAGCCATAGATTCTCCGGCACCGAGTCGACCTTTTTCCAAAGCCTATCAGTCAGTCAGTACGGAATATGCCAGTTGAAACTTGAAACACGAAGAATGATATGAGACCACACATTCACCATTCACCATGGTCAAATCCCCTCTATGGAAGGATGGATACCCTGCCTGACGTTTAAGCTCTTTCTACTTTATCTATCATCGGATACAGCCTGTGGACTGGACAGGTCAATTTCTCAGATTGCTCACCACGGAGTACCCCCACGCAGCAATGCTATTTCCACTGAGTGAGTTGCACGGTGTCATTAAATGGATAACTTGGTAGCGAGGAGCCGAGTCATGGGACGCGCACCTATTTAAATGAAGGGCGAGACCAGTGAGGTTCACGATGACAATGCTCGGTAGCATGCATGTCTGTTTCTCATCGTTCCTGTCCGTCCTGTGTCGGTGTCGGTGTCAGTAATCTAGTAGTAACCCCACTGCCCTGCCCTGGACAACTGTTGCTCTACGACGCTAAGTTACTGTAGATAGGTTTCCAATCACTGACGGGATGAAATATGGGGAACGGGGAGAAAGTGACCTGAAACAAACGACGAGTCTTTCCTCTAGTCCGCATCTACGCTCTCACCCTGTAGGCATCTCCCTATTGCTATAAAAGCATGGTAGGCATATAGGCACGTCGGCACGTAGGCACGCAGGCACGCCTTCCTGTTCGACATGCAAGGACGAATAGACTACATCGTTGCCCTCAGGAAAGTCAAATCCAATGCATGCACGCATCTCGCCTCAACGCAATGCAACGCAACGCAGCGCAACTCGACTGAAGAGCTCTTAGGGCTCAAACAATCTACAGACCAACGGGGTCGGGGGTGTGCGGTTTCGAGTATCTCAGCGGCCAGGACATTTTGCGGCACATGCTGTCTGTGTATGTACGTATGTATGAACGTACGTATGTATGTATGTATGTATGTATGTATGTATGTATGTATGTATGTATGTATGTATGTATGTATGTATGTATGTATGTATGTATGTATGTATG